CTGAACCCGTGCCTGAGGCAGACCGATTCAACCAGCCAGCCAGCCCCGGCGCTGATCGGCATCCAAGGGCCCCGTTGTTCCGTACCTGTAGGTCCCATCGCTCACTTCCTCACTCTCGCGGTACGGGATAGCCGATTGTTTTTCCTTTCCCTTTTCTTTCCCTTTTGGCCTGAATTCGTACAGGGTACATCCCGGTTAGGGGCGCTAACAATCCAGACTGCAGGGGTCGATATCAAATCCTGCCAGTGTCTCTGATTGGTACCAATCCCAGGGGACACCGGGGACCACTAACCTAGTCTAAAGCCGGCGTAGCACCGCGCATCCTAGTCCCTCGAGTGTACGGGGGGGAAGGAGACTCTTGCCCGGACTCTTCGTGATCTGTGAATCAATCAATTAAATCAGTCAATAAAAGCAATAAAAATCAGCAATTCATTACCATCAATCATAATGGCTGTGCTGACCAAACTTCCAGTCCCCCCCAAACTGCTCCATATATACCAACTTCTACCCGCGGAAAGCGATCTTATAGGCGAGGGAGAGCCTTAGTCCAATCTGAAAGACTAAAATAAGGAGATCGCCATGATGTTACCAGCCGTTTTACTGGGGGCGGATTGAGAGGGGGATGAATTATGACCTGTCACTTACACCTACATTTTCTTTTCTTTTTCCCTCTTGTCCTCTTTCTTGTTCAGGTTAACGGTGGTTGAGTCTGGCTTGTGTGTGAGACACCCTGGTGTTTGATCGGCTGTCTTTCTTGTCCCTTTCTATGGGGGCAAGTCTTTTCCTCAGCATTCCCTCCGCCCAATGGCTCTCGATTGGGATTGTCAGGGTCCTGGTATGCATGTAAGATGAAAAGATCGATGATCTATGTCCAGGGTGCGACGTCTGTCTGTATCGTCGAATCCTCCTGTATGACTATCTTGCCTTGTGTAGGTAACTACCCTCCCTATGTAGGTATTTGTAGGTATTCGTATGTACCAGTATGTACGGGCGTATGTAAGTATGTACGTCCGATGCGTTTGTACTCCTACACGGCAACCGAACCCTCCGTTCCACGAGGTTGGATGGCGGGCATCCGTCCACATGGCTCTCCCGTAACCCTCCCTGGCGTTTGATGCAATGCGAATAGTTCGTCACCGGGGTCCTGTTCTCCCCGAATGGCTGAATACATGCCCGAAGGTACGAAGGTGGCTTGTGTCTATATTCGAGATGCTGCAGAGTAGAGAGTTTAAATCGCAGTGATAGTGATGACTATTTGCTTTTGAAGTGGTAATGATTCTGAAAGAAGGTTCGCGGGTCGGGGATTGACAGCGGGAAGCATCGCTGCCGCCTAGTAAACTTTGTTGTATGGATGTAAACGTTGTTTGGAATGTGATCTACCTACCTTGCCTCGTACGGAGCTTTTGGATGCCCCCTTGCTTGGGACGCCATTGTATGGTGGCGTCTCAGCCCGGGAGTTTTGAGCCGGGGCGGGCCACAGGTCGAGGACCTGACGTTTGGCTTGCACTAACTGTGATAATAAACAGGATCAATTTAACCCATCATTAAGGGTGAGGACACGACACGATACAGAAGCTGGGTGGACGAGGAAAATGAGATCATGGGAAGTTAGCACTAGGGAAGGGAGACCCTGAGCTGAATGACATTATTCTGGTGACGAATCACCGAGTAAACCCGCTTGACTGGAGTCTGAGACCCTTCAGCGATCCCTCCTCCTTCCCTTCTGTTGACTAGGTGGTATATGGTTAGCACAGTTCAAGTTAAGCTGTTTGAGATAGGAACCCTAAGAGAAGCTAAGCCTAATCTATTCTAACTTAGCTTGGTAAATCGAGTAATCTGACTACCCAGTATGGATAACCACGCGAATATCAAACTCAACAAAACAGCGCGACTTTCAGGGCTCTTGCTTATCATTACCGAAAACTGTAGTGGGTTCCACCGGCCCCGCTGTACCAGAATGACAAATACCTTATTTTGCCGGCCAATCAGTCTCCCACATCCCCAAGGGTTGGCCTTGCACATCATGCCCGGATGTGGTTCAGGGGTTCGTGCTTCTACCCTATTCTGGCTTTTTTAGTCGAGATACTTTTCATTCTATTTTCTGTTTTTTATTTTATTTTTTATTTTTATTTTTATTTTTTTTTTGAGCCTTCCCTGTTCTCCATACGAGACTATAGTCCAAGTGCAGGTGACTGATATACTGTCTAGCTAACAAAGGACTACCTCCTATCTCCTTTCCTCACCGTGTCTTCTGACTTGTCCAGCCAGTCGGTTTCAACGGTCTTTAGCTCGTGGCAATTTGATAGGGTCGTATAGAATTCTTTGTATATATTGAAAAGAGCGACAGTTGATGTCCACGGTAAGTTTACTGGAATTGGGCAGCGTTGCTTCCCGTCACAATTGACAGCTTATCCACTTATGGCTGGCGGTTCAAAAGCCCGGTGCAGCTCCTGCTCTGTGCTTCATCGGATTTTGCGATGGCGTGCTCGAGGTGTTGACCTGGTGGTGATAAATTACCAGTACTCCGTAGTGAACGGGGTAACTTACAGAATCTATACTATAGGTTACAGCCTAGTGGATCGCGGTACGATCCATACTGCCCACAACCTACTGAAAGGCTCTCGTAATGACTCCCCTCAGCCCCATTTCCAACTAACCAGCGACCAGGAGTGTGACGGAGTGCGACGGAGGCCCAATGGCTCCATCTCTAGCCAAGTGGCTAGTTTGCATTGGGAGGTAAGGTCCGAGAAGGATGCCCTAAAATAATGCCCTAGACACACTGGTGGATGGAGGAGTCAGTGGATGATCTATCCGATCACGCACAGTTAGCCCATGACGAAGCTTATTACTCCCTTTTCCAGTGTCTTGGAACCGTGGTCGAGAATTCATCCGATGAGTCTCAGATCGGCCAATCAGCTCGCCCGATCTAAATCGATCCCCTGGGAAAATAGCCCGATGAGTCTTCGCTATGGACCCGTGGAGCATTCAATGGATGGCCCCGGGTGAAAGGAAACATCGCTAGTTTCAATAGTAGCTTCCCTTACAAATTTTTTCCCAATGCCCATCACACACGCACACAGTGACACACACACACACACACACACACACAGCCGGGTCCCGCACATGGCACTGCCCTCATTATCCGTGCTATTATCCTTAGTATCTTTTAGTTATCCATTTTTTTCGACGGCGGATGCGAGGTTCCAGTGTGCTGGGTACGAACAAACAGTTTCTCGGTCTATCACAATCATAGTAGCGCGATAGCGTCGACATTCTCCATGATGGAGGTCGCCATGCCATGCTCTCCCGACTTCCCCGAAATCGAAGTCGTGGGGCCTTCGTTGTCATATTGAACGCCTCGAGAATTTTCAAGACGCCGGTTCGTCTTTCGGTAGCTGAACTGCTGCGTGTGGTGCATGGCTAGTGGGTTGCGTTCCCCACGACTCTCAAAGACACACCGCAGCGCGTCGAACCTGTCTCTTTCTTCCCCTCCCCCTGTCCTGTTTCCAGGGGCAAGAATCCTTTGAGATCTGTCAATCGTCCACTAGTTACTGCTGCATATGCGGGCGGGATGGGGGACAACGCGAAAACGGGGCGCCCCCTTATGTTCCTACAGCGAATGTGAGCCCTTTTGGTTGGGTTCTATTGAATCATTGTGGTTGCATCTGCTTTTCCCCTGACCACCCCGCTCGCAGGAGGAAAATCCCGGTCATTCTAGCGTCCCTATTAGAATATTGTAGAACTGAACTGGTTCTACATGATTGTCTCGTGCTTCGTCGGACTATAATGAACCGTCCTCCCGATTGCCGGGCTTGCAGAGGGGCTGTGTTTCTTGTGGACTGGGCTGAGCTTGCAGACTGACGAAATCCGATGAATCTCGCTCTTGGGGACGTTGACGATCCCGGTCCAGTGTCCTGGGACGAGCTATTCGCCCTCTAGTAGCAGGTAGTACTAGCCTCCAGCTAAGCCATCCCAGGTGGCGAAAGTAGTGGTGGCTCAGTACGTACTGAGCTACACCGAGTCCGTACGAGTCCTTAGGAAACGAGCGAAGAAAGTCCGTAGGTATGTAATTTTCCATGTATTACTAATACAAGGCGTGGTACGGGGCACAGTACAGTTAGCGGGTTACATAGTTCATCTTCAATCTTTTCTCCATCCGTGCCCTCGGCGGCACCGACGCAAAGGTAACTTTCCCCCCTCCCAATCCTAGAATAGCGATTGCATACGATCAACATGTCGATCACAACCCCGTCGGGTAATGGAAAAGTCAAAAGATTCCAAATTCCCAAATTCCCAACGACGCTAGCTCATCCGTGTCCACATGAACGGGTTCGGGTTCATGTTAGTGGGTGTACTGGGCCCACGAGAGATCGGTCTGCTCTGTACCAGTGCTGTACGAGCCTATGAGCTGCTGCCGAAAAAAATATGGCTGGCTGGTCTCTGGAGCATGGCAATCAATAACCCGATCGAATATTGTGATTTAGTTTTATTAGTATTAGTGTCATCATTACTTCTGTGTATATTATTATTGATTTATTTTTTGACACTCTTGAATATTTTATTCTTTTTTTATCTCGTTCTCGTTCAATAGTGCCAGAGAAGAATCCTGCAGTCTGGTTACCTATGTTACTGAACAATGCACACCCGGCGGGACCTGCCGACTATGACGCTTTTTTTTTTACCCTTCCCTCGATCTTGGTACCCCTTGACTACTGAAACGCTAACACTTTCATCGACGGCAACTAGATCGGGTTGGTTGATTGTAATCAAATATTATTACAATCCGAATCCACTGGTTGTGTTTCCTCCCGTTCCCTTGGATCACTCAGGAATTCCTATTTCCGAACGGGTAGGGGCCCCGCCCCGCCCTAGGTAAACGATGGCTGTCGCCTTTTTCCGCACCGTTTCTGTCGCTCCAGTTTTCCTGTCAGGGACTGAACCTAGACGAGCATGGGCCAGTCCGTTGTCGGTCGGAGGGGGAACGGAATTGATTGAAGGGCTGTCTGAGCGGTAGGCAGTATCATGGGTCCCTAACTCCTCCCGTCCATTGGTGATGTCCAGGGTCCATCCATCGATTCCATGGGTTTGGTCGATGGATCGATCGCGCTGGAGATGCAGCCACCATGGAAATGGAAGACTTGGGACAAAAAGAGATGCAGCAGGTCTTGGGTGTGACTGGGATTGAATTTAATGGATTGATATTTATTTTTACTTCTTATCGTGTACTTTCTTTTTTCCCTTCCTTTCTTTTTCCTCTTTTCTTTTCGTTCGTTCTTTCTTTCTATCTATCTATCTCTCTTTCTTACTATTCTTTTCTTTTTCTGTTCTCTACCCTCTCCACCCCAGTCTTCCATAGTTCCATGGATCGGTGCCGCACGATCGGTCTCTGCACCCTTCTTCGTCATGCCTGCACATCTTTAATCTACTTCTCTCTCGTCCGTTCCCCATAACTCGTATACCGGGTGGCTTTGCTCGGGCGACCGTCTTGTTCGCCCCCTGAGCCCAAGTCTCCACACCACAGCTGTGACCAGATGGGGAAAGTAGTCTGGTACCTGGGCCATCGAAATAGATTAAAAAACACTGGGGACAAGCTCGCCAAGTCCAGGAGGGCCTGGTGAAGATCTTTTTTTTCTTTTCTTTTTCTTTTCCCATCTCACTTGGACGTCCCAGAATCAACGCTTAGCGTGACATTCCACGATTCCGACCAAGCAATAGTAGCGAGGAGGACTAGGTATGGCCCTGGGTATGTGGATATACCTGTCATGTGCCGCTATCACTTCCTCCATCCACCACCATCCACACTTGGACGACTGTCCAGGGTTCCCCCTGGCTCTTTTCCACTGTCTCTCCCCGTCTCTTACACAATGGATTCAGTCTGTGCTTCACTTTTCAAGGATAAAAATGAATCGAGAGAAATATGATGAAAAGAGAAAAAGAAAAGAGCCATACTAGTTGAGGCGCCTATTGTTCTTGTCTCACGTTGCAGGTCCTAGCACCGTTGTACTGACTCTGTAAACTATATCATATAGTCGAAAATCTTCCCCCACGATCTCTAAACAGTGGCGGTTGCAGTCTGTGCCTGGTTCTCACATACTCTTTTCTTTTCTTTTCTCTACTCTCCCTCCTTGTTCTGTCCTTTCTTTGCTTTTCTTTCTTTCTGGTTGTGTGGTTAGGTAGAGTGGATTTCTTCCCCATTGATGATGGGTCTGATGTTACCTAAAGAAGGATAGATAGTGTAGCAGGTTGAGTCCATCGCTGGGACCTCCCCACTTCTCGATCGGCTTGGATCTTTGTCATGATTGATGTTGATCATTATGATTCTGACAATACTCTATCTTGTCTTTTTTCTTCCTCTTTTCTTTTCTTTTGAGTTTTCTTGCTTTTTCTGGTGAGGAAAATCCTCTTCGTACGTAGCTACGAACCTATCTGTAATTCTGGAGTTTAATTCCTGGGATTCAACAGCTCTTGCACCTCTGGTTAGTTCCAGAGCTAGTTGATAGACTAGTACGGAGTACAGATTCATGAGGAAGGGGGGTAATGGTTACTTACCGTACGTATTGAATCGTTACCAACTGTAACAAAACCCCACCTGGAAAAAGAAAACAAATAAATAGATTAAAAAAAGGAAAAATCAAAATAAGATAAAGTCATAAATGGAAATTAAAAATTAAAAATCAAAAATCAATAAAATAAAAGAATTAAAAGAAATAAAATCATTTTCACTTGATTTAATCTATTTTCTTTTCTGGATAGTCATTATTATTATTATTATTCCTCCGACAACTGTCAGCTCCGAGATCTTGGATCAGATCTTCTCCTATAGCATGCTGGAAGGTGTGGAGCAACAGCCTTTTTCTCTGACCCGTCTCCTTGGTCATTGTATTCTGCTTGTAGCTATAATAAATCATCATCATCCCTCCTCCTCATGCTCTATTGTCCAACTTAGTCTTCCATCACATCTCGCCTCCCCTTTCCATCCCACTCTCCCTCGGTTTGATTATATCTACCACCTGGCAGACGCACCTGGGACTTCTCAAAATCCTCCTCACTTCGATCCATTTCCTATACCCTGCAGCCTGATCAGTGCCATTCACACTCCTTTGGGTTGCATTGGTCCATACTACTTCCTCCTCATTTTCACTCTTCCACCTACCAGACTATACTCGTCCTCTTCCAGCCACCTACTCCCATACCCGAAAGAGACCTCAACTCTACTACCGCTTCTCCCCGTGGTTAGCTTTCAAGTGCGCTAATTACACGCACTCACTCCTACTACTATCCACGGTACGTTGCCAACCCTTCCGGTTTTGAAGGAGACTTCAATCCCCCCGCGGCTCCCTCCCCCCGCGCGCGCCCGCCTTCCTGGTAGCCGCTCGCCCTGCGGCCTTACCTTGCCTGAACTTTGTCGCCAATCCATTTTAAACCCCCTCTTTCCCTGCAACACTTGTCATATTCTATTCTCTCCTTCAACCCTCTGATTCTGGTTCTTCTGTGCATTTGCGATCAGTCTTCTAATTTCACTCCAGAATAAACTGCCACTTTATCTTATATACAATGGCCCCCGCTCATCGCAGAGGACCTTGGGTTCCCGAGGAAGACCAGCTCCTCCTTCAACTGGTTCGCGAACAGGGCCCCAACAACTGGGTCCGCATCTCACAGCACATGCACTACCGGTCTCCCAAGCAATGTCGGGAGCGTTTTCACCAAAACCTGAAGCCGTCTCTGAACCGTGAGCCCATCTCCGCCGAGGAGGGGCTGATGATCGAGCGCATGGTCAACGAGATGGGAAAGCGCTGGGCCGAGATCGCACGACGACTGGGCAACCGCAGCGACAACGCCGTGAAGAACTGGTGGAACGGCAGCATGAACCGCAAGAGGAGAGGTCTCCCGACTAGCCCTCACCATTCCGCCTCCCGCACCTACAACGGCCGCATCGAAGCCCCGTATACGCGGGCCTCGATGGGCATGAGCAGCCCGACCAGCCAGTCTCGTTTCTCGCCCATCTCCAACAGCCGCCCCCTCAGCTCGTGGAAGTCCTCCTCGCGCCGGGGCTCTTGCTCGACCGCCTCGGTCGACTGTCCCCCGCAGTTGACCCCGATCTATACCCTTCCCGCCCTCAACCGCCCCATCGAGACCCCTCTGACCTCCCCTGCCTTCTCCGAATCCTCCAACACCCTCTCCATCGAGCCACCTTCCATGATCTCCGACCACAATTCCGTCTCCTCCGCCTCTCCCCGAACCGTCTCCTCTCCTCAGCTGCTGCCGCTCCCCCGTCAACACTATGGCGAATTCCGCAAGCACAGCGACGACCTATACTACAGCGGGTATCAACTGCCGAAACCCCTGGAGCCTTGTTCCGAGTTCTCTCTGAAGCAGCGGTGGATCGCGGATCACCAAGCCTGGAACCGTCCCTCCACCCCGTTATCACAGCCCTGGCATGCCCATCCCGAGCCTGCGCGGCCTGAGTCGTCGCGGGATTCCCGGATGGGCCTGGATGCGCTTTTGAATTAACGGCGATGGTTTCCTATCGCTTGATGACCGTATGAATTTCCTTGCCTGTGCTACTACTTTTTCTTGTCATCTATTTTTTGTCTTCTTGTATATGTGAACCCGACCTACGTCTGTCTTTAATCCTCTTTCTCCTTTTATTTGTGACTCTCTTTTGTTCTACATGGTGTACATTTTACCAGCTTCTCTTTCCACGGCGGGTTCGTGGATAATTTTGATAATCTTCTACTGGCGACTCGAGCCTGAAAGCCACTGGATGATTTCCCAGAAAGAAAGAAAATGAAAAAGAGAAAAAAAAGACTCTTGGGAACTTTTACCCTAATCACCATGTTTTGTTCTGGTTTCGATGGGTAATGTGATATGGTGGAAAAGGAGTACTGGCTGGGTTGCTTATAGAAAGGAAACTGGGAGTGATGGATGGATGGATTACCACTACTGTACTGATGTTTAAATTCCGGAGATTATGTGCAAGTGACCCGATTTGACTGGGATGGATTTAATAATACCCTTTGAAGCAGTCCATTATTGTCTTTGATTCTACCGTAATAGTAATCAAAAAATCAATCTAAATCTCCCGGATCACATTCAAATCAATAAGTAGATACTAGAAACCTAGACCCAACCAGACACTGCCCTACTACAGTTCAGCTAGGAACCATCTAACTTTCTCAGCTCCAGTCGATCAATCCATCACCCACCGACATGGGTAAAGCAAGGGATACACCCACTAACGAACAGAACCTGCCCTGCTTTGCTTTGCTTACCTTCCGTCGGTGGCTGGCTGTCACTGAACCGAGCAGCTGGCTAGCTAGCTAGCTAGCTAGCTACTCCCTGCTGTCTGTGTGTCTGTGAGCGAACCGAACCGAACCTCCACGGGAGGATATTCACGAGGGTGTGAGCAAGGGGGGGGGGGGAAGGGGCTGTTTCTGTGGGAGGGCGTATGGAGTAATTGTAATGTATGTATTGGATCGGAGGTTCCGAGGGAGGCACGACACCATCCTTGTGTGTTTTTTATTCTTGGGATTTGGGTAAGGGAAATCAATAGTAATGGGAATGACTACCTGGTCACTTAGTAGCTATATTATTCTAACAGTATTAGAGTGTGGATGTGAAGATGTTCGTTATTATTATATTATTATGAATAAATGAAGAAAAATGATAAAAAAAATAGTTCATATGCATGCAACACCATCCTTTAGGAAGCCCTGGATCGATAGGTCTCTTTGTAACCTAGCTGGCAAGACACCTACTTCCCTACCTAGCCTGGTACTGCTCGAAACGAGCTATGATTCGAGAGACCGGGGTGCGTGTGTCCAATGGATGGGGAGAAACGAAGATACTGTAGGGTGGTGGTGGTGGTGGTGGTGGAGGGGGCCGGGGGTAGGGTAGGGTAGGGTAGGGTATGGAATGGATGGATAGATAGGATGGTTCATGCATTGCTTCCCACCACCACCTTTTTCTTGCCACCCCTCCTCTAACTTCAGTACCTCTTGGGGGCAAAAAAGAGGTTCTGCTAGGATGTGAGTACACCCCTCCCCTTGGCTTTGCTTGGACCTGGTGACTGTTCGCGTTCCTTGGGGACTTTCCCACCGCTCATGTTTTGTTATTGGGGATAGGGCTTTTGGGTAGCTTTGTTTTTGCTGGTATACTTTTCTTTTATTTTACGTTGTTTAGTTTATTGTGACGTGTAAACGGTTTGAATTGCTGATAGAGAGGGCGCTAAGAGGGTTATATTCTCTGTACGAGTCGTAGATTACTTAGTACCTGGATACCCTAGGTAATAGGTGTAAGTAAGTGGCTATGTCTCTTCCATGAACTTACAACATCTACTTCCATGCAGCAGCAACAGCTAACTTCCCGGTAACTCTATAGCTCGACCACGAACTGCACAAAAGGATAAAAGCAATGCTCGTGACCCTATCTGGCAATCCTATCCCCCTACGTCCCTCTCCCGGGGCCATCCGCTGCAGCCCCCTTGTTGTGCGAGTCAGTTGGTTGTCAGTCAGTCAATTAGATCTTGCCTTCCCGACCCTTGTTCCCTCCTCTTCCTTATCCTCCTTGTCTTCCGTCCTGTCTTCGGCCGGAGCTAGGTTAATAACTAACGGTCGTGATGACGGACGAACTTAGGGGTAAGCTGCTGCTTTTTTTGGCTTGATGTTGGGTGACACTACCTTTGATGGTTTACGTTGACATGTAGGGATTTGTGTGTGCGTGTGTGTGGAGTAGATTTTGTTTCGTCTCCTTTTCCCGTTTCCGTGCTTGAAGAAGTCTGATGGTAAGGTATCCATCCATCCATCCACTTTACAGTCCGAGCGGGGATCTATGACTCGCGACGCTCACATAAACAAGGATAAAGGAAGTACAGACGATGATCCGTATCCAGGGAGGAAATTCGAAGCAAAAAACGAAAACGAGAAACAAATAAATATAAACCTGATAAATCACTGAGTCGAAGGAGTAAAGTCCCCACAGAGTACGTGCCACAAGACAGTCCACCCAGCCCGGCCTTGTCACCGTTTTCCGCCTAGCCATTAGTTCGTGGCTGAGATGGTCTATTGGCTGTCTTGGGTGGTCCTGACTCGCGACACGGCCAGCTCAAGCCAGCGAGTGACCCTGTGCTGCCGATCACACCTAGACGCTCTGCGATCTGACCTGGCTGGTTGGGCCCACTCTGGATGTGTCTACGGGTATTCAGTATTGATGATACGAGTACATTGCTATGGGAAAAGGAGGTATAGGTATGGGTAGGGAAGGACCAGTGTATGTGTGTCAGTTCCTTTCCGGGATGCTTCAACTGAGTGGTGATCTACTCGGAGACAAAGGTGGATTGTACGACATGCGATCCACATATTAGATAACCCTAACAATAGTGCCCATATAGCTGTCAATCTCGACAAAGAACGGAACAATTGGATTCCAGCCTCCACAATGCCAACGACACGACAACGGCAACGACAATGACATCCGTCAACAGACCCAACACTCTTTCCCAAACCAGCCAACCAAAAGCCAACTGAGACATCCCATCCATACGAACGATTGAAGATCTCTCACCTTGCCAAATCAAGGCAAGTCAAGTTAGTTAATCTCAGGATCCGATCCTGGAGCCATGATTTGGAATACTGGGCACTAGCGTCGCGATTGGGGCGGAGCTAGTGGGACCCTTTCCAGCAAGCAACACGCCGTGACGTATTGTACTACACCTCGACGTCTACGTCTGGTAGGTACTACCTTACCCTCGCAGGACGGGGGTTCCGATGCATCGTGAGGATTTGATAGTCGCCTGGTGGGGGCCCTTGACCGTTGCAGACATGCGATCCTTCATACGCCGGACATGACTCGATCGGGTCGGGTTCAACACCCGGTAGTTCCTTGTTGTACTTGGACTCACCTGTGATTTGATTGAGTAGGGGGCGCTGGAAGGTGATGGATCTTTTCGTTCTTACCAGTCATACTGATATATTAATCGTATATTAATTTATATTAATTGGTGGTGGACTGCATACCCCGTGTCTTGCTGTGATCTGCAGTGGACTGTATCTGTGCCTTTTTTTAGTCGTCCACTCCTGGTATGAAGCTTTCTTTTTTTTTTATCATTGTATTTTCTTATTGTCAATACATTTATTTCCTAAACACAAGATCCAAGTGGGGGATTACGAGCTTGCTCCTTCGTCTGCCCCTAGGGGCCACTAGGCTGATCACATTGTTAGACCTGCAGAGAAGGGTAAGGGTGCCTTGCACGTTGCAATCCATCCGCGGGGTTTCCCCTGGCTGATATTTTTTGGTAAATTATATTATATTACTGATACATGCATACATCATTACATACTTACATACTTTACCTAAATACATACATCCATATCGTATTCTCCGACTACAAGGCAAAACGAACACACTTTGTTTATACTTTATTATAGAGCGAAGCAAGCGAGCATAGTCTTAGATATTCAAGAAATCTCATACGGGGACACAGCAGCTGAAAGAATCCACTGTGAGTACTCCATACATGGGCCTGCTAACTGTCCATCCTTGTAGACAGGGATGGCCTGTCCCAGGTTAATTAGACTATCAACGTTCGATGCCAAACTAATTCAAGGGCTTACCAATCCGAAGCTCCCAATGTATTGCAGCTGGGATCATCTCACTGCAGCATACGCAGCTACGGATACAATCCTAGACAATGATACGAAGTGGAGGGAGTTCATTTCCTCTTTGGAACAGAAATTGATTTGTAGTAGATATCTCAAGTACTGTATCAACATTACTTTCCTTTTCTATCACTTTCTCCCTTTTCTACTAGATAATGTCATTATCACTGTCATTAAAAAAGCCACAATCTCAAACCCAAACCCAAGGATAGACATTATACAACCCTAGCGCGATACCCGATCGGGAAAACGCAGACGTTGCCCGCGCCGGGCTACACCTATCCCATCCCATTCCCTTACGTGGTTCCCGATCCTCACACAAAATTCTATGTCAAACACGACTCGGTGGGTGGCGGGGGTAATCCAATCCCACGGGCAAAAAAGAAAAGCATGTCATGATGATCTTCTGGTGGTCCCAGCTTTTTGCGCGCAAAACGCTCCCAGTGATTCAAGGCCGTGTGGGTGTGTGGCTCCCATGTTGAAACGGCTGCACCACAGTCAGGTCCTTCGTAGCTCCACAGAGGGGACGAGGGAGCTGAGTCGTGTTGTGCTGTTGGGTTTGCTTTTCCGGTATACTGACTCGGTTCATCTACACTTATTGGCTGTTCTTGTTTTTGTCTCTGTACGGTCTGTCGGTGAGATGCGGTGGATGTGGGACTACTGGATATCTTTTCCGTTTTTGATATGCTTGCCTTCCAATGATGCTGCTTGATTGTGGTGTCAGCGGTATTGTATATTGCAGGTGGTGTCTGACTCTGTAATGCCACCCGTTTAACTGTAATCAGCACTGACAGGCCCCATCGCTGTGTCAAACTCAACTAGTTTGTGTGGTTTCCATGCTGTGGGTTAAGCAGGGAAGTGAGTGCGGAATGCCAGGTAGAATAGCTTCCAAGAGGGCCTGCCAGGCGGTATTTACAACACATATGTCTATGCAATACGTATATACCTCCGTTGATGGTAAAGATGTTCGCTAACACGTCATAATTCGGTATATCGCAAAAAACGCTGACGGTGGATGATCGTAATGATGACCGAATACGGATCTGTCTACCGATATTTCTCGAAGTATAGAACCCCCAACTCTGCACAAACTAGGTGTATTAGCACTTTTTCTTCACAACAGCCTATCGAATCTGGAATATGAAGCTTACTAGCTATTTACAAGATTCCGTGCGAAACGTGCTGGTCAAAACCAGCAGCACCATTTTCAAGGCCATAGAGACCAGACTTGAGCATTCCGGAAAATGGGAGCAAGCTCAAAAGTTGCGCAAACTACAGCATCAATATATGGGGCTTACAGAGGACCAGTGGCAATATATTGCCGATTACTTCGAGTGTGAAGAGCTCCTACATCTAGCGACACCACTGCATAAAGAAGGGCTACGTCGTTGTAAAAAACTCAGGCATCAGCCTCCCGTTAACGATCCTGCTGAAGTGGACCGCCGCAAAGAACTAATTGAACGTTTTTGAAAGTACATTCGTATGTATGAGGACAATAGCCGCTCTGCTGAAGGGATTATGGGTCTTTTGAAGATCAAAATGGGACACACACCGTTATACCGAGCTATGACATCCAATCGACGCAATCCAGACTGGTATCTTAGCAAATGGCTTCGTGATGAATGTGCCAGCAAAGGGGGATGCTGTGGTCGATCCTGCGGCTGCTGTGAAAGTTTGCGATGCACCACGAGGAGTCAAAGGCTTTTTGGCCATTGTACTTTGTTTTGTGAATGTTGTGAGCGCTATACTGGTGAGGTCACGGCTTATGATGATGTCAGTTTGGTTTCGAGGGAAAGCAGAGAATACTTGCGATATGAGGGGCAGGTCATACTGAATCCGAGGGAGGAGGAAAAGGATACAAATTGTGCTCTTCTTATGAATTCCTATGTCTGGGGGCTCGACCTTGGGAAGAACGGAAAGATTACCAAAAAATCTGGCTCCGCGTGATGTTAAGTTTATGCAGGGTAGTTCAATGATACAAATGTAGTTGTCTCTAGATTCTATCTCGGATGGAAGCATGGACTGCTATTCAGTATGTTTCGTAGATTTAGAATATCATCTATTGATATTCTTATCACTTGTAGTAGTGCATATAAGAAGTGGCCCAGATGGCTATATTACTCTGCACGTTGAATAATCTGATATCCACTGCAAGTGTCTTCTGTCCAAGGCTATAGATGTTTTCAACTTACAGTGCCTAATGGAATCTACTACGGCTGTTGTGTTTACAAATACCAATTTCATTCACTGCAACTCAATCCCAGCTAGATGATACAATCTCTTCTAGTTCCAACGAGAGGCCCTGACGTGTATACTAGGTAGTGTAGAGGCAGTTATCTTGTACTGTCTCAGTGCCTCAACAGGCAAAGCTAGAGACCAAACCTAATCACTTGGAGGACGAGAAAGAGGTCTGCCACTATAGCCTTGTTTTAGACAATGATTATATTGGTGCGTGAATATACCATGTTTCATAGCTTTGGCTGCCTGCTTGAGTGGTATCAAGGAATTACTTCACAAGCTGTATCATGCTCCTGTAATCACTCAACATGGACCTACAATGAGTAACAGAAGATACTGTATAACTGTAGTGAATTGCCCTCTACTTCCCTTCTATGAAAAGGTGAATATATTCTGTAGATTTCTATGGGTGAATACTCCCACGATAGAGAAGGAGGATACTTTTCTCTTGATTTTTTACATTTCTCTTCTGTCTTCTCTTCTTCTATCTCCCACATATCTCTAAACCTCAGAAAGAAGGAGAAAGGAAAGAGCCCAGTTCTCTCCAGACTTACTAAAGCTTCATCTCTTTTGGCATATCCTCTTTCACATCAAGTCTCATATTCGCGTCTCTTGGCCTCATTGAATACCTCCTCTTTTCAACGGCCTTACATTCTTTGCACTTACTATCCTGTACTTTGCTCTCGAGCCAGGTAAGTAGCCAAGTGTCTTGAAGTGGTGCATTCACCATAATAACCCACAAGCCAGAACCCAAGATGGGAGGCTCCCACACGAATCTCAACCCAGAGGCCCCAGAGTTTGTCTACCACGGCGGTAAACCTAGTTCCATGGGAATCCCTGGAGAAGACGTGTCTACCAAAGATGCAGAACAGGTGACCTATCCCAGATAAGTCAAATATAGTACAGAGCGTTCCTAATCCGATCCACTAGGGTGACAACGACCAGAGCTTCGATGAGCCAAGGGCAAGTTTGCAAGGCGGCAAATTGACCGTCCATGAGGCAAGTTTTCTGAAGTTTCCAACGTTTTCCAAGAACCAGCCCTAATTTCATAAACAGGGCGAGCCAAATGATGTCTGGACGCACGCTGGTGACAGCTCCTCCACGGTAGGTCACTCCAATTGCTTAGACAAACCAAATTTGGCCATCCGAAGTATTCTCTAACTGATAATTCTTGGTTGTATACAGGAAAGTGAAAACGGAATCTCTGGCATTGTGGAAGACAACAGAGACGAAACACAGAACAATCTCATTGCAATGGCCGGTAGTAAATCCGCCGCCGCTCTGTATTTCAATGGCCCAAGAGAGAGCTGGCTTGCGTTTCAACTTCCCGATGCCGGGTTTCTCCCCGAGCAATCCCATTTCACCCACGGGGGCATAGCAGTATGCTTTCGGATATCTGACCGAAATGTTGCGTCAAAGCTCTCTGTTGAGGTCTTCGTGACGAAGGCAAACTCAAACGCCAAGCGAGCGTTGCACCCAGGCAATGTTGTTCATTCTGCTTGTCTGGATTTTACCTTGCATATTTCTGAATCGAATCAACCTCGTTGCATTCAGAGTTTTGCTTTCAGCACGCATTTTCCAATCAGGAAAGGAGGAAAGGTCGATGAAATCACGAAAGTCGAGTACGAAGACCCGTGCTATGTCGACATCGAGTTCACGACTACTGGTGGTGTGTCTCATGGGCTGTTAGACCCATGCGTTACCGAGTTTGATGATCAAGGCTAGAGACTATTTGCTTATCTGTACGGACTTACGCGTCGCGACTCTGAAGAGCTTCGTACGGTGAAGTTTCGTGTCGATGTTGGGGCCGAGCATGTTCGTGATACGGAAGGCCTCACTAGCGCTTTACAGCAACTCGCCAACGGTCTTCCCCAATCTCACACCTATGACCCTTACCGCTTGCGTGGAAAAAACATCCAAATTATGTATAAGCTACAGAGGCTTCGTGCATTTGTTCAGCAAGGTTGGGGCTCGGACATGGTCAAGATTCGTGCCGTGTCTTGTTACGAGGATGTCGATGCCTATCTAGTCAAGATGGCATACGGAGCTGTTCTCTAGTGGAGACGACCGTACGAGCAGATCAGAAGGACTCAGAGTGTTCCTTCGATGATTACATTGCGCAAACTCGGTCCCACTATAGTCGCAAAAGTTCATCTGGATCAGGATTTCTTGAGAGACGACAAACTTCCCTATGAGACGCAGGGATCGAAAGTCATCTTGCCTGAGTACACTGATGCCAAATTGACTGTTCGCATTCCCCAGCGATGTGGTCCCTCAAGCAAAATCCATGGATGCGGTTTTACAATTTCTGGATATAATGAGGACGCAGCACCAGGAGATATCCACGTCATCCTCTACGGGAATCCTTTCGGGAAGTTGCTTAAGGACGCCGAAACCTCCGTTGCCCACCCTGGGGTGATCGGGTTCGACATCAATGACGCGCCAGTGAGGCGCCAAATAGATGCTCTGGTGAAGCTTCAGTCGAACGAAAACGGGGTTGGTCGGTGGCTTGACCTCCTTCTCAACCAAGAACCCAACGCATTGCCAAATGTAGACCTCCTACGGGGCAGAGACGTCAAAATCATCAACTCTGCAGTGGGTCGACTGCTTAGTCTAAAGCATTGGAATTCCCAACAGAAAGCCGTGTTTAGGTTCCTTCGCATGACGAAGGGGGGTTGTTCCATCTTAGAGGGCTTCCCAGGGTGCGGCAAGACCACTGTCCTGGCCGCGACGGCAATTTTCCTTTACCACTGCGGCTTCAACGTTCTTCTCGTCGGTGCAAGTAACGCCGCTGTTGATGCTCTGGCCTATGCTCTTACCACACTGAATTCCATATCGTACATGCGTATTCGTCGTGTAGAAGTTGAAAAAAGAGCTAGAGTGTCTGCCAACCTGCGTGAGCCCGGTGAAGTCGAGGAGGCGAACTCAGAACTCGGGAAGCACATTGCACTGGTCGGCCTCCTACAGACCCTCAAGGCAACACTATCCCGAGATGCCGAAGGGAATCCCGAATATAGTCTCTTGATACATGTGAAGCGGAAGTGTACCGAAGCAGTCGCCAATGGTAAAAGGTATTTGGTAAACGTGGCGCGAGGGGCACTGAAATCGGACACCGAAATTCTGGACGGCAAAGCGGACCCGAAGACGCATGATATCCGAAACGCCTACAAGGTGGTTGAGGAATATCTCTCGCAGCCAAACACTCCACGCCCTGGTTCATCTTCCCCGGAGCACGACGAATGGCTCGCCCGAGAAAGTGCATTCAAGAAATGCTATGACAGCGTCGCGGACGTCGTGGTACAAGAAGCGTCTATCTTAGCCTGTACCAACAATCTGACTGGTTCACATCTTGTCAGAAGAAAATTTCGCAAACGGCAAAAGCATAGTTGTCATTGCGGATGAAGATGGGCAGGCTTTAAAGCCAGACGCGATAATCCCACTCGTGTCCCTTGATAGGTCACACCTCGTCGTTGGAACGATTCGAGGAGGCGACCGAGAGCAACTCGCGCCTCTCGCCATTACCGCGAAGGAGGTTCCGGGTTACAATGAATTCGGGTACCAGATGGGTAGATCACCCTTCGATAGACTCTGTCGTGCCCGATTCCCAGTGAGCGTTGTCTCGAGACAACATAGGATGGATCCCCGCCTCGCCAAATTTCCATCGAAATTCACATACTCTGGCCGAATGTCCGATGACCCCAGCGTGAATTTCATTTCTGTCAGGGCTGAGCTCGCCAATGCTCTTCGAGATTGGATAGAGACGAAAGCACCAGGAGCAAATTTCGAACACGTGGAATTGATCGGAATCGATGTCACTGACGGCACAACATCCAGAAATAGTCAAAACCAATCGAGATCAAACACCGAGAATGTTGTTGTTGTCATGGATCTCGTTGAATTTATCGTCCGCCGTGGTGCACTAGAAGATGTTACCTGCGCCATCATCACAGCTTACTCAGATCAGAGAAAAGAGTATGTTGGGAGACTGATGCGTCTGTCCGAGAAGCTGGACATTGCCTGGAAGGATATGCCTAAAGTTGCGACAGTGGATTCCATGCAAGGCCACGAAGCGGACCTGATCATCCTAGATTGGGTTGTCATCTCGGGGAAAAAGTCTGACCTCGGCTTTGCGGCTGATAATCGCCGCGCGAACGTCGCCCCCACGAGAGCAAGATCGTGTCTGATTGTTGTTGCTAACGGGGAAATCATCAACAATGACCGCCTCAGCGAGGCGCGGCCGAAGGAGTTCCACCCGGAGATCCTGGCTCATTGGCAACATCTCCTCTACAACGATTTGATTGTGGACGTGTCTGCTGCTGCGCTGATGACATGATGGTAAGGACGCCGGTGCATGGTGATGGGCAAAACTACTTTGTGATTTTGTCTCTCGCTACTCGTGGTAATTTCGAAGAATAAAAATATTCTTGAAAAAAAAAAAAAAAAAAAAAAAAAAAAAAAAAATCAGCCACTGCACCAAAATACTGAATCGATATAAGTTTGTATTCAACATCACAAGGTCCAACATCTTAGGGCCTTTGGGCTCTCTTGCCTTCATTTCTGCCTCCTTTTTGTTGTTCCCTCGAATTTCGACCTCGTTAGTCCTTTTGTCGGCATATTCGTTCCATCTCTTTAGGGGTGTATTGCCCTTATGGAAGGAACGCTCTTGCTCCTTTGTGCTTTCCTCCATTGCAGTTTCCAATATAGAAGGCAATCTAACATAATTTCTACGGTAAGTTGCTCCTTGAACACCAAACACCATCTTACCATCAACTCCATCTTACATCTGCGAAGGCATCCACTCTATCTTTTCCTGGTATCAAATCAGCACCATATCCAATTTTGTCCACATCTGCACAACTTTACTTAGCAAACACATTTAGTGCAAAACACGCAATCATCTCTGGTACCCGCGGTTCTCAATCCTGCCATGCCATCGATGCCGGGATTAGCCAGCAGTGCCCAGCACTGCAGGTGGTCCCTGGTGGAGCCCGATGAAAAACTACATTATAGCAGCTGCGATGACATGCTTTCCTATGCTAAATTATCTGGTTGGGATTCTTTTTCGGGGTCGGTGAGTACACAGATAATATGATCTCTGGGCCATATGTGTTCGATACAGTTGTTGACTTTACTTATAGCAAGCCAGTCATTGGCTTCTCAATTCAACGGCAAGCTGATGCAACCTGTGGGTTTGCACACTGTTGACAAAAGGAAGAGTACATCACTAAGATGATGAAACTCTCCGAGAAGCTCGATATAGCCTGGGAATAAACATACAGTTGCAATTATCGACTTCATGCAAGGTCATACAGCAGACCTTATGATACTGCATTGAATTGTCGACTCTGGCGTAAAGTCTGAATTAGGCTTTGCGGCAGACAATTGCCGCGAAAATGTGCTTTTTTTGTGAGGCATACTAGGCTATTCTAGTCTTCACTGCTTCATATATTGAGGTGGATGTTTTTAGGCACCAGGCCAGTGCCACAACAGATACTTTGCCCGTGGGACGAACTGGCTTTAGAGCCAGACGATGTCATTTCTTATAACATCCAAAAAATCAGACCTCCATGCCAGTAGTACTGGCTCTCCCAACATCACAAGCGGCAGCAGCATCACCAACGCTGTCGCAATCATCTGGGCCCTAGTGGACTGCTGTAGTCAACAACTCTGTGATAATTGGTCTCACGTGTCTAAGTATCACAATAGGCTTTTTGCGCCTTTTTCTGTTTAAGATCAAAGTGAGTAAAAAACTAATCAGGTCCTTGAGTTAAACGTGCCAGATATAGTGATTAACTTTACTTATAGATTCCCAAAACAACGTCTGTCGCCCTCCATGATCTCAGGTTCATGGGCCCCCTGGTGCTTTGGCGAAACTTCGAAAACGACGTACGAGATACATTTCGGAATACGAGCTGGGAACAACATCAGGCTATACAGTAACACGTCAATCAGAGTCAGCTACGGAATTTATATAGTTGACAAAGATAAAAAGTAGTATGCTACTCTTCTCTAGCCTTTGATCATGCTTATACTGACCTTAGGGACCACAGCAGCGAAGAACCCTCGTCCCCGGCCCCGGCCTCGAACACATACCAGATGGGGATATATATGTATATATATATATCTATGATCACTTTTTGATCAATTTCACCGTGCTCGGTCTCCACCAGGTGCCCCCTGGTGGGGTGTCCTACTGGCAGGCCTCGGCGCATGTGCCCTCAGCATACTGGGCAGCGGATTCGGGTTGTGGCTCTGGTTTTATTTCCGGAAACGGTGAGTACAAAGATAATATGGGTCCCCGAGTCATACGTGCTGGATATAATTATTAACTTGACTTATAGTTACGGCCTCATAGAGGCGAGCGTAACGCGGGTGGCGAGCACCGCAGGAGAGTTCGTGCAACTGGTAGAGTTACGTGGTATGATAGTTTTTACTAGCCTTTAATACTGTTTATACTGACCTTGGGTACCACAACAAAGGCCGCGACCGCAGCACCTCCCCCCTCCCCCGCGACCGCCCCCCAGCAGTGTCACCTCTCCGATTCCCAGAAGCAGGAATTGCTCCCCTGGCACCACCTCGGAAGGGAACAAATAAAGGTACTAAGATGCATGATTTGGGGGAAAAGGTTTAGTCAGCGCGCTCCGTGTGCTGCATGTTTTTGTTTTTTGTATACTTATTTGTCGCAATATAAAATTGCCTATATAAGAGTATCCACAGAGCTCAGAAGTGTCCAGACTCCAGACATCTTTTGTAGCCGAGTGGTATTCTTTACCACATTATCTCAACCGCATGAATTCTCTGTATAATTTCTGCAAATTAAATGATTATTAGTTCTTTGAATTTGTAAAACTAATATCTATAGCACATGTTCAGTTGGGATGCGGCCGACCACCACCATGCGTGCTTTATTGTAAAGGTCAAAAAAGCCAATAATCAGTCTAACACACGAGAATTTGGGACAAATATTTGGGCAAATACACATATGCATTACTATGAGTGTTGGAAAATTGGTTCGGACACATTTACTCTCCTAGTCATATGAGGACAGCACTGCGCTCTTTAGCATAGAGAGCAATGAGACATGCAATCAACCATGTCAACTGACTTGCAGTGTGTTCCCATATAAATCCTTATTGACTCTTATGTTTTTCTAACTATTCACAACCTTTTTATGGCTGCAAGTCTCATCAATATCATCAATATTTTGACCATTTCGATCCTCTCACAGAATCCCACAGAAACCAGGTAAATGTACTGGACAGTCTCTCAAAGCCTTTATAATCATAGCATTCGAGGTGCCAACGCTGTGGCAGTACACCGGGAACCAAACCTTTGCATACTGAATACTCAAATAATGGAAGAAAGGAGTGACTGTTCAGAGTGACTGTTCTTCTCACCTTCTTTTTTATATTCTACATTTCCTCCTTTCTTCTTTCTCTTCTTCTCTTCTTCTCTTTATCTCTTCATCTCTTCATCTTCTCCCTCAAGGCCCCTACATTTTCATACTCATCCTCATAATCGCATCTCACCTCCTTTATTACATTCAAAATTGTTAGCTCTTCATCTCAACATGCCAGTAATCCCTGTCATTATCTTCCCTCCCATAGAGCATCAGAGGGGAACAATCAGAGGAGGTGACCGACAGCAAATCCCCCCTCTGGCAATTACTGCCAACGAGGTGCCAGCTTACAACAAATATTTGAATTCCAGATCAAGAGAGAGATATATATATCAATATATATGATCACTCTTTGATCAATTTTACCGTGCTCGGTCCCCACCAGGGCCCACCTGGTGGGGATCCATAGTGGCAGGCTTCACGGTGAGCTTCATGAGCATACTGGGGTCAGCTGTCATCCAGTGGCTCTGGTCTATTCAAGAAAGATGTGAGTAGAAAGATAATATAGGTCTTTGAGTCATACATGCTAGATATGATTATTAACTTCACTTATACGTATCTATGCGATGGCCGAAATCACAGCAACACGAGTTGCCGAGTCACAAGTAGAGATCGAGCAGTTGGTCACCCTGGAAGGTCTGCATGCTAGTTATCTCTCGTTTTTAATACTGCTTATACTGACTAGTGACCTTAGGTCTGCTCAACGTTTGGAAAGCCAAGGCAACGAAGGGTCGGTTCAGAAGTCTGCGAACGTGGTGGAAAACATGTGAAAGATCCTAGGGACCTAGACTTAGTCTCAGAAGCACGGAGTAAAGGTTCCTTAAACCTGGACGATCTGCTATCAGGATTCAGGGGAATGCTGGCGCTGATACAGGCGATTATGCGTTACTATGTATATATCAATATGCAATACTTGATAGTCTGGTTATGCTTAATAGTTCTCCCACAGAAACTAGGAAAATCATATAGGATAATCTGGTAAAGCCTTTATAGCATTTGAGGTGCTACCTAGTACCTAGTACCTACTACTGAGACACTGCATTGAGAACAAAACCTTTGCTGTCTTGTGCTTACTTGACACCTGAGTAGTAACATTATAAAGCTCAACTATGTTATACTAGCGTTTCGTGGGGTCAATCAAGCAAAATAGCCAAGATTACTATTGACAGTCCTGTAACTATCTATACTCTATGATCTGCTATGTAAAGTCTAGTTAAAACCCAGTGAAATCCACCAGCTGGCGAATAGCGACAATACCCATCAACACAGCATTGTCTGTCTAACGACGTTATGTCCCGCGTATCCAGTGCTCCGTTGGTTGCACTGTCTTGCCTTAAGTCTGGGGACTCCCTACCAGGGTACTAGGATCAAGAATCGAGTCTACGTACGGATATTCCGGAGTAAGTCACAAAAACCAAGCAGGGAAGTACGCAATACCTCCAGACATACAGACAATACGGTATCGAACGTGTATTCCAATATAGAGAATACCAGTGGATCCAGACTCTGGTTAGCGCGGGCCGACTGATCGATTCCAGCCGGGGCGTTGAGATCAGACCCTGCGCAAGGGGCATTGATTGGCTGCCGGAAAATCTCGGGGTTGCACTTTTGATCGGCTAGTCTGGAAGTAGCTTAGTGTACCCGCCTTACCGGTCCGCCCGTGATCGGCAGAAGAAATAATTATTGATTGAGAATCAAAGGATTTGGTGTGAGATATAGTACCGTCGTGGTATATTACCTGTTTTGTATGGGTGCGTTTGCTTTCAGCTAGCCTTTTCTTTGTTTTCTTTTCGCTTTTTTCTTATTTGTTTGTTTTTCTTTTTCATTGTTATGGTTAACCTCTAGACTGTTGGATTATTAACAAAGTATTGCCATAATATATCCCTGATTTGATTTGAAGTGTCATCCCGCAGCTGTCATTTGACCCATCCTCACCACGATGGCATCCTCGATACCACCAGCGGCAACGAGTACTCGCTCCGGTCATTATAGGGTTCATCCCCCTGCCTTAGCTCCAAGACCAACAAAAACAAGCGTGCAATACCCAATACAAGTCTGATCTAACCCGACCACCCCTGTTGGGACGACAATCAGCGGCAGAGGTATTTGTCACGGTGGAGCTGTCTCTGTTCAACGTAACCATCTCTATGGACGAGAAGGTGCGTCGGTGGGGACGGCCACACCATCTACTCGGCACGACAGAGTCATGGCCACGGACAAATCAGGTCCTCCATCTTGAGGATGCGCGTCGAGAGGTCCAAGCACAAACCACTCTCGCCAAAATAGTTCCTGCCCTGACCACGTGGACTTTTTGTCACATACGGGCCGTTGCCGTTGACTTTCGTACCGTACCGTACCGTATCGGCTTTACCGAGCATATTGACTGACTCGCTAACGGTTTTTGGCAGACGTGCCTGGACCTCCTGGTTTGATTCGAGTTGATTGAATCAATTTGTTTTCTATTAATCTTGATCCATTATTTATTTTATTTCATCTTATTTTATATATTATATTCACATATTATTTATTAAATTATGATCATAGCATAATCGGTGTATCCGATTGCTCCATCCCATCGGCTACTCTACAACGCCGGGGCGTCTAACTATCGATTTGGCGAACTCAATTTGTCCCTAGATTTCAATTTCCATTCTCCCCGTTGAACAAAGGTCACCTCCCTAGCCAATGAGCCCCCCGGAGCATTGGCTTCCCTCACCCCAGGACCCATGTCCAATCTAATCCCCGATACAGGGCTCTCTCCCCAGAAACAACGCTATTTCCTCCCCGTCCCGAAGCCACCCAAGAGTCTTTCCTGCGTCTGAGTGGACAATCATATCTCTGCGCGTTGCATGCGGCGTCTTTTGATTCCAGCCTGGTCCCCGGCGTGTCGCTTGGGTGGTTGTGGTTTATTGCTTGCAAATACAAATACATCCCTGTTTGCTCCACTGTTGGACCCCACTGGGTTATTGGGTGCCATGTTTCTTCCTCGTCGCTAAGACGGATATGCTCGGATGAGAATGGTTGGATGGATGGATTTTCCTGATTGACTGATCGATCGATCGATTGAGATGCAGTCGCTTCCACATACCGAGCTTGCCATGGCTGACTTGACTTGACTGTCCTGGTTCGAGGATGTTGTGGCTGGCTGGATGGCTGCTGGCCGGAATGGCCGAGATGAGCGAGGCTGAGCTGATCGACGAGGGGAGGAAGCCCTCCACAAGTACCCATGTAAATGGGTATATTGGACTTTCGCCACGGCTTGTCCAGCTAAGCCATTGATCTTCTTCTCTCTCGGGTATCACGTACAGGATACATCCCTGCATACCAAGAGAACAGCACCCTGCTCTTCTTTTCTTTTTCTGTACGAAGTACTGCAGTAGCGAAGACAGGATGAACCTCCATGGTTGGCCCAGCCCAGCCCGGTTAGCCAGCTAGCCGTTCATCTATTTAGCCAGTCAGTCGGAACTCAAAACCCTAACTCCCTTCCTCGCAACTGGCTAGCTCCCTGTTCATCCTCCGTTGTATCCCATCTCGTCCATTTTGTACCGCGTCTTTCGCGGCTACTATTAGCTTTCGTGGCTGCTACCCCTCCCAGTGGCACATAGCTAGTGCGGAGGCGAGTTGAGCTTGGGCCGTTGGACTGAGGTGGTTTAATTCTTGGCTCGGTGGGCCTTGCTTTGCTTACATGGTGGTAATGGGTTGGTTTGTTAGGATGGTAAGATACTCGATTGATACGGTTATGCATTGACAGAGGTGTAAATACAGATGGATGGTGGGTATATGAGCAGATACAGATGAGCATTTGAATAGATAGATAGAGAGATACATGACCATCAGTGCTTCGCACCAAATAAACCAACGACACCATACACAAGACAGTACTATATCATCCTCATACCTAGGACTAATCCATGTGGGCGTACGGTTCCCGATTTCTTTTGTAACGTCCTCGCAGTGGACTTCTTCTTCCTTTCTGTTTTTCCGGTAGAACGAGTGTTGCCATGGATGTGACAGACGGGTTTGACTGAGGTATACGAAAGGTGAGCCGTGCTACTACTGCTCTCTCAGCTGCGGTTTATCGGTCGAGATTTTGGTAAAACGTAGGTAGTGATTTGGACTACTGGTGTGGGAATGGGACTGGATAGGTCCTTCCTTGTCTGTGGTGGTGTGGAAATTCTGGACGTAGGGATGTGGTGGCGTGGAACTGGCTACACCCACTGGTGTGGGGAACTGATGTCTAGATGCTTTTGGTTAGGGCTGTTTTGAGAGGCTGTGGCTTGTTGATGTGCCATGGTAGTCATTTGTTGCAATATAAGATGGCTGTAAAGGCGGACTCACAGAGCTTAGAAGTGTCTAGATCACTTATGTAGCCGAGTAGTATTCTTTGCCACATCATCTACGGTCAATTGTGTATTGAGTAGTATCAACTATGTATCCGTGCACTATAATGGAGAGAGAGGGTGTTACTGTGGAAGTGACTGCAATCGGTTGGCATGTCAGGTGACCTGCAGCATTTGCAGAGTCCTTTTCCCACTGTGCTTCATCTTGTATTTTCAACCATCAAGCAGCATTCTCCATAGTCCGAATATCATCAAATTCAGTGTTTAGGACATGTGTCCCTTCTCTGTTTTCACAGTTACTAGGTTGGGCTTGATAGGATTGAGTAGATGTGAAGGTAACTGGATTGGTGAGCCTACGACATGTCAAGAGGAAGCCCGGATGATATTGTAATCGACACTGCATCAAAACACGGATGGTGCTGAGGCAGAACACAACGTATCTACATCCGAACAAAAACCGGCATAGTGTCAATCGGACAGTCGACCTCCACTTCCTGCCCTCCCTCATGAACACGGCCCTCACCCCACAGCTTCCACGATGCTCCCTGCGGAAGATAAGCCCTTGTCTTGCGCTGTCCCGCCTCAAGGACCGGCACAACGAGATACTTAGAACCATACAAGTACTCCGTCTCGACGTCCCAGGCCTTCTTATCCTGCGGGAACTCATAGAACAGGGTGCGGATGACCGGCGTGCCCTTCTCGTGGGCCTCCCGCATCAGACCTCGCGTGTAGTCGCGGAGCTCCTCACGGATGAAAATATACTTCTTGCATATCTCGTATATCTCCTCCCCGTAGGACCAGATCTCATTGTTGCCTCCCGCGGCCGTCGGCTGCCCCTCTGGTTTGGGCTCCCTGTCCCCGTGCAGGCGCATCACGGGGCAGAACGCTCCCCACTGGAACCACCGCGTGAATAGCTCCCTGAACGCTGGGTCGTCTGGGTTGCCGCCGTGGAAGCCCCCGATGTCTGTCGTCCACCAGGGGATACCGGCCAGGCCCATGTTCAGGCCAATGGCCAGCTGATTGCGGAATGCTCCCCATGATGACGCGATGTCGCCGCTCCACACCAGCGCGCCGTACTTCTGGCTGCCGGCCCATGCGCTGCGCAGTAGATTCACGATATTGGTCTGTCCCTCTGCTTCCATACCTTCGTAGAACCCCCGTGCGTATTCCTTTGGGAAGATGTTGCCGATCTGGAGGTTGCTACCGGCGTGGTAGCGGTAGATGTCGAAGTCGTAGATGGAGTACTCTGGCTCGGCCTCGTCTAGCCAGAAGACTTTGATGCCCTTGTCGTAGTAGTTCTTTTTGGCCTTTTCCCAGATGTACTTTCGGGCTTCGGGGTTCGTCGCGTCGAAATGCGTCACGTCTCCGTCGCATTGCATGGCGACTCGCATGCCGCGATCGTGCCGGATTAGGAGTCCTCGTTCAAGCATCTCGGGGTAGTTCTCTGAGGAGTTCTCGACTGTTGGCCAGATTGATACCATTAGCTCGACGTTCATCTCTTTGAGCTCTTTGACCATCGCGTCTATGTGGAGGTTAGCTTTCGGTTTGTTTCGGGTGATGCGGGCTGGATCGCCATACCTGGATCCGGCCAGAATTTGGGATCAAAACTCCATTCTCCCTGGTGCTTCCAGTGGAAGAAGTCAACGACGATGACATCCAACGGGACCTTGCGTCGCCGATGCTCACGCGCCACTTCGAGCAACTGCTCCTGGTTCCAGTACCGAAGCTTGCACTGCCAAAAGCCCAAACCGTACTCCGGCATCATGGGAGCACGACCGGTCACTCTACTGTAGGCCTCTTCAATCTCCGCGGGAGTGTCGCCCGCCACAACCCAGTAATCCAATGATTTGGTTGAAAATGCCTCGAAGCTCATGGTGTTTGTTCCTAGCACAGCCCTCCCAAGACCTGGATTATTCCACAGGAAGCCATATCCGAGCGAAGAAACAGCAAACGGCACACTGGCCTGAGAATTGCGGTGGGCTAGTTCGAGATCAGCTCCTTTCAGGTTGAGGAAGGGCTGCTGATATTGGCCCATGCCAAAGATCTTCTCTTTGGGGTCCAGCGACTCGAAACGCATCGTGAGATGGAAGTCTCCTCCCAGGATTGGCCGCAGCTCACGCGCTTCAACCTCCAAAGCGCTGCATTTCGGGTCGGTCGGATCGCGGCGATGGCGTGCGTACTCTTCCAGAAGTTTGTTTCCCTTAGAGTCGTATATGATTATCTTGCCGCGATGGGAGACCGTCGCTTTGATCTTGCCATTGGAGATGCTGGCATCTTTGCCGGCTTGGATATCAATTGACGGTGGCTGGGCTAGGTTCGTCTTTTCAGATAGAGCCCAGTCTTCAGTCGGCATGGATGCCTGCTTTGTGGCTCTGATACGAAACGCATTCTCGCCCCATGGCTGTATCCAAAGAAGATGGTCGTCAAATCGAAAGACTAGCTTGTCGTCTTCGGCGAAGAGCATGATGGGAGGATAGATGATAGCTTGTTATCGGAAGAGCAGTTGGTTTTGATCGACCTGAGAAACCTGGAGAGTCCAAATCTGCAGTCGCATCTCAACGGATTGCTGGTCAGTTAAGAGCAGCAAACCTCTATTGATTTGCTTCGTCATTGCCCCTCATCGATCCGCATTTCCCCAACTGCAGTACCACCTGTTCCATAAGAGTAGGCCAATCCCCAACTTCATGCACAGGCTTTGCCCCGCTGCAGTCGTGTCACCAAATCCTGAACCCATTAGCTCTCGTTCTCCTCGTTAGTTCCCCTCGTTGGATGGACCAGCATGAGTGGTGGAATATCTCATGTCACTGAGCATGGCCTGTTCAAGATATTCCGTCCAACAATTGATGTTAATCACCGGGAAAACGCCTGGTTTAGATTGAGCTGGGACTATAGCCTAAAGTCTTGATAGATTGCCCAGTAAGTGCCATGGTCACGAGGCGGGGAAGGCCCGTGACTGAAACGACTTGACTACAGGTTAGTGTTTTCCAGTTTCCCGCATTGTCTCTTCATCCACGATTCCTTGGCTTTGACCTTCAATACTACTGGCTCGTCGTGGGCTTTGATGCAGCTTTCCGTCGTCATAGCTTCTCTAGTCATAAGAATGGACAATTCGCGCAGACCCATTACCTTTGACGTGGCGATGAGTTCAGAAGGGCCATACCGATCATCACATGCTGTCGTACTTCTACTCTCCCTCATAATGGGTAACTAGACTCATTCCATTTAATCATTCTGAGCTTCTGGTAGGGTCGGTTCCGGCTAAATAAAGCGTTGCAAATAAGACCAGGGACGACGTCTGAGAATGTGACTCGACGACAGCAGGGATGGTGGCCAATGGACGACTGGGCGGCCTCTAGATTCCACCAACACCCTGGCTTCAAAAATAACAGGATTGCGGGGCTCTATGTGCCACTATACTAGAAGCTTTCTGGCGGCGCCAGGACGACGACTTAGTCGTATAGTGGCTGTCAAGCCTCGTTGATTGGGATGTTTGAGTTATAGAAGTCATTCTTGATATAAGCCCGCTGTGGCCCCTTGCATTTTCCCAAGGACAGCTTTTAGGGACGACTTTCGAATACAATCGGATGAATTACTCTTAGAACGAACAATGGAGGCAGAAAATGACTCCAAAAAGGAGCAAAGTGCTCAATTAGAGCACCCTGATCTCGTCAAGAATGAAGCCCAACAGGCCTCCGAAGCCGAGCACCAGGCGTCATTCTGGGAAGCCCTGAAGACCAATCGCAAGGCTGTTTTATGGTCTGCAGCGATTTCTCTGACTATTATCATGGAAGGATACGACGTCGGTAGGAATAGCATTTGTCCTCAGTGCGGTTTCTTTGCGTCCTGAAGAATTCTGACAGTGATATATCATTTTAGGGCTGATCTTCCAGTTCTTCGCATATCCCACGTTTCAACGAAAGTTTGGGGAATACCAGGCGGATAAAGATGGTTACGAGGTATCTGGGCCCTGGCAAGCTGGTCTCAGCAATGGTGCCAATGTGGGAATCGTCATCGGTGGTTTCTTGAACGGCTTCTTGTCCACAAAATATGGGTACAAGAAAGTTCTCTTGGGCTCGCTGTTTTTCATGAACTGGTTTATCTTCATTTTGTTCTTCGCCCCGTCGGCCCCAGTCCTTCTAGTCGGTCAGATCCTGTGCGGGCTCACCTGGGGTGTGTTTGCGACGACTGGGCCTGCTTATGCCTCCGAAGTATGTCCACTGGCATTGCGTGGGGTCCTGACGTGCTATGTGAACCTGTGCTGGGCGATTGGCCAGTTCATCGCATCCGGTGCCCTCTACGGTCTATTGAAGATCGAGAATGAGTGGTCCTACAGGATCGCCTATGCTCTGCAGTGGATATGGCCGGTTCCTCTTTTCATCCTGATCTTTTTCGCCCCAGAATCACCGTGGTGGCTGGTGCGAAATGGCAAGATGGATGATGCGCATAAGGCTCTCGGGAAGCTGGACAACAAAGATCGCGAATCCCACCAGAAAACGGTGACTCAAATGCAACAGACCCTTGATCTCGAAAAGGAAATGGACGCGGGTTCGAACTACCTAGATTGTTTCCGGGGCGTCGACCGGCGCCGGACCGAAATCGTGTGCCTGGCCTTCGCGGGACAGGTACTTTCTGGGGCACCTTTCGCCTACACACCGACCTACTTCTTCGTCCAGGCCGGCATTGATCCGAGCAAAGCATATCAAATCGCAATAGGCGGCACCGCCATCTCGTTTGTGGGGACGATCATCTCGTGGTTCTTGCTGGGGTGGTTTGGTCGTCGCCAACTGTACATGGGTGGCATCACTACCTTGGCCTGCCTACTGCTGATCATCGGCGTGATCGCCTCTGCGTCCGAATCTGGCGGTGCCAAATGGGGCCAAGCTGCAATGTGCCTTGTGTGGCTCTTCACCTATTCGGTCACGCTTGGTCCCATCACCTTCACCATCATCTCCGAGACGTCATCGATTCAACTGCGCGCTAAGTCTGTGTGCTTGGCTCGAAACGTCTACAACATCGCCCAGATCATCGCGAACGTCATCGAGCCGTATCTGATCAACCCGACCGAGGCCGACTTGAAGGGGCGGACGGCCTATTTTTGGTTTGCAACGGCCACGTTGACCGCGATCTGGGCTTATTTCCGACTCCCTGAATGCAGGGGTCGGACCTATGATGAGCTGGATGTCATGTTTCATCAGGGCGTGTCTGCTAGGAAATTTGCCGACTATGAGGTCAATGTGTATGATGGGAATGCGCTCCGTAAAAGGAGCGTGGGGGACGAGAAGGAACAGACGGAATAGAATGCCAGTGGATAAGAGGAGGACAGGGACTTGTGTACGGAGTAGTTATGCCAGCATATAATCATTGCAGTCAAGGTTTATTTAGATACTGTGGACACCCTCCACGGGGCCTAGCTATACAGTGCGCAAAAGAGACAACAAGGATAAGAAAGAAGGCCGATCTTCTCTACGTACGCCGCCGTGGCTGAGGCTACATACATACAATCCCCCCCACCTTCCGCCCGCCCAAAAGACCTCCGCGCAACATGCCCCAATACCAAGATAAGTAGTTTTTGGAAATGGGGGATGGAAACACGTCCGAGATAATGATGTTGATGATATTCAGACCATGGAAAAGCTTGTAGATTGGTCAAATTAGAAGGTGGTCAAATGTGTGGGGAAAGGACTGCAAACGCCGTAGATCAGCTGACCGTTTGGCCGGTTGCCAGTCACTGCTTTTCCACGTAATTGACCTCAACAATTTACATGCAAACCAGCGACTATTCTGGCAGGCGCGAGGAGGGACCCGCAACAGATACACATGTCAAATAACCAAGTTACTCAGCTCCCAAGAGACCGTTGTAACTGCTCCACAGTTCACCAAAAACCTTTAAATCACACCAATGATGTCAAACGGTCAACTCCGCCACACTTGACCGGGCGGTGAGAGAGGAACGTCTCATTCTCATTGCCGAATCTGACAAGCTCCATCACTTGGCGATCAAATCGCCTCAACCCTCCACCTCACTCTTGCTTTATTTATACCTTGCTACTCCCCGTTGAATATCAATTTGTTTATTCTGCTCTGCAATTCCCCCGAAGAGTATCTTCACAATCACATTCGGTCCACCGTGCGACCCCACCATGGAGGTCATCGCCAGTGCGGACACACCTCTCCAACCGGGACCCTCCTATGGTAATCATCCGTTTCCCAGCGCCATGGACGCTTCTATGGATATCGATATGGACCTGGACCTAGGTCCCATGCCCGAAAACGAGCAAAGCGAGACCGTTCGGGATCCTATGACCGGGGCATCTACCGCCACCGAAGGCGCGGTAGACCCCGAAGAAGTGCTGTATGAAAAAGTTCACGTTAGAGGCGTCGACGAATTGACTACAGACAACATCAAAGAATTCTCAATGAGCCACTTCGCTGGAGAGAAGCCGAGCCGTGTCGAATGGATTGACGACACGTCCGCGAACCTGGTCTACTCATCGGCAGATGTTGGCCTTCAAGCCCTCTCCGCCTTGACACAAATAACCGAAGAAGAGGACGCGTCCTCCCTACCCGCCCTGCGCCTGCGTACAGCCAAGTTGCTAGCTAGCCACCCCGACTCGGTTCTCCAGGTGAGATCGGCCGTGAAGACAGATCGCAAAAAGGCACGCGCCCACGAGTCCAGTCGATTCTACCTCATGCATCCCGAGCACGATCCGCGCGAGAGACTACGACTGGAGCTTTCAGATCGACGGCGTCAAGGTGGGGATAGTGCCGATGGTGATTATAGACGAAGACGGTTTGACGATCGGGAGTTGCGCCGACGACGGGACCGCGATGCGGATGAGCAGTTTGGCGCGAGCATGTACGATGAAGGGGGCGCGACGAGCAGCGACCATACCGATAGACGACCGCGAAGAGGACACCAGGAGCTGTTCCCCGAGGACGAAGGGCGATCTTCTGGTCGTCTCCGCAATCGCAGCGCGTCCCCCGGGCGAGACACTTTGGTGGAACATGGACACTCGGAACCTGACGAGCGCGCCTCGCGCAGACGGTTCCGCGAGCGGTCGCCTGGCCGTCGCAACCTCGGAAAGGAGCTATTCCCCTCGTCCGGTGCGGGTGACAGCGAAGCTCCGCGGGAGCTGTTCCCGAACAAGCCCACTTCAAGTTACCTCAAAAAGGAACTTTTCCCAAATAAGGTCAGCAACCACCGTCGTTCCGACGCGATCGATGTTGCAGACGAGACTGCAGACCTTTTCGCCCGGAGAATTTCCCTTCCTTTAGTTGACGGTCAACAGGAAGAGGCACCATCCCAGCGCAAACGAAACATCGAACTTTTCCCGGATTCATCAGCACCAGCGGGTGCCCGTATTCGAGGATCCTCTGGTCGGGACCAAGGGTTTTCTATCCGCGGGTCTGCAGATGAGGGGATCTCGATCAAAGGACGGGGCGCTTCTGTCCGCGAACTTTTCCCGAATAAATATAACGGCAGCGGCAGGGCCGGGAGCAATGCGAATAAGGAGTTGTTTTCCGATAAGATCGAGGGACGAGGAGGCCCCCGGCGGAAGGCTGAGGATTTGTTTGGTTGATTAGGATTTTCGGACATTCGCCATGAACTTGATCATATACACACCATCTTATGAGCCATAATCGTTGTTATATTCGGGGGGATTTGCATATGGGGAGACCACTAGTGACGCCACTCAAAACATCGTGATACCAAATTAATTTTATACCATGTGATTTGACTCATTCTGTCATCCTCATTTTAAGCCCTCGTAAAAGAATTGTATACAAATACGTCAAGAGACGGCGGAGATTATTCCACACTCCAGATCCCCCGCGGTTGACGTGACTTTACCCGATACGATAGAGCGATAGTGATGGAGCGGGCACCACCGCTCCATCCCACTCCCTCCCAAACATTATCCCAGGGACTTCGGTCCCCTTCTGAAAACCGCCAGCGACCATGACTTCCCAGTCCCAGTCCCAGACCCCCTCCCTACCAAGCACCCTCGTGGCGCGCTTTCTACGGACAAATAATTACACCGAGACGCTCCGCGCATTCATCCGGGAGGCGGGCCTCCCGAACAACGTGGGGCAACCGAGTATCAGCAGCAGCAGCAGCCAGAACAACCACGGCGAGAGCAGCTGGACCATTGAGGGGGTGCTGGAGGAGAAGAAGGCGTTTGACAAGAGCGTGAATTTCGAGCGGTATGGGGGAGATGAGAAGGAGCGAGGGGAGTGGAGTGTTCCAGGTATGTACATATATCCCACAATTCACGTTTCGTTTGCGTGCTTTGACTGACGGTGTTGCTTGTAGCGCCCACGAAACCGAATCCCATTCAAACGCCTAATTCCGCGAACTTGTTGGCGTGCTCTGTAGAGCCGTGGAAGCAGGCTGTCGGCGGTGACAGGGACGGGGAGGAAGAAGAAGGAAAACAAAAAGAGAGCGGCGCGTATCTCGTTGCTACCGGCGCAGACAGACAGCTCCATCTATTCACAACCGCTACGGGAAACCACGTCGTCAAGTCGTTTTCGAGCCTCTCCGACTCGCCGATCTTGTCGTATACGACTGTCCGAAATGGCAGATACGTTCTCCTGACGAATATGTCGGGCCAGTTGCTCCTCCAGAGGGGCGCCGAGACGCTGGATTGCAGGAAGGACCATGCGAAATACGCGGTTAAAGTGGTCGCGCATGAAGAGGAGGATGCAGTATGGATTGCTACGGCTGGGTGGGACTCGAAAGTCGTTCTGTACAGATTGAGTATTCCCATCGAGGAGTCTGAGACAGGCGGCGGTGTCACGCTCGGGGAACCCGCTGCGTATATCACCCTGGCGTCTAACCCAGAGTCCATGCTCTTCGTCCGCCACGTCGACACGGGAGAGCTCATCTTGCTTGTCTCCCGGCGCGATTCGACACATCTCCACTACTATCAGGTCAACGACTCCAGTGCGCTGACACCCTACGAATGCCCTCTCCTCGGGACGCAGAACCTCGCCCCGCACTCCAACGCCTGGGTGGCCTTCTCGCCATCATGTCTAGCACTCAGCCCGGACGACCCGGGCCTACTAGCCGTCGCGGCGTCAACCACCCCACACATGAAGGTCCTCCTCGTGCGGTTACTATTCCCATCGCAATCGGAAGCCTCAGATGGCGACGGGACCGAGCCGCACGCCACGCAGGCCACGCAGGCGCTTGCGGCCCTGTCGCTGCAGAATAGGGAAGACGCGGCCATTCTCATCCAGGCGAATACCTTTGCGCCGCAGACGGCGTACTCCACCCCGCAGGTTGTATGGCGGCCTGATGGGTCTGGGGTCTGGGTGAATGGTGATGATGGGGTGATTCGGGGTGTTGAGAGGAGGACGGGGAAGGTCGCTGTGATGCTTAAGGATGGCCATGATACTGGGTATAAGGTGCGGTCTATATGGGCGGGCTGGGTCGATGTGGTTGGGGATGGTGGTGAGGTTGTTCGTGAGGAGTGGTTGGTTAGTGGGGGGTTTGATAAGAAGTTGATTGTTTGGAAGGCTGGTTGAGGTTGCATATGTAGGCAGTTATTTGTCTTGGTTTGGAGCATTTTCATTGGATTGTAAAAGATAAGCGTTGCATTGCATAATATTGAATCATATGGATTCTTGATAACTCTTGAAATGACTACGAGAAATCTGTAGCCCTCCGTCCATGCACCCTCGACCATAAGAAAACGAGATGTAGGGTGTTTGGTAATTGGAGGGCTTGGGATCTGATCTTGGCACGTTGATAAATCCTTCAGCTAACGCGTACGGGGTGAAACCGCGGTGCTGTACACACATATGCCTGAAAACGAAACAAAACAAAACGTAAAAGCAGAACTACTTCCATCAATCGACCAGCCCGTTCCTCGAATCTGATCAAGGAGAAATCACAGAGCCAGGAAAGGGAGGATGATGGTGTGGATCGAAGAATGGGACTTGGGGGTTGGTGATTGTATGTAACAACCGTCGCGGAACCAGCCCAGCCAGGCTATCCGACAGGACAGGAGGGGACGCTTTCATTGTCATCGCACGTGGGAGAGTAAAGGGAAAAAAACAGCTGCCGACTAGATCGAAATCGCTCTCATTTCAGAATTTTCGGGTCTTTTCTATTATTTAGTAGTGGACCTGATCTATGCGATCTCGCGCTTGCCCTCCTTGCGCTCCTTCTATTGGGGGTGTTAGCGATCTGCAGTTTCAATGCGAAATTGTGGTTTTGGATCGGGTGGGAGGCATTCGTGTGGGTGTCGTGGAGTAGGAAAGGTAGGAATCTGCCACGTACCAGAGCCTTCATGGTGCCATGAAGAGCGTGTCTGTGGTTGCGGCGGAACTTGGGGTCGACACCCTTGAGAGAGGGGTAACGGTTGGTCTTAGGCTTCTTGATACTGTTGGGAGGAGGGAGCAGTCAGCGGCGTATTCCGATGGATGAAAGACCGGACGATGTTGCGAGAGATTGGATGTGGCATGTTTGTTCGCATCAAGGTCAAGTCCCATCAACGTCATTCCAGGAAGTCCTCTCAAGCCGTCCAACATTGCCACATCCATCTCTTGGTTTCCCGTTCGCAACACATCCGATCAGATCAACCGGGATATACACACCCGTTACGGTGAGCCTTCTGGCTGTTGTGGTGCTGAGACGCGTTCTTCGACTCTGTAGAAAGGAAAGGCCTTCGTCAGCGATTCATTCCGAGCGACGTGGGAGAAAGATTCCCATTTTCATTGGATCATCCATATCCAAGAGAAATAGATGCCCGAGAAAACATAATGTCGAAGGGATCACGTACTGGCCATCTTGTCGGATTTTGTCGCAACTGGGAGACGGTTGACGGAAAGATGGCGGGTGAGGGTATCCTGAGATTGAAGCAATGGGCCGTCCGGCCAGCAGCGCTTCGGCTAGGGCTTCCCACTATCCTTTTTGTGTGGGATTTCGCTTACCGGGCGCGGTTAGCGCTGGTGATTGGTCCGTTGCGGCATTCGGGCATTATGTAATCTAATGTCCTCAGGCAACTATCTCCTTCTGACTCTCTTCTTGAAACCTCATGATTGCTTCTAAGTAGCATTTCATGGTCATGCGTGGTAGTATTTTGGCAAGGCAGTACATCTTATCTGACTGTTTCAGGTATTCAAATGGCTGGAGTTGCCATACCGTTTGTCGTCTCGAGGGGATAGATAGATGGGATCCCGTGATCGGTGACTCAGCTTCCTTACGAGCGTCGCATTTGTCTAAGTCTAACAGCGGGGGAAGTATCAAGACAAGTGCCAGTATTATTGTCCCGTCCATGATATATTATTTGGTTATGGACAAAGTTGACTATCAACCACTTGAGAAGGCTCTCGCATATCCCCAGTTATCTGAGAAGGATGCCGTGACGGAGTATTGCGGTTCCCAAATCACGTGATATCAAATGTTTGGACAATCGTCTGGACAAAAACAAACCAAACAAGTAATCAGTGGGATGTTATCAACTACAGAGTTAACATCGAATCAGTCTTTTAGGCAGTAAGAACTTCCAGCACCCTTTGGTGTCGCCCCAGGCGAATCAAGTCGCCGGACAGCCGCAGGGACGAAAGATGAAGGTACGCGTCGAGTATGTTCCTAGTAGTAGTATTCATTATTTCGTATGCGATATGTAAATGCTCTCTACCAATGTATCTCCCTATCAATAAAAAAAAGAAAAAACAATTAAGGAACCGACAGACAACCATATGTTATGAGGCAGAGGAAGACAAGAGTATGCTGGTGAATCACGGGGTGTGGCTGTTCGGTCCGGGAAACGGTAGGGCCACGTGACCGCAAGAGCCGCTAGGGAACAACCGGCATCCGACTTCGACCTTTGCACTTCAACTCAGGTTCCAGAGGGATACTATCACCACCGCTTCTATCCACCCAATTACACCATGAGCTCTCTCCGTTTCGCTCGCGCTGCCCTCAGGGCTCGTCCCGCTGCCTTCGGCGCTCCTTTCCAGCGCCGCGGTTACGCTGAGGCCGTCTCGGACAAGCTGAAGCTGTCTCTGGTTCTCCCTCACCAGGTACGACCCTTCGAACAGGACCACCCACTTACACGCGCGCATGTTCTCGAAACTAACCAAGATTTCTCTCCTTTAGACCATCTTCCAGTCGACCGGCGTGTATGTCAACCCGCCTTTGCCCTTACCATTTCCTTGATTCGCCGGAGGACCTTACGCCCCCCTCCTCTAAACGATCCCATACTCATCGATTCTTTCTCCATACAGTGTCCAGGTCAACATCCCCGCCGAGTCCGGCGAGATGGGTGTCCTCGCCAACCACGTTCCCTCCATTGAGCAGCTCAAGCCCGGTCTCGTTGAGGTTATTGAGGAGAGTGGTGCCAACAAGAAGTTTTTCCGTACGTCCGACATATCATCCGATGCCCGCTTCTCCGGAGCCTCGCATCGCCCTGACCGACAAACGGTCCGATTGTGAAAATCAACTCTAACACTGATATTTCTTCTTATTGTAGTGTCCGGTGGCTTCGCTGTTGTCCAGCCCAACTCCCAGTTGAGCGTCAACGCCGTCGAGGGTTTCGCTCTCGAAGATTTCAGCGCCGACGTATGTTCCGCGCCCAGACATACCTATCACTTTATACTAATGGATTACTCGTCCTGTAGGCCGTCAAGAACCAGATCGCCGAGGCCCAGAAGATTGCCGGTGGCAGCGGCAGTGAGCAGGATATTGCTGAGGCTAAGATCGAGCTCGAGGTAAGCCGTTCTGACCCGAAGATTATAACTACATCAGCGGCTAATCATGCAATAGGTGCTGGAGACCCTGCAGGCTGTGCTCAAATAGATACCTGGTGTACATATCCACTTTTGATTGCAGCTCTGAACGTGTAGAATTATAACAGCTCCATTGCGAGTTTCACTGATACTTCACCATGCGTCCATCCAAATAGAATCTCTCTGTTCTAGTACCCTTTGCAGTACTTGTCCAGTCACCTACCTGTCCGGGTATATGTGATCTTAATATTTAGGCTTTTTTTCTAAGGTCGGGTCGTTCCTTCCCGAATGGATGTTGAGCGCATCTGATAGCGTTCCTCCCCACCGCCTTCTATCCGGATGCTTTCTACATCCCCTACTCCCCCTCTTTCCCTCTTGCCAGTCTATTGCTCTACGGACATCGTTTCTATGAACTGATACTCTACAGCAACAATCGGGACATCCAATCAGCAGTAAAACAGTCAAGATGCAGTCACATCCGCCCTCTGTACTGAAAACACTAGACTGCAACTCGACGAGCCTCTCTACCCATCCGACGTCGTTAACCTCACCGTCATCTCCAGATCAGACCTCTTGCCTGCCAGCAGAGGAACACAAACCAGCGGCTCCATGCTGCAGCGATGCGCAAGACAGTGGTCCTTGTCCAGCTGGACATGACAATGACCCAAATCAAGCAGTATCTGGCGAAGGAACCGCCCGCTCGCCATTTGTTGAAATACCATTCCCTAGTTCAAATCTGGACTTGCTAGCCGAGCTGACGGACAGTGATTTCCTATTCGACGGACCGGAAATGCCCCTGAACCCCCAGAACACACCCGAGACTCGGGGTGGATCCTCGAACAAGTCTCGGGACAAGGTCTTTCAATCGTCTCCATTGGCAGAGCCAACTGCGCTAGCCTGGCTGACCGGTATATTCGAGAACTACGATGATTCCATTATTCAAGATGGGGCAGGTTCGCTCTCATCGGAGCCACCAGCAAACAACCGCCCAAGCCCAGCGGCACAACCTGCCCAGGACACGCATCAATCATGCCGGAAGTCGAGCAGTCTTTGCCATACGACGACGCCTTTGAGTCCTTCGAAGCCGAAGAGTACCCACATCCATTCCAAGGACCAACCTGAACCGGATCATGAAATAGAGCACATAATAGCAGAGAAGCCGAAGAAATCGTCAGACAAAACAAAGCTCAACCGGAGACGTTACGTTGCGCGGACTCTACGTCGAACTTCTTTGAAAAGCTTACGCACGTCGATGGACTACACATCTAGGGATCCAGAGCTACGTACTTGTGGCACAACTGAACCGCCACCCAATCTGAGCTCTGAGCCATGCCAGGCAAAAGTACCCGGGTTTGTTTGGTACGGCAAGTTGTGGAGTGCCACAGACAGCCCATCACGAGGCACCCGAGCGACAGGGGGGTCTACAGATGGTATGGCCACTTCGGAGACCTTGAAACGAATCGGTAGAAGCTACCTCCCTTTGCTCGAGGAGCTGGAGCATGGCCCGTTGTTCAAATGGAGCTTTTATCATTGCCAGGTGTGGATAAGCTTGTCTCATGGGGAAGGTGCAGAGGATCACAGGGCCCAGACTACTCGCACCCACAGGTATCAAATCAGTCTAAATATACCTGCGCTGCTCCTCTATGTCTTCGTTTTGATCATCACTGCCAATCTCTATATTTTCTCATTGAGCCTCTTTTCCAGAGCCCTTGATCGCGCACACCGGCTGCTGTCTCAATTCATGGACATTGTTCTCCAAGAATTGGAAACACTGCGCACCGATCCTTCCACACACAGGCTTCCGCCGTCCGTCACAGACTGTCTTTCCTGCTTGCAGAGTAACCCTCCCATTGATGTCGGGTTTGAGCTGGAAAGGGTTCATTGAACTGGGCCAGCTTCTTTGCCACTTCTTCCGATATTTGCAATGATGGCATTGCCTTTTTTTTTTTTCCTTTTTTGTCTTTCTAGGCCCCTAGTCCTTTGTCCTTTCTCTTTTCCCCCCAAATACTTTACCGTATACTTATACCCGAGCCCATGGGTCAAATTATGATCTACTCAGAATGACTTGCAGGGCGTGGTATCCCGATGACGGAATGCTTGGACGATCTCGATGGCGGTTCATAAGACTAAATTGTATTATATATGGGCATTCTTCTACCTAATTGTCATGTGTATATTAGTGTTCAAGATAACCAGATCATTGTCACAAAAAGCCTTGATGTAGAGTACACCGAGTACTGAATCAATTACTACATTGTCTGTCTTGCTTTTCTAGAACGATTCATCCGTCGACGATGGCATAAAAATTGTGATAAAACTATGAACAGACTACATAATACATTACAGATCTTGGGTAGCTCCATCCAGACTCTATCTAGACTGAGATAACAAAACAATAAATAAATACATACATACATAGAGGTGTATACAAAAAGTTAAAAGTAAGACGTTCTTCATACTATGTGCATGGGATTAGAGCAACAAGAAACCCCAACCACCAATACACTCTGCTTTCTCTGTCGAGAGTGAGAAGACCAAGGCAAACAGGATGACAAAAGAAGAGAAGAAAGCAAAAAAGCAGGAGGTCATGATATAATATGCATCCATCCAACATCGTTAATTGAACAAGCAAAAAAAGAGCGGTTGAGGTGGATAGGGAAGAAAATAAAGTATAACAAAAAACGTACATCCATCCTAGATTGATTTCGTTCTAGCACGGAGATTGGGTGGGTGGGTGAATAGATAAGTACATTGCGGGAGACATCATTCAGTGGGTAGGTAGGTAAGGTATTTGTTTTTCCTGAATCGTAGTGTTCAGAGGTCATAGGCTGTAGGCATCATTGGAATAGGGAGTCATTTTTTTGTCATCTTTTGGGGTCATTTTTTTCTTCGTGATCTTCGAGGTCGTGGGTAGTGTTTGAGTAAGGGTCGTTATGGTGAAGGGACATGAACGGACATGAAATGGAAACGGAAAATGAAAACAGAAGGAAATAGAAAATTCAACGCTCGCGACATAAGCTTATCGTCTCTTCCTGGTGATTGCGGAGAGGGATATCGTTCATGATAAGGGTAAGTGGGTAGGGCAAGAGAGGGGTTTTGGAAGAATAATGTAGGACAGGGTAAGGCAGGCTGGTTGTACTGTATCAAGTAAAGTCCACGCTGGGCTGCTGACGCTCTTGTCGCGTGCGGGCTCGTTCAGCACGTCTTCTCCGTCGATTATTGGCGTAGTCGCCGCTAGCTTCCGTTCCCGTCCATGTGCCAGGGGAGGTGACACTGCCGGGGCCGTAGGGCAGGCTAGAAGGGACGTGGGGCGGTGGGGGAGGTGCCATGTGGCTCATATCCATGTTCGACGGGGGATGCATCGCGGGAGGGACGGTAGAAGCGGCAGCGGCGGCTTCCTGCTCTCGTTGCATCTGCTCTTGTTGTTGGCGCTCGAGTTCCTCGACTCGGCGCCATCGGGAATACCCGCTCTCGTTGCCTGACAGTGAGCTCGCGCTTCCTGTACGGCGTCGGGAGCTCCGTCGGTCTCGGCGCCGGTTTTCGCGGTTGGCGGCTGCTTCCTCCTCTGTGAGCCTGCGGAGCGTGACGTGTCGGCCGTCTTCGTGCATCTTCACTTTGAGGGAGACGGGGGGCGACTCGACGTTGTCTTCTCGGTGTCTGCTGCCGCTTCGGCGACGGTGGGGTCCGGGAGCCGCGCCCATTGCCGGTCCGGCGGCGAAGTCGGAGACATCGGGGCGAGAGGGGTCGTAGGGTGGTACGTCCGAGGGGTGGTGGATTGGCGTAACGGGGGGTAGCTCGGAGTGTGGGCCGTCGACAGGACCGGAGGAGGCAGCGGGGCCTGGGTGGCCGTGCGCAGGGCCACGAGGGGGGCGTGTCATGTCGCTGGTGAGATCGGTGGCTGAGAAGGACTGGGTTCTCCGGTTGTCTCTTCGGTTCTGCGGGTAATAACCGTCACCGGTGTATCGGCGCTTGCTATTTGCTCGAGCCAATCTCTCGTCTTCGATCTCCCGACGACGCAGTTCCTCTATGCGGCGTTGATCGTCGTCGCCTCTGCGGCGGTTGAATATGTTTTTTAAGGCCGCAAACGCCCCGGCGCCTAGAAATGCATTGCGCGCCTTGTGGGTGCCGCCGTGATCGTGATGGGAAAGGTAGGTGCTATCGTAGAACTCTGATGATCCTGGGCTCTGTGGTCGGCTTGGGGGTCGACTCGGAGGCCGGTTCAGAGGCGTTCGGTGGGTTGGCTCCGGCCGTCCGTCTTCCATTCGGCTCATGGTCGCCTCGGTCATACTGTCACTTCGCGTGTGGGCGCGACTATACCGGCCCGATTCTGTATCGTCGTCTCGATCGCGACGCCGGTCAAACAGCTTCTTAGCAAGGAAGGCACCGCCACCCAGCGCGCCCAGCTTGAAAAGTTTGCCGCCCCAGCCGCCACGGCGCGACTCCTCGTCGGAATACTTATCCTCCGTATAAGATACTTGCGAGTCATCATGGTCTCTCTTCGAGCGACGCCTGAAGAGCGCAGCCAGCCCAGCGGCCCCCGCGCCCGCGGCGGCCATCCGACCGAAGTTGTGTTGAGGACGATCAGGGGGAGCCGAGGGACCGGAAATGTAGCTATGGCGACTGTCGTAGTCACTTCCCATGTGATACCCATCTGTGTCGTACAGGTAGGATAGCACGAAAAAGGCGAGCAGCAGACCGAAGGCCGCAAGCGCGAACAGGATAAACAATAACTTCGGGGAGCCATACAGGGTGAGTCCTAAGGGGATCTGGATGAGGCCCAAGAGGGCCAGGGCACGGCCCAGCCATCGATGCAGCTAGAACGATCAGAAGAGTCGCGCAATGAGACAATTTCACGGGACTTACCACTAGTTTCAGAGGGACATGAACCCGCTCGCGCTTGCTTTCTACCTTGTGGAGCAACCAGCCCCAAAGAACTTGGACAATCACCATCACATAGATCGCCAGACCGATCCCGTGATGAGGATTGGTCAGGCTCCTTCGCGGACCCACCGCAAACCAGCCCAGGACAAAGACGACAGTGGTCAGGAACAGAGTCAGGACCTGGCACCAGACATGCAACTTGAAAGCCCAGAACGGATTCGAGCGGGAGTAGTATCGAATGAGCATCACCGAGAGTGGCACAATCCCCATGAACACGATCGTTGCGATGACGGCATGAGCGATGACGAAGGTATGGTACTGAGGCATGTCTCTGAAGCGGTTTCCCATCCCTAGACCACAATGAGTACGGCGAACGCTTCTAGAATCCCGGACCTGGACTTACCGTTGTATCGCATCGTCTCGAAATTCACACCCATGAGATTGGGCAGCAAGAACGTATCGCGTCCGGAGTCCCATGTCCCATCACCCACGTGCAGTGTATTCGAGGCATAGGTGCTGCTGCCCGGATCTGTGAGATCGGAATTGGACGACATCGCGTTTACCGGGGCTTCGTATCACTCGCGGTCGTCGGTATGGATATCCCCACGGAGATCTATCGAGATCCCCCACTGCGGAGAATCCACCATGCACCGATCGCACCAGTCAATCGACGTTCGCAGCGCTTACCGATTCAATCCGGTGACAGGATGGAGACGAAAGAATCGAGAGGGATTGGGATGCGACCGCGATGGTTATCAGTTGTTCGGTGAGTTGAGGGCGTACAAATAGTCGGCGGCAACGGGTGAGAAATAATAACAATGGCCGAGTAAGATGAGAGCGGGGAAGCTGAAACGGAAGGGATGGAAAGCAATCGTGGTTCGATGCGAGGAGGCCAATAACTATGTCCGGTCTAGACCCAACCAATATACCAACTGCAGGACGGACAATTTGAGATTGAATAACAACCACGATCGAGAGAACCAAGGAAGAAGATGGAGAACTGAATCGATGGAATGCGATCGAGATCCACCGTCCAATCCGCATATCAACTGTTTGCCGTTTGGGGTTTAGCGTGCCAGCGCATAACCAGGACAACCGCTGACTCAGCAGCACTATCTCTCGATCACGTTATCTTTATCTTATCAGTCCAGGTGATCAACTCCATCTTCTCTTCGTCTAGATGTCTACACTAGACATCCATCTCTTGATCTGTGGAGATTCTCTCATTCATCCTTCCATGTCGCATCTGTAAATAGTTTCTCATCACTATAGCCAATCTTCCAGCATGTCTCAGCTCGAGATCTTTCTCAAGGCGCTGTCCCGGTAACGTCAACTGTCCCGTCCCTCGCGTGCTGACCATCGTGGGGAGCGTGAGGGAAAGGATATAGTGGCTGACCTCTTGGGTCTGTAGACTATTAGGGTGGATATAGTATGTGAATGGAGGGATATCGACCTCTGATGACCCGGTTCCTCGGAGATAAGACTAATCCGCGTTTACTTTGCCAGTACTTTTTGCTGGTCTGCGTCTTTTTATCCCCAACCAATAAGCAATTTCCGACGACGGTCGACGACGGGACTCGCCATCGATTTCCCGACAATCAACGTCCTGGGGTTCATCTGCTACATGGGGTATACCGCCGCGTTCCTTTGGTCTCCCGTTATTCGTGATCAGTATGCGGCCCGTCATCCCTTGGCAGAAGAGCCGACCGTCCGCTTCAACGACTTCGCCTTTGCCATCCATGCAGTCGTCCTCAGCATCATCACCTACACCCAGTTTTGGCCCCGGATTTGGGGGTTCGAGGTGTCACGTTTCCAACGCGTGAGTAAGCCGGTGGCCGGTCTTTTCTGGGGCTCGATTGCAGCCGTGGTCCTGGTGGTCTTCGTTGTGCTGCGCCAGGGCCCCAGCCAAGGTTATGATCCGTCGGCATGGGCATGGATTGATGTTGTAGGTGTTCTCGAAACAATTGACTTTTTCTCTTCATTCTTAATTTTTATTTTTATTTTATTTTTTATTTTTATTTTATTTTTTATTTTTTTTGTTCACTTCATCTAACTTGGAGGGGGTACAGGTTTATACTTTGTCCTACGTCAAATTGATCGTCACCATTGTCAAGTACGTTCCACAGGCATGGGTCAACTATAAGCGGAAATCCACGGCCGGCTGGAGCATTGTGCAGATTCTCCTGGACTTGATGGGCGGGGTCCTCTCCCTCGTCCAGCTGGTCCTCGACTCGAGCTTTCAAAATGACTGGAGCGGCATCACCGGAAACCCCGTCAAACTTCTTCTGTCCAACGTGAGCATCGCCTTTGATGTGGTCTTTATGGTTCAGCATTATCTTCTGTATCGAGATGTAGAGGATGGCCCGGGCAAACCACCCAATGCCGGTATCACCACTCCGCTATTGGACCCTCAACAACGGTCAGCGAGTGTCTAAGGTGGGGTGAGGGGAAAGGAAACTATTCCCGAATAGGAGAAAACTGTGCAGGACCCACGTCTTAGTCCACATCCTTGTCCCGGTCGAGATTGATGCCTGATTAGCCCATTTCTGGAATTTTCGTGGTTTTGTCTTGTTTTTGGTGAACATTCGCATTGGTCCAAGTTCCGGGCCCCATCGATTTTACTCGGTGGTAACTTTTTATTTACATGCTTTTTTATTTTCAATTTCAGCTAGTGAACGCCATAAACCAGCAACGAGCGGATGACACCGCTCTTTGGGCGGTCGAATTCATGGACGCTCCCAGAAACCAACCAGTCAGGGAAGGCGCTGCAAGGGCCGAAGATTACAGAGCAACGATCTAAGCCTAATTATGTTCAACGGTTGCACACTCAGTGGGGTCGCATTGAGGCTTATCAACCGCTCTCTGAGCGGTCAGATTGCTGAGGATCGACATTCCTTTTCCTCAGCCATGTCCGCCAGCCTCGTATGGACCGCCTGACACCCCTGTTCCCTGGGTCAGAAAGAGACTCGTGTTTACTTGGCACTTCCCCATTTCCGGCCGGTGGATGCGTGGAGTTCGATGCATGGATTTCCATGTTTCCCAAAAAGCATATTCTGTCTGGAAGTCTGGATGCCCCCCGAAAACTAAGCCTCCTTCCCCACCGACAGATTTGTAGCGATCGATGCCCTGCCCTGGGGCTCGGGCGGCGGTCTATGATTAGATGCGATGTTCCCAGCGAAGACATTGGCCCCTGTTTTTGCCTGCATGAGTTAGTTCGCAGCCTCCGTGGTGATTTGGTCTCCACTCTTGTCAATAGACAGCTGCCAATGGTAGTGGGGGAGGTCTCGTCTTTCGTCGAACGGGTTAGCACTCGGTCTTCAATATCGTTCGAGGTGCTGTCTGTCATTACCTTCCCAGGGTAAAGGCCAAATCAACGCTGCACGCGGGTGGAGACAGGAACCATGTGTCTTGGGTGACTCGATCCAAGCCACCATTTCTTCTTCCGTCTTGAACACAGACATCCCCGGACATACCCGTCGTACTCGCTTCCCTTTCATCAGCCCTACCATGGTGTTGACTGATCCCCCCTCCCCATCGGGCCACTGTCTGTTTCCCATTGTAGATCCCGTCACCCCGGATCCAATGAGGCTCCCTTGATCCCCAGGAAGACATGGCTCAGGTCCGTCAGATGGCCAATCACCGCGGAGGGTCCCCGCGACATTGAGGGACTAATTTTATCGCGGCCAGAGAATCCAACGGGGTCACCGAGCCCTAACGACCGATATAAGCGGTGGTTTCCTTTCAGCTGCAATCTCGCACCATTCTCGTTTGAGGTTCACAACTGCTATCTCCCTCAGCCATACTATTCTCGCTTGGGTAAAAACCCTGTAGACGGCTTAGAGCTGGAGGACGCCCTTCCCTTGACTCCTTCTTAAACCGGCCCTTCCATCGATGACTCGACGTGACATGCATATCAAATGTATTTATATCAATTTGTCATCTGAGAGTCGCTTTCACTCAGCTAATCTTGTCATTGTCAGCACGACCGATGGGACATGCATAGCCACATCTGACAACCTACCGAGTTCGGCTGTTTCCATTTATTACCATAGATCCACCTTGGCTCGATTTAAATATCCGCGATCTCAAAACGGGCACAGGCTAAGCAGAACAAGGTAAACCATATAGTTCCTTCCGTGCACTGACCCCATGGTTATTTATGAAGGCCCCGTTTCTTCGCCTCATACTAAAATGGACTCAAGGCACGCCTCCAGCACCCGCAGAATTCTACCCTCCAGACCCTCTTCGAGCCCTGCAGCCAACCCCACATCAGTCCCCATGACCGACGCTGCTTTCTTCCTACCTGGCTCCTCAATGATGCGCTCCGTGCCGGTGCCGTCACAGCAGAGCTTCTACTCCACAGCGACCTATAACCACCATCCACTTTCCGACCTGCACGACATGTCCGATATCATTGCCTACCAGATGGAGCGCGACCAAACGCGCGACCCCAGCATGGACCAGCTCTTTGCGCAACAGTCGCCCGCGTTCTTCCAATCCGACCTTGAGACCGCGCCGGGTCTGTCCGCCGGCGAGCCGTATGAGAATCCCATGCTCCTCAGCCCTAACCGGGGCTCTCACTCTCACTCCCATTCCCACTCGCCGTCCACCTCCACCACGACCAGCGCCGCCTATTCCCCCATGTCCGATCAATGGATTCACCCGGGTCCCGACTACTACCCCGTCCCCACATCCAGCAGCGTCTGCAGCCGCCGCAACAGCATCAACAGCCTAGCCTACAATCCCCACTCTCACCATCAACAGTCCCATCACCACCACCAAGACTCCTGGGACCACCATCACCAGCAACAGCAACAACAACAACAAAACGTTCCCTCCAAAGACCTCACCAGCTACGGTCTCCCGTTGGGAGACGGCACCTGGCGCTGCGCCTACCCCGGCTGCACGTCGTCGGCCGTCTTCCGACGCGGCTGCGACCTGCGCAAGCACTACAACCGCCACCGCAAGCACCTCTTCTGCCGACACGACGGCTGTCCGCAGGCGGTGTCCGGCGGGTTCTCCAGCAAAAAGGACCGTGACAGGCACGAGGCGAAACACAATCCCCTCGTGGAGTGCGAGTGGACTGGCTGCGGACGGGTGTTCAGCCGGGTTGACAATATGAAAGATCACGTGAAGCGAATTCATCGTCGGAGGGAGTTTTAACTAGCCCTCTCTTTCCTTACTTTCTTCTTGCTGTTTTGCTTTCTATCTATCTTGTTTTTAATGCTTTCTGCCGTTTATTCTCCCTTTGTTTTGGTCTTTATTCTGAGCGCTTTTGGCTTGCGTTGAGGGTGTCTTTTCTGACTGGGGACCTGCAGGCGGGTTTTCTCTCTATATTAGTATTACATTATGTCTATCTATATATTGTGATTGCTTCCTTTTTGTTTCATTTTTTTTTTTACTTTTATCGTTTGTTTCTATCTTGCATCGCCTTCACAAGTCATCTCATCCGGGGAAGGGGGAAAAGACACCGCCTCTACATCTGTATATTTAACCCTGACGATGCAGAAAATACAGTGAAGCATGTACACGAAGACACTAGGTATCATTCAGAATACTCTCATCCTTATTGAATATCCAAAAGATCAAAACATACTCCGTACTAAACTAGTACCGTAGCCCTACAAATCCATACATAAGGTCCAAAAACCAGACATACACATAGACTCCAGTAATCCGCATCCACCACAAGGCTAAGCTAAGCTTTTACATATTTAGCACACACACACACACACACACACACACACACAGACACACACATCCTCCTCCAAAAAGGTACCACGCTCCTTCGTACATTCTTCTTGAGATTAGCGCGGTAGCATAAAGCGTTAGATTAGAACGGGGCTGAGTCGGAGGCTGACACAGGCTGAAGCGAGGGGCGAGATTATGTATTTATGTTTCTCTTCTGTACGTATGTAGATATTAGTAGTTCCTGATGGTTTATGTTTGTTCATCCTGCGAGAGTATATCTAGCTGTTTATTAATAGTAACTTGATCCTCAACAATATGGCCTTTGTGCATTGACCTTACTAGCATACTTTTCTATATAATCTCCTAGACGAATGAGATCTATTGAACTATCCTAAACAAAGAAACCAGGTGTCTCATATCCTACCAAGTATCCATAAACCCGACAATGAACAAAACAAAGAAACCCACCATCCAACCGGCCAACCCGTATCTCAAAACCATCCATCTCAATCCCAACCACCCACCCAATCAAACTACAAAAAAACACACACACCAATGCAGCTGAATCGATCAAACCCTGGTAGAGCCCTACCTTGTACCTACCTCGCTTAGTCCTTAGTCTTACCAAGCTGACGGTGGATACCATTGGCGATCCCCCGAATACGACCGCGCGAACACGAGAGGTGTCGGTACTCGGTGGGGCTTTAGTTTGGATCTTACATATGTACTTGCTGTTTCTCCACTTTTGTTATGGTTGTTGGTTACTCTGTGGGTAGCTTTAGCTATTGCCTTGTTTGGGTTGCTGGATGGTGATGTGGGGGTTTAGGTTGGTGTGAGGTAATCTGTTGGTTAGTTGGGGTAAATATAGTTGTGACATTGGGAGGGCACTGCCTACCTATTGATCTATATATATATATATATATATGTATGTATACATATGGAAGGTAGTAGATATGTTGGTAGATCCGATTTTATCTGTCTTGTATTTGTTTAGATAGATTATCTAGATTCTAGATCATTCATGCTGGATGGCCAGGCAGGATAATACCAATATACCTGATTACAGGAGATATGGGTATTGATTAAAGGATACAGTGAAAGGTATATGGCTTTATCTGAGGGTTACTTTATTAGATAGGCATTAACTTGTCGCCCCTTCTCCTTGTGACCACGCGCCAGAAATACTTGCATAGATATATACGATATACATACGTGCTTGGGAGGCATATCTCTACTTTATTTTGGTATGATAAGCGGTATCTATAGTCAAGCATAAACAAAGCAGTACTTACAGCATCACCAACACACACACACACACGCACACACACCAGTGTTGCATCTATCTACTCTACGCCTCCATCTTCATCTAGATATGTATATTTGGGATATCCCAGTTTATAAGTTCAATATTTCACATAGATTAATGACGCCATCCCCTTTCAACTCACTCGACCACTCCGGACTACATCCCTTTTTACTTGCTGCTATCATGAAGCACCACTCATCATCCTATTCAAGTTAATCTGATTTAATTCAATTTAATTCAATTCAATTCCATTCCCAAGACGCCGTAGCTTTCTCTCATATAGGATATCCAGAAATGAAAACAAACAAACAAACAAAGAAGCAAATAGAAAGATAAAGATAAATATAAAGAAAAAAAAAAAAAACGAATGACCGAATGAACGCCGCAACCGCAATCTTATACAACCCCCACACTCCACCCATTTCTGGCAAAATGGGATGAGAACTCGTGTTATATGCGAAACAGAATCAAAAACACAAACAGAACAGGAGCGAATGACAGTGATATCTCGTAACTCTAGCAGCTGGTATCATTGATGAAAGACAAATCGATCAATCCAAGAAGAAAAAGAAGAGAAGGGGGAAAGAGTGAGTCATGATGCACATATAAAGGTGGCCGCGTTATTCTCGACTAGGCCGAGAAAGCCATCGAAAAAGAGAAAGAAAAGCAAGGAAGAAAGAAGGAAAGGGAAAAAAAATAAACAGGCAATGCTACGCTGCGTATATGCAAGAAAAAAAAGAATATTAAAGCAAGATAGAAGGGAAAAAATACTACCCGTGAGCTCGTCGTCGCCGTCCACGGGTGCTACCTTCGGGTCTGAGGGAAAGGACACTGTGTAACGCCGGGTCATCTCGACTCTTGTCCACGTGGTGAACCCGTACGTGTCTAAACTCCATTAGTATACCGTCACAGCCAATACAACCTTAGAAACATACCGCTGGAGATTATCTGGTCGTGGGTACTTATGTTGCTGGTCGGGACAAAACGGACACACGTATCCGGGCGAATTATGAACCAGGCCATGCCGGATCATTTCGTTTTTGCGTTTGAATCCTTTTCCACCCACGCCCCGAGAGCATCCGTCTACGGGACAGAAGTGGGGACGGTCTTGAGAATGGACGTTTGCGTGAGAGCTATGACTGTCAGTTCTGCACAAGGCGGTTACAAAGAGTAATGAGAGAGAGAGAAAGATGACTGACTTTAATAGGTATTGTGTTTGGAAAGGGGGAGCTGTGCATCCAGGATGGCGGCATTTATATGAACCGGTAGGGACTACCCCGTTGGGCGACGGATTCGCGGGGCTGAACGGCATCCGTTCGCATCCTCCCGCCGGTGGCGTGGGATCAACCGGGGTTGGGTAGTGCCCGGTTGGACTCTTACCTACCGGGCTGGCCGTATCGTACGGGGAGGTCAGATAGTGGATGTCGGATTTAAGGGGCGGGCGCCAGTAGGGAGCCTGGGAAGCGGGCGAAGATACGGCGGATAAATCTTTCGTACTCGCCGGGGACATGTGCGAATACGGGCTCGGTGGGATCTGCGGCGGGGGAAACGGCCCCGGGCGTTGGGACTCCCACGTAAAGTCATTCCGCGGTCTCTGTGGGGGAGACGTGGTGACCGGGGGAAGGGGGTAGGGCGATGTCCGATTGGTCGGACCGGGCGGCTCTGGGGGAACGCCCATCCGATACAGCGTGGTCTGGAGCGACGGCAGACTGGTGTGATTCTCCGGGGAGTTGGCGTTCGCGGTCGGCGGATGGAGCGCTGGGAGAGTATTCCGAGTGGGGCCCTCCGATGGTGGAATGATGAGCTTATTCCAGCTGAACGGCGAGTCGGGTTTCGGTTCCACCGGGCTACTCGGCAGCGGAAGCGTGGGAGACCGCGGCTTCGAGTTGAAGAAGCTGTCCTGAGGCGGGAGCGGCGCGTCCGGCTGAAGCATTTCAAGGGCACGCGATGCGGCCTCGTTCAACCCTTTTTCGTGATCAGATTGGGCCGTCGTTGGAGCCGTCGTTTGGATCGTCGGTTGCCCGGTCGAGTCGGTCGTCGCCGGGTTTTGGAAAGTTTTCCCTTTCGACCCCGGCTTGTAATCAAAGTCGACAAGATTTTCTAGCTTGAAGGAGTGAGTTCTCTCATATTCAGCAAGATCCGGACGGTTGGGCTCTAAATTTCGAATCAGCGCCGAGTTGCCTTCCGCCGAGGCATGTGTGGAGGTTTTCTGCAGGCGCTTACGGGATCCCGGCGATGGTCCCTCTCCTGTAGATTTCGCATCTTCGGCGTCGGTCGACTGCTCCTTCTCGTCAACTGCGAACGGCGGCGGTGTTGGTTCCTTAAGTCCATAGTGGATAACCTGGGGTTTTAGCTTGGGGGTGCGATAACCCTCATCGGAATCGGAATCAGTCATGGAGGCGGTGGTTTCGGACGCATTAGGCGTAGTAGCCTCTATGTATCCTAGGGATCCTTTCTTTTTTTTTTTTTTTTTTTAATATGATATCCCCGTGCAGCTTTGCGCCTACCGGGGAGACAGTAGGGCGGAGTGATTCAACAAATAAAGCACGAGGCGGTGGATGCCGTGGGTTCGGCCAATCAACGGGAGGTGCCACGTGCCCTGTCGAGTCGAAATCAGTATACGCGCCCAAGGCCGAGTTGAGGGCACGGGAGGTGGGCCAGGCAACAAAAAATAGACGAGACAACTACATGATTACACCGAAGAAAGCCAGGGAAAACAGGACCGGGGATTGAGTGGGGTGGTGGAGGAGGGAAGCCCGGATAAAGCATAGGCGGTGGGAGTTTGGAGGTCAACCGGGGACAAGATGGTAAACATTCATTTACCTAGACTTGGGTTCCCACCGGTCTAGGGAAAATCAAAAAAGGAGGCTGACCCAGCGGGAGAAAATTGGAAAGGAAAAAATGGAAGGTTGAGGAGAAAAGGGGGGTGAGGAGGGGAAAGAAAACGAGAAGACAAGAGCTGTACATGAATGGGGAGAGTGTTGCGCGCGAAATCAGATACAAACTGATCCCTCACTGGATAATTTGCAGCTGATGGCCCTGTTTTGGTGGCAAGTTTAATCCGAACCCCAAGAAACCAGCAAAGCCTTCAGGGAGGGACTCCACCGGGGCGCGCTTCGCGGGCCAGAAAGCCAGGCCTTTATCCAAGGAACATCAAGATCATCCCCCACCTTCCAACCCCCCTTTTTGAGGGCAGTGCAAGATGTAGGGGCGCGACAGATGTAAAAAAGTAAAAGATAGAGGATTGGGAATAGCCAAGTGTTTACCACATGTAACCAGAAAAGCAAAGGAGGGGGGAAAAGGGCCATCAAAAGGAGAAAATCGAACAAGGAAATTAAGCTTACCGAGTGAAGGTTCTCCAGGAACGGAGGACACGGCAGGAACCAGTCACACTGGCGGGTCTCAGATGAGGCTCAATCGGAGACTATTTGCACGTCACAATCGAGGAGCGGAAGCAACATGCCATGCGCATGAAGAGACTGCCACAGAATCGAGGAAGCGGCCAAGCGAGAGACAGGTTTCACCACAGCCCACGGACAGACGGAGATCAATCAATGATGCGATATTCCCGATCGTGAGAGAAGTGGAGGGGGAAAGAACCACGAGGTCATCCAAACCATAATCTCCTGACCGGTGTAGAAGAGGAGAGAAAAGAGTTGCAGTGGATGAGGGGAATCAAGAGAATAGTCGTAGTAATAACAATGGCGATAAAAATAAGTAGTTGGAGTAATAGTCGCAGTCGTAGTAGTAGTAGGAGTAGTAGGAGTAGTAGTAATCACAGGAACCACGATGGTAAGAATCGGGGCTAAATCGACCAGGTCGCCGATGAGGCTACCTTGGTTCGTTTGGAACGGGAGGTAAAAAAGTTCTTGGCAAGGGAAACACAGAAACAAAAAATAAAATAGTCAAAGTGGGAGAGTCAGAGGGGAAATCCAAAGCACATCGAGGGGAGGCGAAGAAAAGGTTGTTGGGATGGGAAGCGGTCAAGCGTCACTCTAAACAGTCACGGCAGAATAAGACCCCAGTTCTGGATGGTCTGGAGACTGGAGATTGGAGGAGATCGATGGATGACTGGGGTAGGCAGAACAGAAATAATGACCAGGTCAGAACCTCGTCGGGAGGTAGAGAGGTAGAGGTAGAATGATGGTCAGAAGGAATGTTTCTCCAAGAAGGACCTATGAATTCGAAAGATCCACTTTTGAAGGTGGAGAAAGAAGTTGAACCAGCCAGCAGGCAGGCAAGTTTGCTCTGGTTGGTCTTTAGGTCAGGGCCAGCTTGACTTGGCTGTTTTTTCCTTGTTCTGTGTTATTATCTGAGAGAGATCATTCCTTTCTTTCTTTTTTTTTGCTGCTGATTTATTTGTTGATCGATTGATTGATTGATTGACCTTTTCTTTTTTTTTTCTTTCTCCCGGATGACCTCTGTTATCTCTTTAAGAGGGAAAAAAACCCCCCCAATGATCAAAAGAGAGACCAAGACCAGGTCTGGAAGCTGACTCCAGACGCCACGGCAGCAAACAAAGTGGGGGTAGACACAGAGTCTAGTCGGGTTTATACCGTCCAGCTGATGTCGCAACAACAACACGTCGTCGCAATACCGATCACCTTGGTGCCTTAGGTATCTTCCCCAGAGTAAAATAGAGAAGAATCAAGGATCCGTCAAACCGATCGAATAAATGTCCTACTTGTCTGGTTTATGAAGAAGAATGATGACGATGATTATTATGGTGGTCACGTCCACGAGGTCGAGCCAGCCGCAGTCCGAGACCCGGCACTAAACCCAAACGGAGCCTCCACGTCCCGCCTCGGCGCGGCATGAGGCTCTCGTCTGTCCCGCCGGTCATTGGCGGATGCACGAGGGCAAAACGAGGAGGCTGAATTATTCCTCTGCATCGAATCGTGGAACATATTATCTATCTTTCTTTCTTTCTTTTTTTTTTTTTTTAAAAAAAATACAATTGGATAAATAGTTATACAAGCTGGTACGATCTATGAGATGAATCTATGATTAATCTATCATTCTCTATGATATTTATTCATGATCAATTCAGGGAAATAAAGAATATATATTCCAGAATAACAGAGATCCCACAGAGATCATCCCATGATTAGTAACCAAGGTGCTTCCACCGCCTTCCCCCTCCCTCGTGACTTGACCGCCACAAACAAGAGCCTTGCTGGCGCTATCAACTTAATGATTATAGACTTCGAGCCTGGCGTAGACGGACCCCGTCCGGATGGCCTTCCGATCCTCAATCAGCCGGACCGGGTGCAGGAAAGAAAAAAACAATAAAACAGAAAATTATGAAAAAATAATCGACTTGGCAGACTGCAAAGTACTGAAGACTCCGTATAAGAGGGAATGCTAATGAGCCAAATTTGATTAATCTTTCAATCTACGTATGGTTTTTTTTCCTTTCCTCTACGGAATACACTTTTGTTTTATTTATATTTCCCTTTATTGTCCTCATCCCCTCTGACTATTGATTAAATATTGATCCTACAATCAATCACTTCCTTCCGGTTGATATTTCCGGCCTTGGCAACCGTCGTGGTGTTTGGTCCAGTTTTCCTGGAGTGGATACCAGGTCGACTAAGTCGGTCGAAGATGATTGCCTAGTTGAGAGTAGGAGATGTGAAATATCTCTCGCGTTTTACTTCCGTCCAGAAAAAGAAAAGAAAGAAAGAAAAAAGGAAGGAAGAAGGCTAGGAAAGGAGAAATCAAGAAGCCTGACGATTGTGATTGCGACCAAGCGGGACACTTCAAAACCAACCAGAACGAATCGGATGCGTTCAGGAGGGGACCACCCTGCCTGAAGAATGGAATCTGAGTCGTTTCGTTGGAGCCGCCCGCTGCTCGATACCGTGGACCAGTCGACCGCATATTTTTGTAAGCAGAAGGTTTGGCTAGGTCGGTAGGGGAGAGAATTGGGGGAATTGGGAGGGAACTGGGGAGGGAGTTGGGGCAAAGAATGAATGGGTGGGGGGCAAAGATGAGATGAAAGGACACTAAGAGGAGGGGAAAGGAGGGGGGGAGAGCCGATCCATCCGGGATTACTGACTGGGCTATAGCCTAGTTATGGCCCAGTGCGACAGATTTGCCTCGAGGGAGTCAATCAATCATAATCTGCAGGGAATGGAAAGAGTATTACTGGAGGAAACACTATCAAGTGACATGGTACGATCAGGTTGAGGTGATAAACGATGGGGCAAGACAAGGCAAGGTCCACTTTTGCCTCTTTTGTTGGAGAATCAACCGCACTCCAGAGCATGAGCCACATCAATCTTACGACTAGATCCTTATATAGCGGATCTTGGATTCCACTATTAGTATCTAGGATCATACCTACCTAGGTAGGATGATAGGTTAGCATAGTACGATAGTAGTACCTAGGTAGCTACGAACAACCCCAGGTATAATTGGCCCTACTATCCTACTACCTAATTAGGCAGCAGACTAGCACAATTTGAACGATGGAACTATGTCTGACCATCATGGTATCATATCACGATCCCTGTTAAGGTGAACGGGCGACATCATCGCCATCGTCGCCCTCAGAAAGCACCCCCAGCCTCTTCCCCCTCCCGCATCCTTCCACGCTACATATAGTAACGGGAGCGACGATCACTCCACCTTGGAGAACTAACTACAGGGTTTCTTCAGATCGGTTACCAGCCTCACGTTGACAATCTCCATTCCTACTAGTATCTACGGCGTACATAGTACATACTCACTCGGACTACTCATGCCATCTGGTTCAGATAATTGATCAACACTGTCCATTATTATCAACACTGACACTGACTGACTGCCCGACAAGACTGGAATAACCCACCTAAACAACATGCGGCGCAAGCCACAACCAACGGGCATGCCACGGAACTCGGCGTAAACATTTCCTTCCATCGGAGGTCCAGCTATACCTACATTATGCATACATATATCCTTACCTACCTACCTACCGTAAGTGCGCGGCTGAATCCATCATCCATGGATATGTGTACGGAATACTCGATTAGGAAATAGGATAAGCAGACAAGAGTGCCAATCAGATACATTCACAACAACAAAGGAATCTCTTCCGCCAGACTAGAATAAACCATAAGGGTTACAAAAGTCAAAAGAACAGAAGGATCACACAGCTCGTGGGAGCCGCACCCAATAATACCTACTTACCTCCCTACCTCTATCTACCTACCACTTACTTAGCATGGTCCAAGCGTGGGGCTTAGTAGATGCGCTGTTGCTGACATGCATTCGATCTAGTCCCACTCGTTGGGGCTTACGGAGGAAAGCATGTAGGTAGGTAGGAGGTAAGGTGGGTTTGAGTTAGGACTAATCAATATCTGCTCATACAAGCACGACGTGAGAAGACACCAAGAAGGAATTATAATAGAGTAGGTCGGGTGTTTCCTGGCTTGGCGCATATACGAGGTGAAGGAAGGACGAATTTGGATTTAGGTTGGTGGGGTGCTGACGCTGCTGATGGATGGATGTCTGCCCACCCAGTACTCATCCTGGCGAGTGGGGATCGCGGGATGTTGACAACTGGCAAGAGGGTGGTGGGATTACTCTGACGTGCAGATTCGAGTTGCACTGCAGTTGGGTGGGTGTAATACTTTGGATTGAGTATTGATGGGGAGGATGATGGTGATGATGGTGATGATGACGATTATGCAGTGGGTGGGTGGAATGACTATGGATTGGACATGCGGCTGGTCTTCGCTATTCAATGAAACTGCATAAACAAACATCTAGATACAGGTCTACGATGATCACCGTAGACTGTCCCCTCTAAAATATTCTAGCTAGAATACCGTCGGGCCACCGATTCCTGCTTACCATGCATATACGGGTGACGTGCCTTACTCCACAAAAGAGGAGGTTCTGTTTGATCACCAAAAGGCCCGGGCGCAAATGAAATTCCTCTTTTTCTAGAGCTTGCCCTTCTGGCGCACCGCCGCCTGAGCCTGCTTGACGCGCTCCCAAGCTCCCAACGCAAACGGGGTCGTCTTCTGCGCGTACTCCGCCGCCCGCGCACTGCTGGCCTGTCTCAGCGCATGCCGGGCCTTGATCCCCTGCATGATGACCGAACTCCGCCATTGGAAGAAGGCATCCCCCCAGATGATGTCCGGCACGGGGTTCCAGCCGGCCACTTGGCCATACAGCCGCAAACAGTCGTCCCGCGTCGGCAGGCCAGCCGTCACGCCCGGCTGGAAATTCGCGACCGTGTGGTCCGTTCCGTCTAGGAAGTAAGGACTGGTCAGGTTGCAGACGTCCGACAGCGGATGCCCGACCGTCGCCATCTCCCAGTCCAGGATGCCAATGACGCGCGGCTCCGTCTTGTGGAACACCATGTTGTCGATCTTGTAGTCGCCGTGCACTAGCGTGCCTCGGTCTTGCGGCTGCGTCGCCTTGTTGGCGAAGAACCGCACCATTTCTGCGAAGTGCGGCAGCTCGCCCACGGGCTCCTTGCTTTCTACGTCCACGGCCTGCGACTGTGCCTTGGACACCGCGGTGAATGTGGCGATCTGGCGATCGTAGAACCCAGACGGCTTTCCGAATCCCTCCAGTCCGATGGATTGAGGCACAACCCGGTGGAATTTGGCGAGCGTCCGCACGGCGTCTTCCCAACTGTAAGGGCGTCAGCCATGGCCCCCCTTAACTTGACACACAATGGGGATAAGGGACATACAGCGCTTTTCTCTCCTCAGGCCCAACCTCAGGCATGGCCGGATCGATGAATATCCGCCCGTCCAGAAACTCCATGATATAGAAAGGGGTGCCGACGACGCTGGAATCCTCGCACAGGCAGTACGTCTTGGGCACGGGGACGTCGGTCTGTTCCAGCGCATGGATGATCTTGTATTCGCGCTCCACCTTGTGGGCCGTCTTCGACAGGAGCTTTCCGGGGGGCTTCTTCCGCAGCACGTAACGCTGTCCGTCGACGGTGGTGAGCAGGTAGGTGGGGTTTGATTGGCCAAAGCCGAACTAGACATCAGTTAATTACATACTGTCCTGGAATCCAGAGGCTGAAGGTATACACACCTGCTTCACCTGCAGGGGAGTCTTGATCTCGGGCACATTGCGATCGAGATAGCGCTCCAAGGACGGGATGTCAATGGGCTGGCGCACTGCTCCAGCCATGATCGCGAGGATAATTACCGACCGTACGGGTCAATGTAACTTTGGATATATACTGTGTATGGGAAACACACGATCACAGACCAGCTGGGACCAGTGCTCGAGGGGCTCGTAATAAGGGACCGAAGAGGCACTCTTTCTAATCGTCGCAGCCGTACCCGGACCGAGGCAAAACAGCCGTGTTTGATTGGCACCGGCTGCGGGGATTTATTAGTGCCTTAGCAGTAAGGACGGTAGTGTCAGTGGGCCTTTCAGCTGAAGTTGATCGGTCATAAAATTACTCATCCGATTATGCACAGCAGCAGTGCAAAATAGACAAATAGTTAAAACAAGGCAAACTAGTCAAACAGACAAACCACTTAACGCGGGACGCGTCTCACCGCCAGACGCGTCTCATCAAGGACTTCACTGGTTGGAAGCAAAAGAACGACAGAGTAAGGGCCCTGTCCATGCAGCAGCAATCCATACACCGCATATCTCGAGCCCTCCTCTCATCCAAACCTCATCATCCTTTTTCATCCTCCATCCGCCCATCCCTCACCTCCTCACCCCAAACAAGAAGTATCATGACCAAGGAGACCACGCCCCCACCTCCCGCTGCCACCGCCGCCACCCAACAAACCACCGTCCCCCACGAGCCTCCCTCCCTCCCCAACTCCCCCCTCGCCAAACGCACCAAGACCAACACCACCCAGGAAGAAGAACAGACCCAATCCGCCACAATGACCAAAGACCTCTCCACCTCGCAGGCCCCGCCTCCCCTGCTCGTCAAGAAGCTCAATGACAAGGCCCGTGCCCCCACGCGCGGCTCTGCCTTCGCTGCCGGCTACGATGTTTACAGCGCTAAGGAGACTGTCATCCCGGCTAAGGGCAAGGCGTTGGTAGATACTGGTATTGCTATTGCTGTTCCGGCTGGGACTTGTATGTTTCCTCTAAATATTTGAAGAGATTGGAAAACTCAAGGAAGACTAACTGGAATGAACAGACGGCCGCATCGCCCCCGCAGCGGCCTCGCGTCGAAACACTTCATCGACACAGGCGCGGGCGTCATCGACGCTGACTACCGTGGCGAAGTCAAGGTGCTGCTGTTTAACTTTTCTGAGGTCGATTTCACGGTCCAGGAGGGGGATCGCGTTGCTCAGTTGATTGTGGAGCGGGTGAGTTTTCTTCTCTTTTATTCTCATCTACATATATATATGATACTAACAGTCTTATGTGTACAGATCTACACTCCGGAAGTCACAGTCGTCGAAGAGCTGGAAGAGAGTGTGCGCGGCGCGGGCGGTTTCGGGAGTACTGGTACTAACTAAGTAGCACCTAGTGCAGGTGTCTTACTAGTTAGGCTTGGTTATATCAACGAGAAATATGAAAACAAAATGGTTAGATAAAATGAACAATCATGAGCTATTATACAGCAGGATAGTACTGGTTACCATGGTGGTTATTCAACCATCTCTTGAACCCATTCTCCGGTGTATATAGACGGATGCTAGATATCATGATGAAAGACTACCATAGAGCATTCTTCGGGCTTTTACATCGGTTTCAATAGTCTCGGATATGCTATGCTTATGTATGTCATAATCATTTCTATACTTCATAATAGATTCTATAACATCGCCTCAAACATCCATCTCATCCAAAAGCAAGCCAAGAAAAACCCAACAATTCACCCGCGACGAATCCCCAACACCATAATCAACCCACTCCGCGCAGAATACTTCTCCCCACTAACATCCCCCGGCAACAGATGCCCATCCCCATTCGCAACCAGCGCCTCAGCAAGCGTACACTTCCCCACCTCCGCAAACCCCAGCCCCCGATACAAGCTGACCGTAGCGTGGTTCTCAGGCTTCACCATCAGCCGCACCAGAACCTCCCGCGGAGAGACTTTGTAAGAAGCAAGGTAATTCAGCGCCTCCTGGCACAGTTTCTTTCCTAGCCCCCGCCCGCAATGCTCGGGGAGCGTGAACAGGCTGAGCATTTGCCATAGTTCTTCGCCGGTGGGGCTCTTTTGCCCTGATTCGGGGGGGAGGGCGAAGTCTGAGGGTGATTGTGGGCCTCGGAGGGTTAGTTGGCCGATCCAGGTGCTCGCTAATGAGCTCTGCGAGTCTGATGGATCGTTGTTTTGGGTGGGTGTCGCGGCGCAGATGAATGTCTCTTTTCCGGTCGCTGTGAGACGGTTGATCCATTCGGTGTCTGCGAAGGCGGATTCTATCTCGTAGGTCGAGGAGAACGACGTCGGTGCCACGGAGAGGGCATGCAGGCGCAGCTGTTTGTACTTTTGGGCTGTTGACGCCGTCACATCTTCTTTGGCGATGCGGAAGAATGAGTATTCGTAGTCAGTTGACATGTTGGAGATTGTAGGTGTGGAATGGTTATTTATGAGTTATATCACGAGAGTCATGGATGTCTGGCGAGCGGAATCGCGGGGGTTGTCCGATACACAAGTTAAATGACGGCGATCTTGATGCGCTTTGCCGGGATTGGTTCAGCGGTGTGCCGAGGATAAGGTGGAGTTTCAATCCAATTACTGGAGACGATGGAATCAAAGATAGAAAAAGTGTCCATTATAACTACCAGGTGGGGCGGATTTCGCTCTTTAGGTGTTATCACTTTATAGGACAAAATTCTTATCTAGCAAGAGACGATTTCGCCCGCTTTCTCACGCTATTATCAATTTCCCAGGATATCAAGACGTAACTATCGCTGCGCTCAGTTAGGTTCTTAGGGGACGCTTATAAACCGTTGTTCACTGTCTAATCTTATTATCTGATACTTCCCTTACCGGAATGAGTCAAAAGCCATTAAAGGCACATGTGTATATGTATGTTTCTGTTGAAATATTCTATTCGTATCATGACATCGGTATAATGCGTCTAATGCTAGTCTTTAATCTTTTTCTACTTTCCGTGTATGTGCTCTACCGAGGTAGATCCTCCTCCTTCCACTCCTGCGGGTGGAACTCCACCGTAGGCTCACGGAGGAACCGGGCATTCCGCACCAGCCGCACCTCGGCGGCTTTCGTCTGGCGGAGATGGAGGCGCTTCTGGGCGTCTACCTGAGCGAGGGCATTGTCGTCCGGGGCAGTCGGCGTGGCGGCTAGCTCCGCATTGCGCGCCTCCATGGTCTTCTCCAGCACGTTGTGCATGCTGGCCAGAACCTTGACAGTCGATTGGGCCAGGGGGAGATCCGTTGCCTTGACGTCATCGGGGGAGACCCAGGACCGCGTCGTTCTGAGGGTGGGTGAGGCGGCGAAGACGGCCTCGCGGAGTCGGGCGACTGTTAGCGCGGCGAACATGTCGCCTGTGCCGCTGAAGTAGCAGTCTAGAGCGGGGACGTCCACGCGGAAGAGGCGCGGGGAGCCATCGGAGCGGGTCGTGGATCCGATGACTGTGAGGGTGGTGGGTGAGGTAGTGGTGGATGGGTTGGTGGTGAGGTCGGATAGTTGCACGGAAGTGATGATGACGTGGGGGACATTATAGGTCTTGTGGATTGCGCTGATGGCTTCGGCGAGGGTGCTGAGAGAGGTGATTTTGACTCCAGAGAGAACTCTGCATGGATTAGTTTACCAGACGGAGGACTCGATCTTTATTCGATGCGAGGAGACAAATGAAAGAAGATCAAAGAAGAGAAGGATGGCGTACTCGGCTTCGAATTGATTGGGTAGAATCAAGTCGGCATGATGGATGACGTTTTTGTAGGCGGGAACCACATCATCATTCACATATAGACGGCCCTGGTCGCCCATGACAGGGTCCAACACTAGGGGTTGTCAGAAAAACAGAAAACACAAATGGCGGTAGGGTCTTACCCCAGAAGAACGATCCAGGGTTCTTCTCAGTCTTGCGCTGGAGATCCATGCCAATAGCTCCGACCGCCTCTACGGCAGCGGCGCTGGGGGCGTACCCGGACAGCATGACATCGAAGTCAGTGAGATTGCTCTGGCGCATGCCTTCATAGATGGTAGTGATCTCATCCGCAGTGGCGCGCGTGCCCTTGAATTGCCGGTATCCGGTGTGGTTGCCTAGACTTCTGATCAGCTGGAGGATTCATTCGCGTCATTGATGGTGACTATTCCGATGACTCACTGAAATGGACGGTGTTCAATGCGGCCACGTCGCAACCCAGTAGTTGCATGACCGCTGTGGCCATTTTGTTCCCGACATATCTAACACCAGAAGATTAGTCGCCATGGCCTGTTTATATGGCGGTGGTAGGGGTTTCAGCTCCCCCGATATCAAAATTGCGGGGGAGGGGCACCCTCCGGGCCGTATGGGGGTTGCCTCTGGGTTCACAGAGTCAGAACATGAACATACCCATAGGCTACCTGTTATTAAGTTCGGTTAGTATCACAGACATCACGCGTCGTTTAACGTTTTCCCGTGGCATACTTACATGACTGGCAATCGCCAGGACCCTGGTCTCGGGGACCACAGGATCTGCGGACATGACGGAGGGGCTGATCCTGACACGCACGGGGTAAGGGCGGGGAAGAACAAGAATGAGCTCGAGTAATATCGACAGGTTGTTTAATTCAGAAATCAATCAATTGTGACAAACGTGGGGATGTCAGATCTGAATTGAAGTCATCCAGGCTGGTTAGTCAGGAAAGATCGATGTTGGCCAAATGCGATCAAGTTCGGCGCCGGTGGAGATGGAGCATTCGGGGGGCCTTGATTGGCGGTGCCGGCCGGTCGGTCACATCCGTTCCATTCTTTTTTCTTCCATCTACAATCCTCACTTGTAGTCTTTGATTTTGATCTAACTTTGACTGATCTTTATCTTTTAGTCTTGGATTCATGCTAAGTTTTATTGAATCTAGTGAGGCATTCTAGCTGTGGATTCTCTCTCATTGTGTTGTTTTTTACGGAATGCAGGTGACTAATTCATAGAAAAGATTAACCTGCTTGACCTACTGCGGACTAAGGACATACGTCTTGCCATGACTTGAACTGCGGTGTTGCTGTGTGCTACTATTAGAAGAACCTCTAAATGCAGGTGCAGTGGAGGGATCTAGGTCCCATACTCGGATAGCTTGTCATCCCAAATTCATCGCATTGACTAACACTACTGAACTCGTCTTGCCGCGGACGATGAGAGTCCGCTCCATTCAGCATCGGACAACGCAGGACGTCTGTTCCGGGGCTTCTGCAACAGCGACTTGATACTCGAGATTGACTGAACGTAGCGGCCACTCTCCCTGAGGCTCAGCGTTATCGGATCATCTAGCTGCTTGCTATGACGCGCTTGCCAGATTTTCCGAATCGCAGCCTCCACGTCATCTTCACTGTAAGCGGCAATTGCCATGGCGGCAGCGAGGTATTGTGACGGTTTTCGATAATAGGGCCCTATCTTTCCATCATGGAAGATACCAGATTGTGCTACCTTGCGGGAATAATCTTGGAAGGTGGAGTATTCATACGCCCGAGATGTCTGGGCCTGAAACCAATCCTCGATATTGGGAATCCTGTACAGTCCCAGGAGCTTGGCATACTGGTTGGCTCTCTTATTCATTTGGAGCCGATTGATGAGCACGCGGCGCAGGCGCAGCTTCCCGCGGACGTCTAAGAGGCCTTCGTAGTATTCGCGGATCGTTCGGAATACCACTTGATGCTCAATCGTCTGATGCCCCGGGTTGGAACTAGAGTACTGCCGCATTAGGTACTTCATAGACCAGGGGGAAACCAGACCCCGGGCAGTCCTTCCGTAGCCACCAGTCGCTTCAGGGAAGTCTTCATCGACGACGAGGGGATGGCGCTCCTTCCAGGCAACAATCTCCGGATCGTCACCGTCGATGAAGCCTGCTTCAAACTTTTTCCTATCCCGCTTTGGGTGGGGATCAGAGGCCAACGCCGTGGGTAACTTGTCGTAGTTCTCTTTGTAGTGGTGCAGACTGTAGCCCGTCCTTTTCCAAAACTTTTCCTGCGATTCTGGGTCGCTAAAGACCGGGGAGGATCCGTAACCGTAGTCGATGTTAACTGGTAGACAGAGCCGGTGCATTTCTGCTACCAGGGCAATCGTCAATTCCCGATACTCGCGGGATGTGTCCTCATCCGGAGCCGGGGGAAGAAAGGGTGGTTCTTTCACGAGCTCGGAAATTGCGGCCGATGAAAATAGCCCACCAGCGTGTCTCTGCGAATTCGACCATGCAAAACCGAATGATTCCTGTTCCGTTTCTGCTGCTGCAAGGATTGTCGCTGTCAAATTTCTGCCGCTGAAATCTGTGGTCTCAACCCAATGACCGGAAAAACACGATGTCATAAACATAGTCGTCCGGACGCTTGGGAATTCCGAAAGAATGGATGCGATATGGCTGGGTTTCAGGTACTTTTGTTCACAGTCGCCGTCGGTAAGCAGATCAACACCGAGGCATAAGCCACCGGCAGAATCATAATCGCCGTGTGAGAAAATCATGATAAGTACGTCATCTCCAAATTCTGTGGCATCAGCAATCGTATTCTTTAGTTGCTGCATGAAGAAGTCTCGCAGGTCGTCTCCTTTCGGTCCGATCGTAACCTTTGCCAGTACCTGAGGTAACAGGTTCTCGTCGAGAACGACTTTCCGGGTTTCAAACGGATCCCCATGGATGAACCCAGAAGCCCATTTTGTTCGCACGGGCTTCGTCACTTCTGGTTCATCGTCATCAATTACTTCTAGCGTCACCTTGTCTTCTTTGCCGTATTTTTGCAAAAGATAATCGGGAGACATCGAGGTGATCCATTTTTGGGCTTTACCCATGCCGTCGAGAACATGCAGCCACAAGTAGAAATCGGATACCATCCACCCGTCACCTAGGGATGGGCTTGCTGCCTTTGAGGCGCTCGAAGGTTCATCAACGCCCAGAACAGCAATGACGCGGGTTTGCGGTGTGACATTGGGAGCATTTTGCGTGTCGCGGGTGGGAATCACAGGATCAACCTTGAGCCGCTTGCTTGCGTATTCCGCGTGCGCCTTACAGGCTTTGCCAGCTTCGTCTATGCTCCCATGATGCGCTTCTAGCTCGCTTTTTGCGTGTGCACGATCAACCTTGTATTCTTTCATGAGCAGCCGGGTGAGATATTCAGTCTGAGCAGCCTGTAAACTATCCCCATATCCACTGTCGATGATATCCTGGACTTCTTGAAAGTATATTTCCTTCCATTCTCTCAACAAGGGCACGATGGCGCGGGTAATTCCTCGTCTCTCCACGATGTCATAGAGGCTGGCGGTATCACTGACCGCAATTTCCTCCTGTGCGCAAATGTGCTCCACATTTTCCGGCTCAAGGAGCAGTAGGTATGCTTGCCATGCGACTAAAGACGCTTGTTCCGAGACTTCGCGAGTCTCACGAGCACCATGTATCATGTCCGCAATGGATAGTGAAGTCTGGAAACATCTGGCTGCTCGTGCTTGTGAACAGTTCAAGACAAACTGGAGAATGGCACGCTTCCCATCCTGCTCCGTAAACTTGGACTTTTGCATGAGACTCTCGAGCGCCTGCAGAATGTTGCCTGGCTTCTTGAGATTTGCAAGAGTCTGCTGGGCAGTTTCGCGGTCGATGTTGACAAGGCATTGGAACCTAGCGAGACATTCCCGCCGCCTGTCTCTGCCGTGATACATTCCCTCCGCCCTTGCTTTTAGAAAGATCATGTACATATCCTCATGTTCCGCAGTGTCACTTCTGAGAAGAATCCTGATAACCTTTTTGAGATCCTTTCTGGGTAGCTGAGTGAGCTCACCCGCCTGCTCTAGTAGGTCTTCAGGCACCTTCTCCTTCTTGAACGCCTTTCGCAGCATTGTTGTTATTTTGTCGTAAATCAGCGGACTGGCGTCTGAAAGTAAAATATTGGTGTTGCACTGTATGATGTAGGGGTTTCCAGGGTTGAAAGAGAGATGAAAAGAAGGATCAAGAGTAAAGTGAGAGATGGAGAGATGGAGAGATGGAGAGATGGAGAGATGGAGAGATGGAGAGATGGAGAGATGGAGAGATGGAGAGATGGAGAGATGGAGAGATGGAGAGATGGAGAGATGGAGAGATGGAGAGATGGAGAGATGGAGAGATGGAGTAAAGTGAGAGATGGAGTGATGGCGAGGTGGAGCAAAGTGAGGGATAGAGTAAAGTAAGAGATGGAGTGGAGTAAGAGATGGAGTGAAGTAAGAGATGGAAAGTGAAGTGTAAAGTGAATGGTGCTCTCAGACACTGCCCTTGAAGGGAGTGAATGAGTTGAGGTGAGTGATATAGATCCATGTGAGCGCTGACATGCCTAAAAGATAAGGCAAAAATCATGTCATGATGAGGCAATCATGTATTTATCCTTACAATAGTTTGGATATGCTATCTATTAAATAGCCAAATAGCTTCTTGTTATTCTCCTTCCATTCTAAAAATCTTGACTAGTTAACATAACGAAGTAGCTCAATATAGCCGATCGTTTGTATAGCCTCAACCTGATCTGAGATGTATATATGATCGGCAGGTCTGGGCCCACATTGATCTTATTGAGAGCCTTGGGGCCTGGGGGCCTGAGGGCCTGAGAGCCTGAAAGATGTGAGCCTCGAGCCCCAGTCATCAGTCTGCGAAGAGATTCTCCGGCCGAAGCCGAATGAAAATCGACACACCTTTATACTCTGTGACCACAATTGAGCGACCGATCAAACTTATGGTTCAATGTCCTGAAACATAAACAGGCATTCAATATGCAGGCCGATGATGAATCCATCGTGGCTGTCACTCTGATCAATCGATCCTGTGGATCTCCAACAATGATCAGCCTAGTATTCAAAGCCACATGAGGGTAAGATCACTTGCTGCCATCGTCAAGATCCCAACAGTTTGTGCCCTTGCAACACCACCCTGATGGTTCTATCCAAGACGGAATGGAATGTCGGAACTGGGACCTTTGCCTTCCACGGTTTCTGGGTGGGTCCCGGTCGAGTCTAGTGTCTGGTCCAGACCGCCGTTCGTCTTGGCCGTCAAAACATTTGATCGACTATTGAGGAGACAACCACGATGATCACCGGTCCTGCTGCAGTTGGGATCACGAGAATGTCCCCAGCCCGGTCGGCTCCAGGCATCCTCCAAATCCATTCGAGGATGACTATTGGGAGTTTGAACAGCCTCTCAATCCGGTTCTATCCCCAATTGACCCAGAAACCCCCCTCGTGAGCGATATGAAGACCGATAGTTTCTCCGACGCCCTGGGGGGCTCATCCTCCCATGGGGTGTATCGCATCATCCGTCGTCTCGATCACAATGTGTCTTTCCCTTTGTATTTCTGGGATGGTCCCTGGAGTGCGGGATTTGCACCCCGATGAGCTTGATCCTTGAGAGAAGCGACACCAGAGGATAGCCTGAGACCCACCAGAACAGGATCGGATAGACCAGGGTGTTTGCGCACTGGTCCACGGTCTCTCGGGTGACTTCCTGTCGTGCAACCCGGAGTCCGCCATCCCAACACACAGCCCTGTTCCTCTTGCCAGGGAAATCATGTAATCAGGGACGGTGTTGGAAAGCAGACTTTTCCATCTCGTGGGGACCCCTGAGTCAGGCTGTCAAAGGAAATAATTTCCCGGACTGCATTGATGGAGATGATTTGTCGAACTAGGCGAATCAAATGAGTCGAGGATTAATTAAAATACCTACACACGGGCAGTGACCTTGGGTCCCTACTGTAGCGGAGCCCTGGTCTGTAGTCTGCAGTCTGGACTGTTGTCGATGTATCATTCAGTTATTATTATTATTATAAACTCGGGGTTCTTAGGTAGTTGCCTACTAGTTCTTTCTTTTTTCTCATCGCCGGGCTGACACTCTTCTCATCTCCTCACCACCAAAACGGTGCGCTCGTTTTCTTTCATGGATGCAAGGGTTTATTTTCTTTTCCTTCCTATCTAGATGGTATTCTCTCGTTGTCATCAGTTATCAAATTCCTCTTAATTGTCCTCCCCCCCCTTCCCTATAATAGTTGTCACATCGGACGGGACGCTGGTGCAATGTCTCAATAGCCAATCCCCCCTCCTTCCTCTTGCGTTCTTTGTTAGTCCCGGTCTTTCATTTCGGACGCCATTATCTCAGTCCGAATCGCTTCATTCTCTCGTCACTCATACACCCTTCATACGCCGTGTAGATCGCTGGCGCCCAAGTCCGACCGTGGCGCGCCAATATGCACTGCCAGGCTCCTCAGCGGATGACGTCCCACTTCTCCCTGTACCTGTTGGCGACCATCGCGATAACATCTGTCGCAGCATCGGCGCTGCCTTCAGACGCTCAATCGGACCCGTCACCTTTCCAGAGTGGAGAGATCGTCGGCGTTGATCAACAAGACCGATCCGATGGAGCTCCACCACACGATCAGGCACCGTGGGAGCATCTGATCGTCCACGAGGGGAATCGGGGAAAGCAGGACTCCGACAAAGAGGGCGCGCACCAATCGCATTCGGACGCATCAGAGGAAGAATCCGGCGAATTCGACCTGTCCCTATCGGATCTGACACGGCGATCCCCCATCGACACATCCACCATCGACTCGGTTCCCTTACCGTTCGATACCAGCATCCTCAAGAACTTCACTGTCGCGAGTTGCCCCAAGTTCTTCAAGAAATTCCTCACCGACAAATCCATCAATGACTGTCATGGCATCTCCCTGCTCCTGCACGACTCCACCTCTTTCTTCCACACTCTCTCTTCGGCGCCGGCCACCTCCCGCATCTTGGATCAGTCCTGTAACGCGGACGTCAAAAAATGCTCCACCACCATGCGCAAAATGGCCGAGGATCTGATCAAAGACGACCACTGCGGGAAGGACTACCGAAACGGCAACCCGAACGTCGTCAATGCATACACCGACCTGATCATCTACGAACCCGTCTATCGCGCAAGTTGCCTTAAGAACCCAGACACGAAAGACTACTGTTTCGTCGACGCTGTCAAGAACCGATCCAACGCGGCCAACTACGACATTTACTCCCTGCCATACGGCGTCTCTCTCCTCAAAGACCCTTACCCAGACTGCAACGAATGTGTGCAAGCCTCTCTCGATGTTTTCGGCCGGTGGGCAGAGGTCGATGGCCAGCCCCTCGCGCGATCGTATCTGCAATCAGCCAAAAACATGAACGAGAAATGCGGCGCGAAGTTCTCGAACACGAACATCACAGCCGGTAGCGCTAAGATGACCTCCGGGGCGTGGGGGACCGTCGGTCGGCCTGACGTGGCTCTGGTGAGCTGCTTCATGACACTCTGTCTCGGGGTCGCCTTCATGGGAATGTTGTAGACTTCCCCTCCCTTGGCTGGATCCATCCTGGTTCGATCCTGTCTGTTTCAACAAGAAAGAGATTGAAGAGGAGCCTTCGCTTCCGTCCGGTCTCGCCAGCTGTCTTTACTGTCCGTTCACCTTGTATGAATACAGTTCTGACACGAAGCTCTTTTCGGTTCTTTTCGGCTTATCGTGGTAGATATGACAGCGATTGCTTCTTCTTCGTCTCATTCTTATTCTTCCTCTTTCATCTTCTTTTGTTTATTTTTATTTTTATTCTCTGATGGATATAAGATCTTAGCATGTTTGACTTGATTAGCAGATACAGCGGCATCGCATTCTATTTCATTTAATACCACCAATTATTTTTTTTCCCACATTCTCAAACATTATCAATTGAACTTTCCCGTAGTAAGTTCCTATATGAAGCATATACATACTCTAGAGTACACTCTAGGACGATTAGCCAGATCTAAGCAAAGGCCGATCATCGTGCCAAGCCCCGCACGTGCCCCGGTGCCGGGCCGACTCGTGACTGATTGTTTGTTTGGCTGTTTTGCCTTTCTAGAAACATACTTATCAGCCTGGTTATCATTGCATCTGAATGTGATCGCAACACTTTTGAATTGATATCGTCAGGAAGCAGATCTTGTTGAGAAGGATTGAGACACTATTTACTCCCTGATTGTTTTCTCTGCTGCGACGACCTGGTTGTCGGAGAACTATCCCCTTCAAGAGTCAATTCTGGCAACACTCACGGAGTCGAGTGCTTCTATCCATCATGGTAACTATTCACCTTCTAGATTTACAGGAAGGCCCTTTCTGACATTTTCTCCCCAGGTCCCCTCCAACGCCCCCTTTAAACCCTCCCCTCTCTCATTCGCCTCTCCCCGCGCGTCCCCTTTCCGCCGACCGTCGACATCCAGTTCCCCGCCCGCTGCCCAGACAGGCCGACCCAGCACCCCCGGAAGCTCCCCGGCCGTGGCTACACCCCGGTGGTGTCCCCAAGCAAACTGAATCAATCATACACAGCCGCCGACGAAGATTGTTCGCCCAAGAGCAGGGATCCGATTCCCCAGCCGCGCTTCACTAGAGAGGTGTCTCCCTCGCCGACCCGGGGCGGCGCCGCCTCCCCCGACCGGCCTGCCTCGAGCTTCACAGGTGTTAGAACGCAGGGCATGATGGGGGGGAGGTCGGCTGACGCTGCTTCGCGCTTGTCGCCTGCGCAGCTGAGGGAGATTCGAGAGGCGTTTCAGGTTTTGGATCGAGACAATGATGGCTCTGTTGATAGGGAGGACGTCGCGGATGTGTTGTCGAATGTTGGTACGTGTGATCTTATTTCCCCCATCTTGGATACCGTGGAGCTCTTGTATACCGTGGTACGGATACTGACGGTACCGTGGAATCAGGCCAGGACCCGTCTTCGCTCTCGCAGTTCTTCCCCCCGGGTTCGCCCCAGACGATTAATTTCCCGACGTTCCTGAATATACTATCTACGCTGCTGGATCCGCTTTCGTCGCGACAGGAGCTCGTCAATGCCTTGGCGGCGTTTGATGAGGACGATAGCGGTCAGATTGATGTGAAAGAACTACGGGATGCGCTGCTCCATACGGCTCCCGAGGACGGGGAGCGGCCCCTCAGTGAGAGGGAGATTAACCAGGTCTTGAGTGGGTTCACCGGTCGCCGCGCGTTTGGGGCTAAGATGTCTGGAGGGGCGAAGAGGGGCGATGTTTTCAAATACCATGAATTCGTTGACGGGATCATGGGCGGTACGACGAACAACGCTGCGTCCCAGGGACGGGCTCAATCGTAATGATGACGATGGTGGAATTTGGCGTTTTGGGCTGGAATTTCCGTATGCATAGATCGCTCTGGCAGCCACGATTCACGTATATTATGACTCGAACTGTATTGTTGCTCCTGCTGCTTCTGCTGCTGGTATTGACACTGCCGGTCTAATAATAGTAAGAAAGTATAACATTTACTAGGTGTATACTAAGCGACGCTGGGTGGAGCAAGACCTGACTATCGCATGCATGAGACGGCCTGCAACCCATGACGCCTCAAGTGGGCGGGTCTGACGCAGGATAATTGGATCTGAGACAGCGGACTAGATCGGACTATTGAACTGGACTTGGCTGGTAGCTGAGTACTGACTCGGGGAACTCATCATGGAATCTACCCTCAGGGTTTCTTTTAGGTCATAAGGATTCATGATCATCTTGAATATGCCGTAGCAACAGATCTGCTGTCCCCGCATTCCTCCACCCGGCAGAAAAAAAAGGAAAAGAAGAGAAGACACTAAGAGTGACGACGACTGACTGTCTATCATCTCACCAAATTTTGTCCTCTTCTTCTCTTCTCTTCCTCGACAATATTCCCCTGGTTAATCTGGAAGATGGTTTGTTCTTGTGGTGGGCTCCGGCAGACATAATCTCCCCCCTCACTCTCCTTCCCCTCCCCTGAACAAACCACCAGCCAGCCCCGACCACGCTACCCAGCCACCCAACCAGCATCAGCACCAGCATCAGCACCCAAAAGTCGCTGCAAGGCGTCACGGCGACGCCCGCCGCCGCCGCCGTCGACGAACTACGAAAACGAGCACGACGACGACCACCATGTCGTCCTCCCAGCCCACCCAAGCCCAGCTGAACCTCGCCGCACTCGCTCGTTCTCCATCACCACGAGCCATGCGAGGCCTTCGGAAGATTCAGTCCCACGGGGTCCTCTCCCCCAACTCTCCGCAGCCGCCGCGGCCGTCCGGGTTGAGCAGGACACCCTACACGTCACAGCCTTCTACCGCGCGCACGTCCGCGACCGCAGAGGAACTCGCCCTGTTGGATTCCCCCGTGCGGTTACGGTCTCATCGTCGCGCGCGATCAAATAGCGATGCCGGGTCGCGCGAGCTTCCGGCTATTGGGACGCAGCGTCGCTCTAGGAAGACTGGGTCGGGGGTGGGAGTGAGGAAGTCCGTGCTAGAGTCTTTCCTGAGGGATGGTCCCGTGGGAGGGGATCTTAGTGAGGCGCTGCAGGAGCTGCGGTACTTGGTGTTGTCGACGCGCGTGGAAGCTGATGGCGATGGCATGGTATGGAATACTAGATTTTATTTCCCTTCCTGTCGTTTCGCGTCGTTACGCGTCCCGCTGACCAGTTCTCTAGTCCACTTATCGGGTCTACCTTTGGCTTGTCCTGTTGGATATCGCCCCCGTACCGACCGACAACTACCTCTCGCTCATCCACCGCGGCCGCTCCCCGGCTTACACCAAAATCCGCAACGATACTTTCCGCACTCTAGCTACCGATCCGCTGTTCAAACGCCGCGTCACGGAAGCCAGTCTGATCCGGCTGCTCAACGCGGTCGCGTGGACGTTCCACGACGAAAAGAGGAAGAAGCTGCGCTCCAAATCCCGCCCGTCGGCGCGTCGACGCGACATCGAGCTGCTTATCAACACGCCGCCCAGCATCGCCGAGGAGGAGTCCGAACCGAGTATCGCAACACCGAGTACCAGCAGCGTCACGGGCCACAGCGGCAGCAATATCACCATCGACTCCGCCATCTACGTGCAGGGCATGAACGTCCTGTGCGCGCCGTTCCTCTACGCCGCCCGCAGCGAGGTCGAGGCCTACGCGCTCTTCCATACCTTCGTCACCCGCGAATGTCCAGGCTACATCCGCGGCGCTATGGACGGCGTTCACCGGGGACTGCGCCTCGTCGACCGCTGCCTTGAAATCATCGAGCCTAAGCTCGCGTCGTATCTGTTCTCTAAGGGCATGCACGCTGAACTCTACGCCTTCCCGTCCGTCCTGACCCTCTGCGCCTGTACCCCACCGCTCCCGGAGGTCCTCCATCTATGGGACTTTCTCTTCGCATACGGTCCCCATCTCAACATCCTCTGCATTGTCGCCCAGCTCATCCGCATGCGAGACACCATCCTCAACAGCCCAAGGTACGTACAGTACAGTACATACAATACATACATCTCTTTGTCTTCCCCTCCGCAAAAACAAAAATCACCCCAGCAACGGAACAGCCCCCACGATAAACAACAAAGAGAAGGGAGAAAAAAAAACGAGCTATCTTCGAGCACACGCGAAAAAAAATCAAAAAGAACCCCACAATCTACACCGACAGATCACCTCGACCCCTCACATCCACCTATCATATCCTGATTTCTACCTTGCCCTGGGATCCACCCATCCAGCTTAATCCTTTAGTATACTCTGCTAACAACACAATCAGTCCAAACAAAATCCTCCGCTCCTTCCCACCGCTCGACGCTAAAGAGATCATCGCTTTGACGGTGTTGATCGTCCGAAAGATTCCGGAACCGTTGTTCGCGGAGCTGATCGTCCATGCTAAATAGCCGGCGAGACGTCATACTCATACCTTGAATGGCTACGTGCATTGTTGTGTGGGTAGACTAAAACTAAACTTCTGGTTTGTCTGGTTCGGTTCGGGTGATTGCATAGTTCGTTTTTTTCTCGCGGCACTTTTTTTTTAAATTTTTTTTTTTGACGTGTATTATCTACTTCTGCATGATTACCCATTGTTGTTTTGTTCTGCTTGCTGTGTTTCACTTTGCTTACCCTGATTGTTCTGTCTGTTTGCTTTGTTCCCCTCTCCGATAAGGTGTTGTCTTTTCTCCTGTTTTTCTTTCATATTACCCAGTGGTCGGCGTTGCGAGTCCCTTATCCTTTTTTCCTGCATGTTACTGCCCCGTTGATACTATGTTTTCTGGTTTACTTACCTGTGTCACTGTCAGCGCTGTACTATTTCCCCCTTCCCGCAAAACTTCCCCCTCCCCCAACTTTACTTGATTTTCTACGCTTATGCGATAAGATGAGATGAGATGAGATGAGATGAGACGACACAAGACAAAACGGATGCGATGAGATGCGATGGATGAGAAAAGACGGATGATACAGACGAGGAGATGATGAAGATGAACTCCATGAATGATTGAATTGAACTGAAACCAGCCAGACTGCCTGGGAAAGACGAGAGACATGGGACTGTGCATAGCATGCGAAAGAAAAGTCAGTCTAGTCTAGTCTCCCCAGATGACTTTTTTTTCTCCTGATGAATATGGATATGGATATGGTTATGATCATGAATATGAATATGAATAATGAATGGAAGTTGCATTGTTTAGTTTCAACAGATTTTATTCTTTCTTTTTATGATGGGATACAGTATAGTGTAGACTTGAACGATAACAATAACTATTCTTTAGACGGTCCACATAGCCAGATAGCTACGTACATGATCAAGCTATACGAAAGGAAATGGAGTCAGAAAACTACTGCCAAAGACAATAATAGGATTAGGATTGATTTGATTTGGTCCGGTCAGTTGTACTCATGCTCTGGAGCTCGAAGATCCATCCATAGGTGACTGATAGATGACTTAGGGCTGTGGCTGCCGTAAACGGACAATTCATAGAAAGCAGTGTATAAATCAATGGTTATACTCAGCTAGTAAAGCCCGGGGGAATGTGCTGTACTATTGAATGTATAGATCAAGATTACTTGGCTTGATATCTCTTCTTTATTTCTTGGTTTCTTCGTCACGCTATATACCTCCCTCCTGTATTCGATCAAAGCTCGGTAGAAACAACAGCAAAAGAATTGTGAAAGGAAAACAAAAAAATAAATACAGGACAGAAAAAAGCACCTACCCAATATCACAACCAAACTACAAAACTTAGATACAGACCTATTTCGGCACCTCCTTTCTTCATGTACCAGTAGATAGGGGAGAAACAGAGAAAGAAACGGTTATTGATGCACAATATTCAAATATCAAGTCAAGCCAAGTCAAGTCACCACTGTTCTCTGTCCCACCCCTGACCCGTTGATCACTAACGGCTGGCACCGATCGGTAGTGGGCTTTTGCGGGGTCGGGGCGCTGCGCGGTGGTGTCTCGTTGTGATCTTGTGCGGCGTCCTGAGGGACGATGACGTCCTGCGCGGGAATGGCCGTTTCGGTGGTTGAGGGACTGTTAGTGTGGACGCTACTGCTACTCGTGGTGCTGCCGCTGCCGCTGCTGTTGCTGGCACTGCTGGCGTTGCTGCAATCTGACCTGGTGGAGCCGTGGGAGAAGCTGTGCGCCAGATTGAGACTGCGGTCCATCTTGACGCGGATTTTGGCGCCCTTCAGGAACCCGTTGTTGAATAGCGCTACGGCACGTTTGGCCTCTTCGCCGTGTCGGAACGTCACTCGTGCAAAGCCCTTACAACGTCCGGAGTCGGCGTCAGTCGGCATCTCGCACTGGTCGATCGTCCCTGCCTCGCGGAGGAAGTCTCGCAAATCCTCGGTGCCCGTCGTCGCGCTGAGGTTCTGGATGAAAATCGTCCGGCGACCCCCGCCTCCAGGGTAGCGGCCAGGAGGCCCGGGTGCGGCGGTGGGAGGTCGGCCTTGGTAGATAGGCTGAACTGGGTAGGCTGGGTACATGACTTTGGGAGGAAGCACGGGTGGCGCACCGCTGTGGTTGCTATGTCCCCCACTGAAGCGCATTTGGTTCTCGGGAAGGCCTTGCGGGTGCGGCATGGGGGATATGTGGTACGGAGGGAAGACGGTGAAGGTGACGGGGTCGCAGAAAGAATGTCGCATAGCCGGAGACGGCGGCATCCCTGCCATAGATTGAGACAGAGCATCGGCGAAAAGTGGCATAAAGGGTGGATGGGTGAAGCCCATGGGGTTGAGAACCGGGCCATATTCGGATGGCTGAAAAGTCGGGCTTCCTGACATAACAGGCCTTCTAGGCATGTTAGTTTGCCACCGATGGCTTTATCTGATCGTGGGAACGTACTCTGGAGACATGGGGGACGCAGGGACGGCCAGATTTTGCGTGATCCTCGGAGGAGTGGTGTATCCTGCAACGTAGCTGGGCGGGATGACGCAGCGCGGGCTCTTAGTTGGGCCAGCGATAGGGCGAGTTGGGGAGCTGGTTCGAGCCAAGGTGACGACCAGACTTTGTCCTTCCCAGCCGGTGGTGGATAACCGGTCTAGAAATAGAGGTACCGTTAGCGGGTCGATTCCAGATCTCGGTCTGACCACACCGATACGTACGATAAGTCCGCCACGCTTCGTCTTCATTCTTCACGATGATCTGCCCCAGACCCGTGGGGAACCCGTGTTGGTCATCGTATACGACGGCTTGTCGGATGTGCAGCGCAGTCTGACGGACCATGTCCTTCAGCTCTTGCCAACGACAGTGGGCTGGAATCTGCATTTTCAGTAAGACTTGTCATCTGGGAGGCAAAGGTGGATTTGATCGCACTTACCCCCTGTAGAAAGAGAACAAACTCTTCCTCAGATCCCCTATGCCTCGTCCCTCGTCCTCGCGCAGGGGAAGGCATGGTGTCTGCGGTGCGGAAGTAATGATGGCGATCCACTGACTCTGTTAAGCTAGCAATCGCTCGTGCCACGATCAAGAGCCACAGCAAAACCCAGGTCACGAGACTAATCCAGCCTCCGTTTGCAAGATTCCGGTCCAGATGGGGCCTAACTGAAACTCCAAAGAAGAGGGTACAGATATAATGATACCTCACTTAACTATCAGCATCATTGCCTTGAGAGAACTTGATCTAGCTCTTACCCTGGGAATATTCTAGACAGGGTTGCAGTAGTGAAAGCTGCAGTCCGATCTCAAAGAAAGAAACAGATCTAGACAAGCAGGTGCACGATGGAAAACAGAGACCCTAGGCCTTTTAAAAGAACGGGAAGAAGGAGCAGGCAAAGAGAGAAGAAAGAGGCAAAAGAAAGGTAAAAGAAAACTACAGTCCAAACCGATCCGAATCGATCTGCTTCCGTCATGGAGACGGGTCCCACATCTGGCGCGAGACGGCTCAGAGGCGGCGGCAGGAGTCAGTAGTAGGTAGAAATGCAGAGGGACAGATAATCGACGAAAGCTGCTGATGCATCTGCTGACGAATAAGGGGCGAACCCTTGACGGTCTGTCGGAGCAGGACTGGGTCGATTTCTGGCGCCTGGGATGTGTCAATTTGTTGCCAGTCTACTGGAGTAATCGGAGTGGATGTGCGGAGCAGCCTGATATGTCATGCATCAGCTACGATCGCCGGGTGTGATGGATAAAAAGGGAAAGAAAAAAAAAATCTACATAAAGAAGAATAGCGAGAAAAGCGGGATTATGGAAAGACAAACAAAAAAGGGAAAGAAAGTAGAGTGTGTGAGGGAGAAAGAGTACACCACCAAGCTCGTTCCTTACTTCTCCCGTGGATCTGACTCGAGGCCCTGGAATTGATTCCCCGAGCTTGACGGGCTGGCTGGATGGAAAGGGTTCGTTGTATGGAACGGACAAGGGATGGGATGAGTAGGGCACAGCCAGACTGTGTTACCACCCGAACAACGCATTCATTCCCTCCAGCTCTATTCCCGTCTCCCTTGGCATAAACGTTACACCGCTAGATCTCAGGGCAGCCACTCCAGCAATCGTTGGGGAAGTCCGTCCTGATGGATCATCATTCGCTGCGTTGGCGATTCTGCTGGTCCTCCCGAATGGCATTGTTCAGGATGAAGACCACCTGTCTCCCTGAGATTGATGAATGAAGAGTCAACCGAAAGGGGAGATGGTTTCATTGTGGAATAGAAGAAGAACAATCCATGTCCAGCGGTGATTGGAGGAGAGGCCTCGACTGTAATGTGAGAAATCACGCGTGGTGGTTGCTTTTTCCTCTCTTGTCGTTGAGAGAAAAAGAATAAAATAAATAAGTCGAATGTAATTAATAGGTGTCAGAACAAGAACCCCAGATTCGGTGGTGCTGGACCCAAGATGGTTGACGTATCAAGTCTGATAAGCGGTATGCACCAGCGGGGCTTGACTCGGGGGAGGGACGATCAATTTGGTACATATTATCCCATCACCCTCGCCTCGTTTGATGACGATCGTTCAATCCATTGTCGGGAGCCGATTCCGACATCTGAGCAACCGAACCGATCCAGTTTGATCAGAACGAGTACCATGGGTGTTTGCAGCATGTTTTCGTGTCGTCGCGATCCGTGTTTCAAATGGAGCGGGGGGATCCTGGCATCACCCGGCATGTGAGGGATCAACTCCTCACTGGAGACACTGGGGATTATTGCCACGTCCGGTTGGACTTTCAATTAACCTGGAAGATACTCCGAGTGGCACTCGCGGTGGGAGTGAGGCTCGAGTGAGGCCGTGGAGGAAGAAGAGAAAGAGGGAAAGTAAAGCCCAGAGTTGAAGTCACAAGATATCCAACTTAGTCATGCCCTGCATAATAACTTAACGAATATCTTCATTCATCCATCGCCATCTCTGACCAATTCCAACATACATACTCCGCACAATCTTGTTGGAACCAAACGGATTGTCTTGAATCAGAACGCTACTAAAAATCGATAGTCGGTCGATCGATCGATAGCCCGAACCGCCTACCGTGGAACGGGTCCCAAAGCGCTGGAAAGATCTGCCACTAGCCTGGTGGAAGTTTATCTCAAAGGCTGGGGCTGGTGGGTATTTTCCTTGCTCTCGGAAATTCGCAGACCTATCTCGCGTCGACTATCGTATTCGCAGACAGGATCATCCCGGGGGTTTTGACGGTCTACTCCGATGCAATCTGAATAATATTTACGAGACTGCCACGGTCATGAGTCGATCTGCTTTGTATCTGATCTGCCCGTATTCTGTCTGGCTGATAGGACAGTACTACCAGGTACAACCAGGTCAAGAAATAATTACTCGTTGCTGGTGGAGAATGTCTCGCGACAATATTCTAGCTACAGACATATAGCTAGTGAGTAGAGGGCTAGCCACGTAGCCTGGGCAAAGTAGGGACTAATTATGCGAGCATAATCTGTTTGTACCTGGTTCAGTGATGTACTACTACATTAATGATGGCAGATATATGTTATCAACCGCCTTTATAACTGAAACGCTTATACTAATCAAGCTATTCATCTTGCCATGTTATACATATAGTAAGAACATAGAGTTTGAATCTTGATATCGTAAAAACAATACATATGATGCATGTAATCATGTCTTATCGATAGCTGGCGTTCGCAGCATGACTGCCAGATCTATGACCAGATTTGTGTAGTGCGCTCCAAGGTCACGTTCAATTAATCCGTACCCACCCTGGGGTATGAGTCCTGACCATTCTTGGGTCCTAACTCAGCATACATACGTAGCATTTAATTGTGGATCCTGTCGTGGCCGAGCCGTGACCGGTTTCCTTCTCTCATCCGTAAACAAAGAGAGCAGTATTCCCGAGTCGATTGGTCCGCAGAGAAAAGTCCCAAAATGCCTCCTCGCTGCAAGGCCTAACGTTGAATCCTAGAAACACAGGCGGGTTTAGACCAGCGCACCTATTATATGCTTGTAAAAGCGATTGGGTGGTTCCTCAGAAGCAGCATGTTTAGCATGATAGTCCGCCTCTTTATTCCAGCGTCTCGAAATACGCCAGAATTCAATTTGCAGGCCATCCTCATCGCACCGTTCTATCTCTCCGAGTAGACACTCCCACAGGTCCCGGTTCTTGACCGCCGCCCCGGTGCTCGTCCTCCAACCACGCCGTAGCCATCCACGCACCCAGGATGTCGCGCCCTCAGCCACGTATCCAGAATCCGTCGCGATCACAAGTGTGCTGAGCCCTTCGCCTTCCCAGGCCCGGAATCGGAGAGCTGCTATCACAGCGCGGAGCTCGGCCCGGTTGCTGGTTTTCTGGTGCACTTCGCCTGTTGGTCCTTCGTTTTCAAGAGGGAAGCGTGTGAAGCCTTCGGATCTTGAACCGGAAGGCTTGAAAACGAAGCTACAGCCGGCTCTGGGATTTGCGCCCCCGTTGTCCAGGCATGCACCGTCCGTGTATATGAGGAACCGGGTGGCGTTGGTTCGATCAATGAAACGGCAGACGCGTGGTCTGGCTCCGTAAGTGAATTTAGGTGAGAACAGTGACCCTGGAAGATCGGTGACCCCGGGAGGGTCGAACGCGGTGGGAATGACGCGTCCCGTGCCGACTCTGGGGTCACTGGACAGATTGTGCCTCTGTATTATCTTGGGGCTCTCGTCTTCATCTTCAGAGGTTGTATATTTGTCTTCGGGGTTTTCATGTTCATCTTCGGAGTTGGTATCCTAGTCTTCAATTTCTGAATCGTCATCCAGAATTTCCTCCATGAAGCTATAGTCAACGGTGCACATGGGACAGACGACAAGCTCGTGCGCGCCACAGACTAGACGACCATTGGGAAGTTCGATAGGGCTGTCTGGGCGAAAAGACATTTTCCGGTCTGTTTTTTGCGTGAAACAGCGCAAATGGTCAGCGATGAATTGTGCGAGAGATTGCGGGCGAGAGAGTGGTATTTCCTCGTGGAGTGAGTAGGACTGTTGAAGGACCGTGGAGAGATGAAATTCTTCAGCACAGGTCTATCAAGTGACGCGTTTCTGCTGATCCTCTGAGAGATCAAACATAATGTACCCCAGATCAATGCTCGGCACGGATTGGAGAATGAGTGTTTTTTGAGCCACGCCCACCTACATAGTGCGTTTTGCTCAATCCATACGTCTTTCTACTTATATAATTTACCATATTTTGATCTATTGGGTATGTTCAACACTGAATCTTACTATACTTTCAGCGTGGGTCAAGAGACGGTGGCAAGTCTCTTCTACGCCGATCTTTCCTAGGATTATACCGAACCAGGTCCGCTTTGATTCATGTCGCACTGGATATAGGGTTACTTACGAGGCCAAACGTGTCATGATATATTTTGTAGATGGATGGTAATTTCCATTTCTATTGCCACATAACACTAACATGGATTCTCTGCAATTTATCACCGTGGATCAAGAATCCCCGCTGATGATTGATGGGCAGCGCGGTGTGGTCCCCAGCGGTATGTCCTTAGCAGATACAATCAAAAGGGTCTATTCAGATCCATCGCGATAGACAGTTGAAGCATTCAACTCTCGTGGAGCCCCTGCAACAATTGAAAGACGTCATGATGTCCTCTCTCCCTGACACTCGACAACACCCCGCGAAACCACTCGCTCTCAGGGTCAAAATGCACCTTCTCGTGTCCGATCAACAAGCGCACGGTGCTTGTGTGTCCACCGAGTGCAGCGCTGGACACAGGCGTGTTGCCAGCGTGGGCAGCCCGGTTTGGGTTTACATCGGGATGGCTTAGCAGCAGCTGAACCACGCCATCGTGTCCATTGGCTGCAGCCGCCATGAGAGGGATTTGACCGGTGATATCAGGCGAGTCTGCCTCGGCGCCTTTTTCTAAGAGAAGTCGAGCGATTTCCTCGTGCCCTCTATCAGCGGCCATCATAAGTGCCGTGGCGCCGTAGGTCGTTGTGAGGTGGACATCCAGCGTGGGATTTGCAAGGAGTAGCTGCACAATTGCTTGATAGCCCCCGTCAGCTGCGATGATAAGAGCGGTGGCTCCTTCTTCGGTCTGCATATTCACGTCTATGGTGCTTGATGTCAATAGCGTAGATAGAGCGGCGACACACCCAAGGTGAGCGGCCGCTATCAATGGGGCACCCCCGTTATCATCGCATCGGCAGTTCACGTCGACTTTGGAGCATTCGATCAACAATTGAACAATTGAGACAGTTTTATATTTAACGGCAGCATACAGTGGGGTCATTTGATCGTCGTTGAGTAAATTTGGTCGGTATGGGGATTGGAGAGCAATGACTCGATGACGGGCACGTCTCCCTTACGAACGGCATAATGCAGTGGGCTGTCATTTGTAAAGTTCTGGGCATTGGGATTGACATCCTTGCGTCCAAGGAGCAAATCAACGGCGTCTGTCTTTCCGTCTCTAACAGCTATGTGAAGTGCAGTCATACCGGAATTCTGCTGTAGATTCGGATCCATGCGACTAGCGATAATTAGCTGCGTGATGTCCGAGTATCCGTTCGAGATTGCATGCATCAAGGGCGTCATCCCATGTCGATCCTGGATATCATGCACTGTTCGGCCATCAGACAGAAGAAGGCGGGCAGTTTCCGCGTGATTGCCCTCGGTGGCAGTCATCAGCGGGGTTTTACCTTCCCAATCCTGGCGGTTGGGGTTTGTATCACGATGTTCTAGTAGAATCCTGACTACACCGAAGTGGTTATGCTCTGCTGCAAGATGAAGTGGTGTGCCGACCTCGCCAGTCGATCGACTATTCGGGTCTGTCTGGTGTAGTTCCAATAGTAACTTGGCAATCCTTGTCATCCCAGTCAATGCAGCCCACCGCAACAATCGCGCTCTCGAGAAGCCTCTAATATAAACACCGTCTCTTTCAAGTAATAGTTCTAACACATCCACGTGTTTCATCCAGGCCGCGAGCACGGTCGGAGATGGTTGACGTATGTGTGTTGGATACACATAAAAGCCAGAGAGGCTCAAGAGATTTTCGACAATTTCACTATGCCCTTTGGAAATAAAGGTCTGTAGCCGGGTTTGTCTCTTTCCCCGCGAGTAGACACTGTCGCATTCCAGCAAAATCTGGACAACGGCTTCGTGACCCTCTCTAACCGCCGTTGACAGAGGTGTGTCTCCAAATCTATCTGTGACGCTTGGGTCAAATGTTCGTGTCTCCAGGAGTAGACCAACAACGTCAGCGTGTCCATTCTGCGCTGCAATATGCAGAGGAGACCTTTGCCACTGGTGTCTGATTTTCAAGTTGGCATTCTTCTGCGGGAGCAGAAGCTGGACAATTCCCTTATGTCCTAATGTTGCAGCCGCTTGCAAGGAACTTCCAAAAAGCCCGTAGGGCCCAAGGTTCCGGTTCTGCAGCTTGTCTGTATTCAAAAGCAGCCTTGCAACTTTTTCAGAGCCTCTGTATGCTGCGAGTTGCAACGCGTCACCGTAAGCACCTTCTTTTTGACAGGGATCCGCCCCATTGTCAATCATAAATCTTGCCAGAGGTTCGTCATCATCGTATGCGGCGGCGTACAATGCATTTCCCAGAAGACCGTGGCTTTCAGCAACCTTTTTGTAGTTTGAGTTATCCATGCAGACAGTAGTTAGTCCCAACCATGCAGCCACGACCATCAGGAAGTCACCCTTCAAGATAAAAAAGGCCTCGCTGTCACTGTTTGTGGCCGTCAGGCTCTTCAGAACCCATTCCCTACCATTGTGCAGAGTCGTAGCGACACTTATCGCCCGCCGACAACTATCAACGGTGACGTGGTCGTTTGGATTGGCAGCTATACTCGACAGCGCTTTTAGTTGTGAGATGATTTTTGTAACCTGGAAGTTGCTGGCTGTATCCTTGTTCATCCGTTCGAGAAGGATCCGCGATATGAGGCGGTCTCCCGCAAAGGATGGAACGAAAGTGATGTGGAGAAGGTTTGATATGATAATTCCATCAACATATCCTAGGAGCAAGAGTTTCAGTATCAAGCTGCTAGATTAATGTGAGAGTAACAGCACTTACGGCAGACACGTCTCAAGCACAAAGATATCCACGAAATCCAAGCATCTAAACGCGAGGCATAGAACCTCCACGTTGAGATCTTGGAATCCCATCTTGTATCCCCTTATCGTTTGTGCCAGTCTGATGGGTTAAATAAAAATCTAGTCTGTGGAATAGAGTAGAATAGCCGATTCAGGGACGCTTCGAACGGTGGACTAGTACAGGAGACAGGCGGCTTAGTGAACCGCTTTCTGTATCGGTGCAAGCCACATAGTCATCCTTGAATCACACCAGGTACGGAATACCGGGGCTTGGCAAGTTGCATAATAGCCTTCGGGTGATGATCCGCCACTTTCCGGTTTGTTCATTTAGCAAGTGATTGCCTAGGTAAGAAATACAGATGGTGCAAGTGACTGCAATCGGTTGGCATGTCAGCTGACCTGCCGGGCGTTTCCCACGCTATCTTATCATCTATATTTCACTCATTCCTGCAAAGTTCTGCAACCTCTTCATAGAGAGAAAGTCATCAATCTCATCCTTTCTGGCGTGTTTTCATCGTGTATTTCCACACAGATGGGATGTCGTTGAAGATGATACCTTGGCAGGAACCCACTGCAGCGGTTACAGCAAAGCTTACCCGCATGTCGATCTCTCAACAATCAATGATCCACTGAGATCCTTGTCAGAAGTTGAACCCCTTTGGGTTAGTGGATATGGCGACAGGAACATTTGGATGAAATGATTTGATTGATTTAATCTACTGTTTTAATATGAAACCGACCTCTTTTCTACTTCAACCATTCATTAACCAGGGCTGCAGACAATGTCTTTTGGTCTCCATAGGCTATAACTAAAACTAGTTGGTGGGTCAGGTAAGGCTGTGTACCATAGCCCATTTCTGAGACGTTTATGGATTGGAACTATCAGTTTGACCGCTGATGATACATATACATCAAGACAATATCCTTGATAGCTCATACACGATAGTCCAACCCATCAAACAAATCCAGATATCACACCAAAGTGACCACAACAACCAGCAATGGCAACTACCTAACCACCCATTAACCCACAAACACCACCCAGTCAATCCCTATCCTACCACATCCCCAATACCAGACCCTGACAAACTCAAACCCACGAACGAACAATCAACGGCAAAGCCCAACCTTACTATATTATCGTAATAGGTACGGATAGCAGGCAGGTACATTATGTCCCACCTCCGGTCGAGACCCACCAACCCGCCCTCCATCCCACGGTTCTAGACCCAGACCGCCGCCGGAGTCCAATACACTCTCCGTTTCGGGTCCTACTATACTATCGACTCCTAGTATCGATCGTATAATATAGTGTAGTATAGCGTAGCATAGTGTGTATAGATTGTGGGGGTATCTATCCGGTGGGGCTTTGGTTCATTCATGTAGAACACGGAGGAAGGTGTGGATCTTGTTCATATAGATGGTTGTTAGTTGGATTTGTGGTGGGGAGGGATAGGAGGTTCTTGGCTGATCACGTAATGGGTCGGTCTAGATGGGCTGGAGCTTGGATGGATGGATGGATGGATGTCCGGGTGGATGGTAGGTCTGGTTTGGTTAGGTACCTGTGGATTGGATTGGATTGGATTGGATCGACGGATTGGCATTGGCGCTGGTGTGGTCGTGGTCGTCGAATGAAGTCGCTCGCTGGTCGGGATTTACTTTGTACTGTAGAAACTACGGTATGATTATTTGACCAATGATCAAGTTTGAATTGTATTCCACCGGCTAGGCCAGGCGGTGGTTATATCACACATGGATGGTTGTTGGGGACTCCGACAATGCTTCCCAGTCACAAATAAGTCTGGGTTTGGGTAATGGCAACAGCGCAGCTAAATCATATTCAGCCGTAGTATATGGATACAAAGTTCAGGGTCGCTGCATGCATCACAGCGCTGAAGGATACAAAAAAAAAAAAAGAAGAAGAAAAGAAAAACAATGCTATGCTGGGTTATTTCCACATGCACAGATCTAAGCGAGTGAAAATCATCATGCAGGGTATCTCAAAACGAAAAAACAAAGCTTCTATCGAGGATGCGCCGAAGTCGCACGGGTAGTGGTTCACGGTGGATAGGTATCAACGCGGATGCGAGCTAGTAAAGGGTAATCAGGCTCAGTTTGATCGACCGTTATTGCGCATTGTGTCCCGCTGATCCTTCCATCCCACCGCCTCGTCGGAGCCCGGGCGCAGCGATCGAATTTTCAATGTCGGTCGGGCGCCATTGGGCAGAGGCGAGGGGAAGTCGGTGGAACCGGCCTTTCCCCGAGGGAACGGAGGTCCGCTACTCGACGATTCAAATGAATCAACTGCGCCAGCACAGTGGAGTCTGGGGGTCTCCCGCACATAGGAGACGGTATTTGAGCGAGTGACCAAAAAAGGAAGAATGAAAAACACCAGAGAACCAATACGTCAGGACTGGCTGATTCTTAATTCGTAGGAACGATCGCAAATGGTAGGTAGCGAAGGTGATGACGAGGGGTGAATTCGCGATGATGTTGTTTTCTTCGTTTCTTGTAGGGTTGGGGTTGTTTGTTTGTTTGGTAAGAATTCGCTTCAGCGAACGAAGCCGACCATGGAGGCGCAGCGACTGCAGTAATAGGAATTCATTCCGAAGCGAACCACTCCCGGAGAGGACTCATTTTCCAGACACAGCGAGCGCTGACATCGCGAGCAGCGGACGATGTCGAACGACATGGCGTCGGGCGAGGAATCCGGCGATGGATGGGAGGAAACACCCTTGGTGGTGTTGGGTTGTGGCTGGACTTGGAGCGAGGGAGAGCTCATGGTGTCGACAATGGGAGAGATCGAAACCACTTCGCGCGGCAACCCAGGTCGCCGTTCAAATAGTGCGACCAGGTCGATTTGGAGGTGTGGTCTGATTCTGAAATTTTCCGGATCGCAGGTGCGTTGATGCCGAATGTCGATAGGAGGAAGAGAAACGGGAGGAAAATCGAGGAAGGAAAATATCGAGCCAAAAGTATAACCGACGACTGAAACAGGTAGTGATTAAAAAAAACAAGGCTGAGTCAAGCCACAGTCAATGGATATCCACGAGGTTCAGAGCGGAAGACCAATAATGTTCGTAGGATGTTTAGGCAGGAAAGGATCCGAGCACAAGGATGAGTTTAGAGTGAGATGGGATTGAAACAGGGAAGAGAGAGCGAGGAGGGAAGGTTGGAGGAGGAGAGAGAGGGGGGGGGGGATTTAAAGATGAAGATTGAAGAAAGAGCAGAGCTGTGGATGGAGATGGAAGAGTCAACAATGAAATAAGAAACCGGGAAATCATTCGAATGAAATAGAGAAATCATAAAATCAATCGTGGAGTAGGGAAATAAAAATGAAATCATAAAATAAATAATCAGATAGAAAATAATGGACAATAATAATGGAGGTAAATAAAATAATAATAATAATCAAATAATCAAAGAAAAGAAATTAAATCGAACAATTAACCTGTTTTCTTCTTGCCAGGATTAATGAATGAGCTGTCGCCAAGGAGAGCAGAGTGGTTGCAGCAACAGATCGATCCACTTTTCCTTTCCCTCCCCTCTCCTTCGTCGTGATTAGCGGGAACTTGGGAGGACCGGATAACACCACGAGGGGGGGATAATGATGATCAGGAGACAGGATGGGACAAGATGGGGGCGATGCGAAGAGATATCTGGGGCCCATCTAAGGAATGCTAATGTCAATCATTAGGCTGATACTCCGCAGGAGGTTTCCGCATCGGCATGGGGGGTTTCAGGATCAGGATTTCCACAGGGAAGGATGTCCACAGGCAAGATTGGCGCGTGTTTCCCCTCCAAGGCTGAAGGTGTCAGTCAACTGGAGGGTCAGGGAGAGGACGATCTGCCATGGAGATCCTCTCGGGGACCAGAGGATGGAGGGAGGAGGGATAGGAGAGGTAGGCAGAAGGACGATCGAACTCCGATCTATGGTCTGTGGGATTTATATGACAGTCGACAGAAGTTCTGTCCCACTGTTGAGGGTCGACATCAGAGTATGAAAATCAATAAGCTCCTATTGTTGACGGTGACAACCATGGTACGGATTGACCACGACTATAGCTATAGTCATTGTAATGTGATTACTAGGAAGACAGATGGCATCCCATGCGGCATCGGCCATCGCTATCCCAGCCCCCCAATCAGGCTTGGTTCCATACATTCCTCCCCGACGAGCGCCAGTAATCTCCGTCAAACGACTCGTGGAGACTAAAGATGAAATATGGTTGCCTCCTTATCTCAAGGTCAGTCATTGTCGTCATGGACTTCCTGACTGAGCTTGGGCGAATGGATTTCAGATGATCGACTGGGATGGTTCGGGCGTCTAGGCCGATCATCTTTCGTTAACTGTCCCAGTGTCCCCCCAGGAACACCGTGAATGGGTGAGTTTAATTATCATGAACAACTTTGAAACGGAGACCACCAATCCTCGAACTCGCCCATTCCTCCCCCCTTTTTTCACTTCTCGATGGGATAGGGATCTCCCCCATTCGGAGTGTCAATCAATCGACTCATGTCAACTCCTCCTCGTTATTCGTGGGCTGGCCTCCCTTCTCCCGCTTCCTTTGCGCTCCCCACCCTGGTTTCCGCAAACGGGTTTGTCTCGGGCTGTCTCATGGTGCTGGATCTTCCCGTTTGAAGGACCGCTGACTTTCCCCCAATGTCGACGCCCATTGGGTACCGAGTACCGAGTTCTGGTGCGAACCACCAGCTCAGTGGAGCCCGTGGCGCTGGGCGAACCATGAGCATACTCGGCTTGTCCCCGATGGCGAAGAGCCCATTCGACGAACAGTAACAGCTGTTCAATTGATAGGTGGAATGGACATATCGATCTATTCTCCAAGCAATCAACAAACCAAAGAGCATCGACCGATGTGCCTCGTGGGAAAGATGACTAACTACTAACTTAGCTAGCTAGCTAAACCATAACACAGACTAACCAACCTAACAGTGACTACTAGACTAGTCCAACCAAGAACGAAATCACAAACTGTGGCGGCAAGAGTGGTTCCATAATCCATAGTCTGCTGCTTTCTCCACCCCGATTGTTTCAGGATTGCGCCGTGACATGATTTGCAGAGAGACCAAGAATGCTCATTCCACCAACCCTATCCCTTTTTTTTTCGAACCCCCCCAAAATGAGTCCAACGGGCGGAGACATTTTCCCTGGGAGCTTGGAGCTAAGGTCGGTAGGTTCTTTGACTAGGGAGTAGTCGGAGTCGGAGGTCCTCGGCAGGACGATCCATGATAGGGATATAGGGGCAATCACCTCCATACTACCTATTCCTTGTCCTGCGTTCTAAGGCGAAGGTGGATTGAAGCGCTTCGTTTCTGCAGTACACCTATATCATTCTTATGTAATCTATTATTATCTAGGTTACTATGTATAAATTAATCCTTCCCACTACATATGAGCATTACAATCCTAGTATCCGTAGATAAGTTAGGCTTAGCGGATGGTCTGACCATCATGACCGGCGCCAGGCTAATAAATCACCTGCAGGACGAACAACGAACGAGTCCTCTCTAACAACCCTTCTAGGCTTAGACCCAAAAAGAAATGAAGATTAGATTGAAAAAATAAAAAAATAATTTAGGAAAAAAAGGTCAATCATCACAAGGAGAGAAAAAAATCTACCATGGCAAACAAGACCGGACTATCGGTTTTAGTAGGGAGCTAACTGGGGAATTCCCCAGCATGGTTGAACTTTCTGTTCACCTACATTTCCTTAGTTGGTAATAGATGGTAGACCTCCGGAGTATCCGTACTACCTACATAGGTAGATAGATAAGTGGTAGTGTCTGGTAGTGACCATAGTGTTTGTCCCCCCCTGGCCTGTCCATGCGGAGGACTCTGATCCAGGGGAAATCATGCCGAGTCAGATTATCTGCTAGTTTGGAGTCCGAGATAGCTACTGTTTTCTTTCCTATCTGTTCCTTAACATGATCGTGACTATCATTATCACCCGCCCCTTTTTCATACATACACCCTAGAGAATCTAAAAAATATAACCATAATCATCATCATAATCACAATAATCTACAATACCCATGCCTAAACATAATAAGGCAAAAGGCAACTCAAGTCTGATGCACCTGGTATGTACGGAGTAGACACGCACATAGATTTCGTACCTGGAGATATCATCCATTCATTCTATCTGTATGCACTCCTATCCACGTGATGCACAATCCAATGTCGGACAGCATCAACACCAATCGATCCCTCTCTTTTTTTTTTCTTTTTCTCCCCCTTCCCCAGCTTTTCCCCAGTCCACATTCCCTGCGCCCCGATCCTCTCTCTCCTTGCGTTTTTGTCCAGCGGACACGGTGCATCCTATCTTACATTTTACATCCTGCACATCGCTATCTTAGTCTTGACGACGTGGATGGAAAGAATCCAGTCACCTGACTGGGCTCAATCCCAGAATGGAGGTCTGATCAACACGTCAATCAAACGGACTAGAGATGCAATCCCGATCGATATCTTCATCCCACAGGAGTGATGTCACATTGATGATATGATGAAGATGAATAGAATGTCTTTACGAAAGCCAACAACGATAACAAGATATGCATCTTCAGACTCAGCCACCAAAACCCTGGCAATCATATGCGCCATCCATGCCATCTGCACTCCCCATACCTAAGCGACACCCCATATACGGAGTGCATGCATACATACCCATGTAGGTAGGCGTGTAACTACCTGTACCTATATACGGATATTGATATTATGGTTTATATGTATGCACTCCGCACATCCCCCATCCCTCCGCATCACATGTATCACCATGCAGCATAGCTATAGCATAGTAGTGCCTGAAGCGAACTATTCCCGTCCCGGTCGGCGTCTATTCCCACCCACCCCTCCTCTCCACTACGGATTGTCCGCTCTGCAAGCGCGTAAGCTAAAAGGAAAAGGGAAAAGCGAAACTGGGGACATCTGCAGAATGGTGTAATGGTGCGTGAAGTGCGCGGTCCGCTCCTCTATCGTACATAAGTTTGACAGCGGTCATCCTGCACGAGGCCAAATCGGTCGATGGTCCATCCCCGCTAGGAATGGTCTCATCGGAGTTGACGGCGAGAAGGGGGAAGCGTCCAAGCGAGTGAGTGATTTCTTGATTGGGCTTGAGTTTTTTTATCTTATCTTATTACTTCTTTGAAGAGAAAAAAAAATTTGTTTTCTATTTTTTCAACTTATTTTTGAACCGATGGAATCAAACAGACAAATTAGTGGATTTGATGCAATTCGTGCAACTAAATTCCAGTAACTAGGTATTAATTATGGACAATTCAGTGACATCATCGCACATACAATACCTTCCCTCTATCAGTCAAGTCCCCTCCCTTGTGCACGAGCTTACTATATTTATGCGATTCGGGGGTCAATAATACAAAGTGCTATGATGATTCCCGGAGGAAGTCCGTTTCGGCCGACGTAGAAATCTCTCTTGTCTGGCATCATCGAACTTGTGTCGCCCGGATGGAATGATGTCTTATCAGCGCTTGTTTTGTCCCCTGTTACATACCTCTGTCGGCGTGTCCGTATCGCATCCATCCCTTGGGCAGAGAGAAGAAATGATAACGTCATAACCTCCACCGGTAGAGAATGACGACAGTTGCCGAGGAAGGCGGGATTCTGACACTGCTCGTGTGATGGCTGGGCTAGATTTGATAGATTGGCTCGGGGATAGTACTAATCATTGCAGTTCTAGGTTGACCTTGTTTTGAGGACTGAAATGAATCTCCAAACTAGAAAGAAGGATGGAGGATGGAAGGATGAAGAGGCAGAAATTGAAGGCAGATCGAAGGCAATTGAGGGATGCGGCAGGAACGGGCAGAAGAAAGTAGCCCCGCCGACCCCGCCGGCTCCAAGCTCCGATAGCAACTTGGTACTGCGACTGCGACTGCTGCCACTTTACCTACCTCACTCACCGTACTCTCTACTTTCTCTTCCTTCGCTACCTTTATCTACCAACTACATCCTCAACGATACACAACGACAAACCTACCGAACAAACAATCGAAACAAAAAAACCACGACATCCGTCCTATCTTCCTCCAATTTCAATATGGCGAGTCCCGCTCCCAACCTCTACAGTTTCTCCGACAATGACGCCCTGGCCCAACAATTACGGCCCTACGTCCTCCGGTGTCAGAACACGGCCCTGACTCGACACACCAGCTTCCGCGTCGCCGTCTCAGGCGGATCTCTCCCGACCGTCCTGGCAAAAGCCCTCCTGGCCCCCGGCGACGGAACCCCGGAGGATACACCGCAGTTCGACAAGTGGGATGTCTTCTTCGCAGACGAGCGCGCCGTGCCCCTCGACCACGAAGACAGCAACTACCGCCTCCTGAAGGACGAACTGGTGGACAAGATCCCCTCGCAGCTGGGCAAGCCGCGCGTGCACGCCATCGACGCCAACCACGTCAACGACGACGACCCGCAGGAGCTGGCCGACTTGTACCAGGAGGAGCTGATGCACATATTCGCCGCCAAGGACAGCGTCAAGCTGCCTGTTTTTGACCTCATCCTACTGGGCTGCGGCCCCGACGGTCACACCTGCAGCTTGTTCCCCGGCCATGAGCTGCTGCGCGAGAAGGACGCTTGGGTCGCTGCGGAGTCCAACTCCCCTAAGCCCCCGCCTAAACGCATCACCTTGACCCTGCCGGTTGTCACCCACGCCATCCAGATCGCTTTCGTCGCTACCGGTGCCGGGAAGAAGGAGATCATGAAGCAGATCTTTGACGCTGGGGAGGATGGAAACCTGCCCGCCGCCTTGGTGAACCAGGGGGCCGGGGACAAGGTCAGCTGGTTTACCGATCACGCCGCTGTGGAGGGGGTTTCTTTCCCCCGGCGTGGGAGTCTGTAAGTGAGGATGACTGGCGGCTTGGGTGTTCTAGTTTTGGATTCATCCTGGAAATTGGTTGTACATGCTATGATGTGATATGGCCATTCTCTAGCAGTATGGAATAGCCGAGCATCGATTATCCGACAAACAAAATCAAAAACTTATTAGAAAAAGAAGAAAGAAAGAAAATCAGAGGAAAGATTGGGGGCAAAGGAAAACAAGCCAGGCTGCGATGTTTACTGCGGGGTATGAGGTCCTCTGTTGTGTCCATGCTTTTTTTCCTTTCTTATTCCTTTAGCTTAGTTCTTGTGTTTCCTTTGCCAGCGTCCTCTATGGCAGATTTGATTCCTGTCTGATGTGACCTTGTGTGTAAAAGTGTTGCTGCTGTCTATTATTGATATCACAGACCGTTTCATAATGGAGTAATGAACATTTCGCAATCCAACCAAAAATAAAACCAAAAGGATAGACAAGATGCTCTGTATGATTTCTGAAAAGTCATCCATCTGCAGTACGTCAGGAGAAAACCACCTACTAATAAGGAAGATGAGTCTTTGTCTGAATGCCGGACGATCTTCCCCCGTACGCCAAGAACCAGAAGGGTTGGTTGAGTTGGGACTGACCGCCCAATTATTCGATCTCCATCCATCCCTCCCTGTTTGTTGTCCCTCCTTTGCTTTCTACTCGACGACTCGGAGTTCGGTCGAATCACTCTAGAATCTCGATCTTGAGATTCAGCTTGTGTTGGACACAAGCTGCAATACAGGATAATCCATCATGCCGATCCCCACGCGCACAGTCTCAGTTCGCAAGCAGGTCAGTGGCCCCAGTTAATTAATTAATCTACTCCGTACTTGTCATCTACTCTGTACGACCTACCTTACTACCTATAATAACACCCTTCCTTTCTTAGCTTCTCCGGTGAGAAGATCCCCCTGTGTTCATCCGCGCATTTTAGGGATTATTTCAGTGGCTGACAACCTTTGAAAGCCCTCTACTGTAGGACGCACCACGACAGCCACGGCCACTTCGACAGCGGCAGTCAGCAAAGAAAACGCCCCCAACCGCCCGAATAAGAGCCTCCTTCCCGTCCGCGATGAAGTACGTCCCTCGGGCATCGCACGACCACAGAAGCTGGAGCCAAGCCGGCCTGTCCAGCGGGGTATCAAGCCCCCCAGCAAGAGCTCGGTGTCTCTTCCACAGCGACAACAAGAGTCGCGACCCCAGTCTTCGTCGTCGGAATCCACCACCACCGCAGCAGCGCCGGTCGCTCGCCGCCAGAGTCTGGTCCGTCCGAGTCCGCTGAAGAGCATCAGACCGCTACAGCCACCGACAGCTAGTGCGACTACGACCCCAAAACGGACGACCCCCGCAATCGGGCCCCCGTCGCCCTCCAAGCAAAATGCCCGCCCTATCTCCCCGCGGAAACCTCCCTCAAAGAACGACATGCTTCCTCCTCCGCGTCCGACACGGTCGGCGTCCCTCCGGCAGCCGGCGAGCTCGAGCGCAGGCGCGGGCGCGGGCGGCCCGACCGCAGCACGGGGCCACGTCCGACACCGCAGTCAGGTGCTGGCGCCGACCTCGAGCCAAACCGCCCGGAAAATGGAGCCCCCATCCCCAGCGACAGCAGCGCCGCGTTCGCGGACGCAGTTTTCAACCTATCAACAGCATTTCTCCCCCAAGAAGGCCACTCGACCCCCGCCTGCCGCGGCCCCGCCCCCACCGTCTACTTCGGGCCCTCCTCTCGATGCCTCGCTGATTCTTCCGTCGTCTGCGCCGGAGCTGACGACGCTCCAAACGGAGCTACTCCAGCTGAATCTCTTCCACCTGTGCTCGACGCGCCAGGACGCAGAGTGGAAAGCCGACGCAGAGACGCAACTCCGGAGCAAATACGACGCGGTCGCGAAGAGCTATCGAGTAATCGTGGGACAAGAGAAGGACCACCAGCGGCAGATCAACGGACAGGCCCTCCAGCACTGGGTGCAGAACTGCCAGGAACACAATGGGCACCAAGGGTTCGCAGAGCAGATCCAGGTCCTGTCGCAGGTTGCGCAGGAGGTGTGCGATTTGACGGAGGGTCCGGGCAGCCGATACCCGCGCATCGTGCAGGACTTCGAGGAGTGGTTTTTACAAGCGGATGAGATCCAGGACTACCGGGCCCACCCGCCGCAGTCGGGTGATCCTGCTCCGACGGCGGTATTCATCGACCCGCTGGACGGCGCATGGAAGGAGTCCGCTCAGGCGCTGGAGTTGAAGCTGGAGCACTGCCTGCGACAACTACAGAGCCTCGATATCCTCGGGTATCAAGAGATGGAAGATCGATTGGAGCAGTCGGCGCTGGTGCGGACGGCCCGACGGCTGGACGAGATGATCGCGATGATGGTGGAGGAGCTCGCTGTGATCCGTCGGATTGAAAGCGACGTCGTCAAATCGGAGCGTCGGTGGGTGAGTGAGCTGGCGCAACAGTTGACTACTGCGCCGACACCGCCGACCGAACGAGGGCCGAGATGCGGGGTGTGGAGTCGAGCGTATTGATTTCATGATGGTCAAGACTTTATTTTTTTTTCTTCGGGTTTTGGATGGACAACAAGCCAAACCAGGCACATAGGAAATGTGTCACGTCTATGAATAATGAACGAATAATGTGTTTCGAATCAACTGCCCCCCTACGACTATCATGGAAGCAACAAGTCTTCAACTATCCAGTAGTGTAATCCACCAGCCAGTCACAGTCAACCCATGCAATTGACCGCCGGTCATCACGAGGAAAGAAGGTACTGGATATAGAAAACCCATCCCCTGTCAGCCCTCAGCGAGTATTCCGGTTCCCCTGGACGTGGATGTCTGATATCGGGCATTAGTGTCGCATCGCGAACCGGTTTTCCTGCGCGGGATTATATTTCTCCTCACCTCCCTTATCAATTTCATTTGCCTTTGGTCTTATTTTATCTTTCCTGTTTTTGTCCTCGTCTCATCCTATTATATCCTTGCATATCGTGAAACCGCGATTAATCCCTCGGGGAAAACTTGTAAACAGGTTGGAAACAGGTTGAAAACAAACGCACAGACAAACCAAGCCAGATCCAGAACCGGTTTTCGTCTGTCCTGACCAGATTGAATCCTGGGCTACAAACAGATGGACAAATCATCGTGTTTATATTGCATCGGCCGAAGCTAACTACTACCTAGGTAGACTGAGATCGCGAATAGGGAAGTAGGATTGGTTGGAGGGAATCCTTCCACCTACGAACCTTTTTTTTTTCTTTTCTTTTTTCAAACTTGGTATTGGGATTGGTTGGTATCACTGTTAGGGATATCATCGTGTTGGTGGTAAATGTAATGTAAATTAAAGATGGCTTGATGGGATGTCCTTCATGGTGGAGGGAGATTGACGGTGCTAGTCGTGCGGTTCCAGCGTGGGAGAAGCTTGTATCAACTCTATAGATATATATATAGGTGTATAGTAAAAATGAAATTGATATCAAAAGTAATGAATCAAATAAAGTCAATCAATCAATCAATGAAACATAAAGTCAGGTACTTAGATAATACACCCAAAAGACACCTACTAGGTACATATACAAGCTGGTAAGCTACCTAGTACCCAGGTACAATAGTACTCGACAGCAAGAGAGGAACAGGAACGAGAAACCTGAAAGTGGAGAGTGCTACACTGATACTTTATATTCATACACCGTATTCTTTATCATATAGTAAAATCCTCCATATGATATGGACCAGAGCTCAGTCCCATGTGGAGAACCAGCCAATGGTGACATTCCTTAGATCCACCATGAGGTCATTGGCAGTCTGACATTTGCTTCGTTGGGATTAACCTTGTCTCCACTTTGCTTTAGCTCTTGACATTTATTGAGTTTTTGGAGGTGTATAGTATAGATGAATGATTTATATGGTTGATTGATATATATGCTTTTTTCTTTGACCAGTATATGGATATTTGATCTGTATAGATGTATAGATGGATAGAGATCTGTGGAATGTCCACAACTATCAATCGATGACTTCATGAGTTCTGCTTGGTTCTGGGCCGGCCGATCTGGTGATGCTCTTGTCCACTGGAGATACAATCAATTACTTTATAATCTAATAAGAATACATATATAGAATAGAATAGTACAGATAGAATATATATCTATCTATCTATCTAAGTGTATATCAATCAAAGATAGAAAGTATAGATGCAGAGTAAGGTACTATAGTTACCGAACCATACAGCCTTCGGCAGGGAAAAGTGTGCCTGTATCATACCGGCCCCGGGTCATTACCGGTTCCAAACCGACATTTTCCTCTCTCCTGGTACCTCCTCTCGTCTTTCTCCTCGTCTCTCTCCACATCTTTCTCTTCTCATCATCTTCTTCTCTTTCTCTTCTTCTTTTTCTTATTTTCTTCTTCATCCTTCATTCCTGCGTCTTCATCCTAAATCTTCATTCCTACATCTCCCTTGCATGATACATCCTGTCATACTGTCATACTGTCCTCCCGCCTCACATCAAACCCCACTGACCACTCGCCGCACGTCGATCCCCACTCAATTTCTCCCACTCTCCGCCTCGCTATGATCTAGTCTCGTTCCTTTTTACCTACCCCCCGGTCAGCCTCTGCCCATCATGAAAAATCATTCGATCTCCCTCTACGATCGCATCTGGCGTCGGGAGGCCGGCGATGCCTCCCCCTCGGCTAGCATCCGGGGCCTCTATGGTTCCAAGGAATGGATCGACAATTTAGATATCGTCAACGAGCTCGGTGGACACACCGGCTGTGTCAACGCGCTCTCGTACGTCTCGTCTTTCCCTCATCCTTATTCTCTTCATATCTGACAATGACAGATGGTCGCGTTCGGGTCAACTGCTGGCCTCGGGCTCCGATGATCATAACCTCAACATCTACTCCTACCAGCCCGACTCGTCCACCGCCCCATTCGCCCTCAACACCACCGTCTTCACCGGTCACCGCGCCAACATCTTCTCCGTCAAGTTCATGCCTCACTCCAATGACCGCACCGTGGTCACCTGCGCCGGCGACTCCCAGGTCCGCGTCTTTGACATCGAACACGCCGCCGCCAACCGCGACGTCGCCGCCACCTCCGCCCTCTCCGCCTCCGCCCGCAGTCAGAACTTCAACAACTTCTTCACCAACACCCGCTACCTGAGCGAGGGCAACACCAATGTCCGCGTCTATCGCAGCCATGCTGACCGTGTCAAGCGCATCGTCACCGAGTCCTCCCCCCACCTCTTCCTGACCTGCTCCGAGGACGGCGAGGTGCGCCAGTGGGACCTGCGCCAGCCCTCCTCCGCCTACCCCAAGCCCCGCGGCGGCCAGGGCTTCATGGCCTACCGCCCTGGCCTGGTCCACGACGACTCCAACGTCCCGCCCCCCTTGATCTCCTACAAGCGCTACCAGCTCGACCTCAACACCATCTCCTGCTCCCCCTCTCAGCCCCACTACATCGCCCTGGGCGGCGCCCACCTGCATTGCTTCCTGCACGACCGCCGCATGCTGGGCCGGGACCGCATCGCCGAGACGGGGGCCCCCACAGGCGCCCCACCCCGCAGCATGCGGGATGACGAGGTCATGGGCCAGGCCACCCGCTGCGTGCGGCGCTTCGCCCCCGGCGGCCGCCGGCACATGAACCCGCGCAGCGAGGGGCACATCACCGCCTGCAAGATCAGCGATGCCAACCCGAACGAGATGGTCGTGAGCTGGTCCGGGGACCACATCTACAGCTTCGATCTCATCCGCAGCCCCGATGCCGCCGCCGCCCGGGCCCGCGGCCAGTCCGTCCGCCAGACCCACGACCCCCGCCGGGTCGCCCACGCTCGGGATCGCAAGCGCAAGCGCCAGAAGCAACCGTCCACGTCGTCCACATCCAGCGGGACGCAGCCGCGCCGCCGCTCACGCCCTCGCGACGAGGACCCCGAATTGAAGTTTCGGGTCCGCTACGGCAACGGCGCGCTGGAGGACATCTCCATCCCGTCGCTGGCGGACACCGTCGGCGACACCCAGCAGAACGTCTTCGAGCAGGCCCGGTACGCAGTGCTGAACGACGCCCAGCGGCTGGGGATGGAGATCGCCAAGGGTCTGGTCAAGCTCCGCAAGGCCTTGTTCTCCCTCGACGCCGCCGTGCGCGAGTGGGACGGGTCCACCGAGGAGGCGCCGTACGCCGACGCGCTGTCCACGGCCTTGACCCAGGCGTCCCGGTCCCTGCCGCGCATGACGGCCGTCATGCGCGACTGGCGCTACCCCCTGAACCCCACCTGCCACGTCGTCAACATGCAGCAGACGCTGCGGCACAACCGAGAGTCGTCCTGGCGGTTCGTGCAGGCGGCCGGCACCTTGGCCAAGGCCTTGGGGGCAGACGTCCGGGAAACGGCCGCATCGGATGACGAGAATGATGATGATGATGACGACGTCGATGCCGGAGAGCAGTTCGACCAGATCCGGCTCGCCCCGGGTGAGAATAACTCCGTGGATCGAAGCGCTCAGTTCGGCTACGACTTCCTCAAGTCCATCCTCCTGTTCTTCGCTGGTGGTCGAGAGGCCGTGCGGGCCGGGTTCCAGCGCAACTCCGCCGCGCGACGCAACCAGGCGCGATTTCCCCTCGCCGCCGAGGCCGACGACAGCGCCATCGAGTCCGTCCTGATCCCCTACCTGCAGCGTCTGGCCGGCGACGACCCCGTGGTCAACGTCGACGCCTCGCGCTTCGAGCACGACTCCAGCCGTATCCTGTTCCCGACTCAGCAGGCCGCCGTGACCGCGTTCAGCCGCGTAGTTCAGCTGCCCTTGGAGGATCTGGGATCCGCCGCCTCGCGGGCCGACCCCGGCACCGGGGAGGAACGGAGCGATGCACCGCCCGTGCGCGCCCTGGACAGGTCTGCGGCCGCACGCTTCTGGCAGTTCAAGGTGGGTCGCGGGGTCTTGATGGCCGCGGGGTCCGGCGTCAACTATGCCTTCGTCAACCAGGCCTTTGGCGGGCTGCGTATGACGGTGGAGGACGAATCAGAGGAGAGTGAAGGGGCGGTCCCAGAGCGGTCGCAGGACGACACCGAGGCCACCCGGGAGGAGGAACCGATCCGCGACGTCCGTCTGATGATCGACGGGGGTTCACCAAGCGGCAGTCCCTCGGACCCGCAATCCCAGCCGGGACACCGGCATGAGACAACCATCGGCCGGATGTCTGCCAGCGGCAATGCGGAGATCAACGAGGACTTTTTCGAATGGAAATCGCGCGAGGATACGGAAGTTGACGGCGAGCCGGATGGCCCGGTGGAAGACGACGACGACGATGACGACGATGACGACGGGGAGGATGAATCCGAGGATGAAACCTCGGTCAGCGAGGATGAAGAGGACAATCTGGGCAATCTCATGGACGATTCGTCCGACGCGAATGATGATGATGATGATGACCTTACGGGTGATTATGATATCGATGCTGATGATGGTTCTGGCAACGAGCGCTTACTCCGCAACTATGGCTTTCAACGCACCAAACGCCACAATGTGCATTCTGACATCCCGTGCTCCTCGCACACCCGGGTCTATCGGGGGCATTGCAATGTTAAGACCGTCAAGGATGTGAATTATTATGGGATGGACGACGAGTATGTGGTGAGTGGTAGCGACTCGGGGCATGTGTTTATCTGGGATCGGAAGACTTGCGATTTGGTGAATATTCTTGAGGGGGATAGTGAGGTGGTCAATGTGGTGCAAGGTACACCTTTTCTCTCCATCTTTCTCTCCGTCTGTTCTCTCCCTGAACTCTGATGCTCATTCCCCAGGCCATCCCTACGAACCGACGATCGCCGCGTCAGGCATCGACAACACGATCAAGATCTTCTCGCCCGACCGCCACGCCCAAGAGAACGCCCGCCGCGGCATAAACATCCTCGACCCGAATAATCCGGCCAACGCGCTAGGTCCAAATGTGGACAGCTCCATCGGAGGCCTCAAAAGCTGCAAGCGCATGCACGATAGCTACCGCATCATGAACCAGAACGACGTCAACCGACAAGGTGGTTTAGACGATGCATTCATCACGGTGGGTTCCCATTCCCCCGTTCCCTGGTCCCAATCGCCTCTTCTGACTTGAATCAGAGGAACATGTTGGCTGAGTTCGCGTCGGCCCTGAGGGAGCGACAGGTTCCTGGTGGAGCAGGAAATAACCCTGGCGTGCAGGATGGACCTGCCTTGGTTCTGGATGATAATTGCAGCGTATGTTACCCACCTCTCTTTGGTTAGGGCATTAGGACTAACGGTTGCAGGTGATGTAACGAACCAACCACAAGGCGAAGTAAACGGGTTTCACGGCGGGTTCTTCCAAACGTGTCTTCTTCACTTTTATTTTTTCTTCAATATGCATGAGTGAACTGGCCCTATCATGTTAGTGTGCGTTCTCCTCGCGGGTGTTTGATTAATTTCATGGCGGCGTTCTGGAATTGAAAATGAATTACGGGGAGTTGAGAATGAGACTGTCTTTTCGCTTGAGCTTAACAAATACAGTGGTGTATGCACATGAGGATGTAGGTAGCTGTCAGCTGTTAGCTGTAGTGATGCTATAGATTGAGTGGTGCCTGAATATGCAGGTATAAGTCAATACGGTATCACCACGTGACCTTATCGTCTTCCCCGCATTCTTTTTTTTTTTTTTTTTTTTTTCCCTCCAACTCACCCAACAAAGCCTCATCTTATCGCAATCAATCCCTTATGCGAATAACCACCCAATAACCAAGAACACACGAAGTGACCACAACTATATACAATACAACTACCTACTATAATATCCTAAAATGCAATCCCTCCTCACCACCCGCTCCGAAACAACCTCCCGCCTCTACGCAGACCCCCACAACCCCCACCTGCACCTCGAGCGAGGCCGCGTCCACGAGCAATTGGGCTTTCCGGACTTGGCGTCCGCGGATGCGTATCGTGCGTTGTCATTGTTGGACTCGGTTGTTGATCCGGATGGGTGTGAGTTTCATGCGAGGCGGGTAGTAGATCAGGATCAGAAGGATAGAGATGCCGTCAGCAGGAATAGCGATGAGGATGATGGGGAGGATGAGGATGAAGATGACGATGAAGGATTTGCTCCCATAACGCAGGACGAATACGACGCTATAATCGGCGACGTGTACGCCCTCCTCGTCCGGAGTCTCGTCAGCTGTGGCTGTTTCCGCGATGCGTATGACTTTGCCGTGCGGGGGCTGGCTCTTTTGGGGGATAAGTCGCAGTCGACAGCGGCGGATGTGCTTCGAGAACAGATGCGCAATATCAAATCTGCATATAGAGCTCGACTCGGATCTGACGCCCCTGCCCCTCCTACCACCAACGAAGATGATATCCAGATCGACCCCAGCCGACTCCCCGCGCAAGGATACGCCCGCCGTGTCCTTTACCCGTGGAACACGCACGAACCGGACCGTAAAGCCCCTGAGACACTGGCGCTGCTCAACGAGCGGTTAAAGACGGTTGCGCCGAAGTGCGAAGTCCGTGCCGTGGCCTTGCCAGCCTTACACAACACACCCACCCCAACCGATACCAAAGAGCAAGGGCAAGAGCAAGAAGTCTCCATCCAGCTCGGCCTCTTCGCCAAAGAAGACCTCCACCCGGGTGAAGTCATCCTGCGCGAATCGTCGCTGCTTACCGCGACGAACCGTCTTCATGACGACCTCTGCGACGCTTGCAATGCGCCTCTCCCGGCTATCGACTCTGAGAACCCGCCTGTTCCGTGCGAAGAGTGCGCTGATGAAGATGATATTTTTTTCTGCAGTCAGGCTTGCCATGATGCTGCGCAGAGTGCCTACCACGGTGCTGTCTGCGGCCTCATGCATAACCTCGACTCTATCGGAAAAGATATTCCTGATAAAAAGGACAAGGCTGATTATCTTTACCTGCTGCTTCTGGCCCGCGCGCTCGCCATGGCAGCCACGCAATCCCTGCACCCCCTCGACCTCCCAGAAGTGAAATACATCTGGGGAGACTTCCACCCTTACCAAACCGACCCCTCAACCGAAGAGCAAGAAAAACAAAAAGAACTCCCCTTCTCCTTCCACCTCTCCATCCTCCAGCCCATGCGCTTCCTCGAAGAAATGTCCCTCGACCCCTACACGACCCTCCCCCACTACGATACATGGGTGCTTAACTCGCTGTACGCCAAATTCCGCGGCACAGCCTCAGGCAGACTGTCTACCTGGGACGGCGGCCCCGAGCTCTGCGCTGTGCATCCGCTTTGGTGTCTTGCGAATCACTCCTGTGATCCGAATGTGCGGTGGGATTGGGCGGCGGATATTTGCTTTACGGTGCGGGATGGGGGGAAGGGGGAGAGGGTTGTTTGGGGGGAGGGAGCTTCTTCTGGGGGTGGTGATGGTGGGATTAAGAAAGATCAGGAAATCTTAAACCATTATTGTGATATCGGCATGGATGTTAAGCAGAGGAGGGAGTGGGCTTGTGGGGCTCTTGGGGGGATTTGTCTGTGTGAGAGGTGTGTTTGGGAGGCTGAGCATTGTTGATTTTCTTGAAGTTCTTTCCTTCTTTTGTTCTTTTTTTTTCCCCCCTTTTGGGCAATGCTTGGTTGGTTGCTTGTTTGCTTGGGTGACTACTACTCGGACTCTGAAAATAGACTATATAGATAGACGATAATGTAAATAGATGACAGTTAAATAAAGATACCCTGTAATAATATTCTACCAGAGGATTCCCTTCCTATCCTATCATACTATCTTATCCTAACCCCCATACTCCTCCCAATACTACCAATAATACAATCCACTCCTTTCCATCTCATGTCCATTCTTCCAGCTCCCTATCCCCATACTATGCTACCTAATCGCGACAAACACTCCGACTCCGACTCCGACTAGGAGATCTCCGCCTCCGAGGCGGCGATCGCGACGGCGATAGCGAGTCGGAGTATCTTCGGCGTCTGGGTCCGTCCTTTGCTCGCGGTCCGTCTTTAGCTCGTGGTGGTGGAGAGCGAGATCGAGACAAAGACCGAGAACGAGATGGAGAAGGTGAGTCGCGACGGCCTGCGCGTCGAGGTGGGGAAGGACGTCTGCGCGGTGGGGTGATGGATCGCGAGTAGCTCCGTGCTCTGCGGCTGGATGGGCCGGGGCCTCCCTTGCGCGGCGGTGGACTGACGGAGCGGGAGGGCGAACGACGCGCGCGGTACGGGCTGCGGCTGCGGCTTGGGGACCGCGAGTCGTAGGACCGCGCGCGGGTGCGTCGTGGTGGGCTGCGCGACTTGGACACTGATGGCGAGCGGCTGTAGGTGACTGAGCGGCGGCGGCGGCTGCTCTTTGGTGGTGGGGAGCGCGACCGCGACGGCGTGTAGCTGTAGCTGCGCGAGGAGGCTGAGTAGGAGCGGCCTCGGCTGACGGAGCGGGCGGGGCGTCCGCGGCTTCGGGATGGCGAGCGCGAGCGCGAATACGATCTGGAGCGGGAAGACGGGCAGGTTGAGCATGATGCCGGGTGCGAGCTGACGGAGCTTGAGCGCGAGTCTGCGCTGGTGGCGCGGGCGGCTGGTAGTGCGGGGACGGTCGGCTTGGGGAGGTTCTTCAGGTGCTCGCGCATGTCCTCTGTCAGAACACCCAGTCCGATGCTGGTGAAGTAGTTGACGGAGAAGCGCGTCTTGCGGGGGTCGTCGAGCGGGAAGAGGCCCTCGAAGCTGGGGCGCAGGATCTCGTCTGCCGTCAGGCGCTGCTTGAGCTGCGGGAGGCCGAGGTGCTCGATTAGGTTCTGGAAGAGGATCTTGACGAAGATACGGCTGCTGGAGGTCGTCTCCTCTTCGTTCATGTGGATGACGGACATGACGTGCCATCCGATCGCGTCCGTGCTGAACATGTGTCCGAAGAAGGAGGCGATGTTGCGCAGCCGGTTGGTCTCGTAGCGGTGGATCGTGTCGTAGTATTTGGCAAAGGCGGCCTCGAACAGGTCCGACCAGAGACGGTTGATCTTGGCGAATCGCTCGCCGATCAGACCGTAGAACTTCGAGAATGTCCGTTCCTGCGAGCAACACTCGATGATCATCGACGGCAGCTCCGGCTCCAGGCCGGCCGGCAGGGAGATCTTCATCAGCTTGTGGCAGCATTCTTCGAAGTCGATACTGGACATGATTGTTAGGTAGATCGTTCGTCGCAGGTTGACGAGATCCGTGTTGCTCTGGTCCTTGATGTCCATCTGTTGCTCCTCGTCCGACTCCTCGTCGGAACTCTCGTCCGAGTCGGCCTCTTCGTCTTCGTCGCTGTCCTCACCCAGGATCTCCGCCTTCAGCCTTTTGTAGGCATCCTCGTGTTCCTCCCACTGGGGGTCGTATTTGAAGATGTTCAGGGTGTCCTGCGTCTCGAGCTCGTCGTCGAGACCGACCCGGTGGGTTATCTGGTCCTCCTCCTCGATCAGGTCCAACTCCTCTTTGACCGCCGGGTTGTCCTTGAAGCGATCCTTGCGGACCTGGAACAAAACCTCAATCATGTACTGCACTCGCTTATCAATGTCCGCCTCGTGGAGGATGTTCCGAAACTGATCGAACACGGCCAGGGCGATCGGGCCGCTCATGGCTTCCAGATGCTGCCCGACTTCCCTCGTCAAACCAACGGCGATCTCCACACTATCGTCCGTCGGCTTATGGAGCAACAGCAAGAGAATCTGGGCGGCAACCATCTCGTGCACCACCTGCTGGTTGCACAGGTGGGCGATAAACGTCGACGACGCGATACAGACAGCCTTGTCGTTTCGTTTAAACGCTTTGCGAAACTGCACGACCAACCGGTGAAGCAGCAGCTCGCCCACCTGCGGTAGCTTTGTGTTGACAATCGCCGCCATAGCAGCGTAAATCGGGGTGAAAGGCAAACTCGCCGCTTGGGCCTTCATGATACTCCGGCAGAACAGACCGCGACCGCGGACCAGGTTCTCGCTAAACAATTCCGGAACGATGAACTTAATGTTCGACACGTTCACCTTGTTGATGAGACCGTTGATCGACTTTTTCAACGCCTCCCACGCCATCCGCTGGTACTCCTTGCTCGTCTTGTCGGTGATCTGCGACTGCAGGGCGCGGAGTCGAGCCGGGGGAATGTACGTGCCGCCCGATCGCATGTTGAGGAGCTTCTCGTATTCCGCTTTGGCAGACGCCTGCTTCTCCTCCTCTGTCATGGGTTTGCGCGCGGCCTCCTGCTGCTCATGTTGACGCAGTCGCTCCGCCAGCTGCCGCTCTCTCTCGATGGCGCGGTCGGGGTCGATTCGCGGTACATCGCCGCCGTCTTCATTGTGGGTGTCCCCGGGAGGCGACCGGCGACGATTGGGCGAAGGAGATCGCGATGGAGGGGACCGTTTTCGCGATCCTGTGGGCTGAGGCGAGTAGGAGGCGCCTGGGGGAGGCGTCGGCACACGGACGGCGGACTGCAACACCACGGGGTCCGTCATTTTCCTGCGCCTTTAATCTTCCTCTTTCGGCTCGTATGTGGATGTATGGAGAATGGAATCCACGACCACACGGAAACGCTGTGAAAAGGAAAGGAAGGGGGTGACGGTGAGCTGATGGTCCGTCTCAAGAAATCGTGAGGCGGCGAAAAGGCAAGACGGCCGCTGGTCTTGGCCGGGAGTGTCACGTGACGCGCTCAGGAGTTGCGGCGCGGTGGCTTCTTGTGTTGGCGCGCTTTACGGAGTACGGGTCTTCCTCATCGTCAACTTGAAGCTCTCTCGTCGGTCGCGTGTGTTGCTTTTAGAAAGTGATTTCACTATGGTAAGAATTGATTTGTTTTTCTCCCAGCTGTACTTGGCTTTGTTTACAAAGAACTAACTGGTGGAAGCTGGGACAACTTGTAGGATCCGCCATGCTTTTGGCCGCAACCGCCATCTTCCTCTACTACACCACATGGACGCTGCTCATGGTAGGCTTCGCGCTCGGGTTCCCTACGATTACATACTGATTCTATTTCCAGCCGTTCGTCGATCCGGGCCACCCTCTGCATGACCTCTTCCCGCCCCGTGTTTGGGCCATCCGCATCCCCGTCATCCTGACTCTCCTGGGCTCCGCTGTCGTTGGAACGTTTATCGGCATTGTGATGATCAACAGCAACAAGAAGAAGGCCGCCAAGGCCAAGGCGGCAGCTGCGAAGAAGAAGACTTGAACGCGGATCCGAGGAAGAGGACCGTTGAGATGGGATAGGGTGAAGGGAGTGCCAAAGGTGGCTGACCCGAAAGTACCTACAGCTTCGGATGTGCCATCTGTCTGATATGACGTGTAACAATACCACTTTCTTTTTATTTTGGTTTCTTTCTTTCTTTCTTTCTTTCTGTCTTCCTGCACCAGCGTTTCGTTTTCACTGCATCGTCATAAAAGGGATAATGTACTGTCTCAAACGGAAAGAGACCAAAGATACGGAGACATCCCTCGATCTTCACCAATAATGACGGTGGGGAAGAGAGCGGATGGAAGCAGCCACTGAATTCAACCAGCCTTGTAGTAACAAGCCACTCCATTCAGGTGGTGAATTCCAGGCCACCCCTTCGTAAGGAACACCCGAAACCCCACGACGACACTTTCCTTGGCGTCGACTCCCATCCATCGCGTCATCGTTCAGTCACAGCCCGGGGGCGTGTACCAATGACGGACAGGGGCCTTACAGATGATGGGCGGTGCTGGACCCCTGCCATGCGACCCGTGACCGTGTCTCGAACGGAACCAGAGGACCTTTTCAACTACCGCAAGGGCGTTGGGCATTCCACCGGATCGTCAGACGGCTGATTGGGTCGACTCGAGTGGCGGCTAGGCCCGGAATATTGATGGAACGAGGATGAACCGGAGGAAGCTGGAGAGGCAAGAAACCTCGTTGATGACCGATTAGTCTCACAGCCTCATTTGTCAAGAATCTCCGGGTCATGACGATTGATGGTCATCCAGGGATCTTGCTGCTCTGGGCTCACTGGCTGCTCCGCCCAGGCGCATCACGTGGCAGCCTGCATTGGGACCGCGTGTGGTGTTTGGCTTGTTTGTTTCTATCACGACAACTCAGAGAGTCAAAAAGCGCAGTTACCCCTCATGACTGTACCAATCAATAGTACTCAACCGTTGAAGATATGGCTATGGTTGGTCCTTCATTTGCCAGGTAGTCAGTCTCAGACCTCGGATTGAGGGTTAAAGGCGCAGTAGTGAGCAGTTACTAGTCGGTGGTCGCAGGAGTCGATCCCCCACTGCAGGAGATGCGATAAGTCATTTGTTACGTATCGTGACAGTAGATACCATTATTACCGTACCTTGATACCATCCATCTCCCCAGCCATCCATTTCAGGTGTCTTCTCAGGTGTCTTGTAGATCAACCGATCATGGGAAAGAAGTGGAAAATACCGTCATTTTTAACTGTCAAGAAATATTAAACAAGTAGAAATATTGAACAAGTAGATGACCAAGATACCCTCGAGACCCAACAAACCAAATGATCACGATCCTTCGGGGATACCACCTGAGGGCCTCCTGAGGGTCCTGACAAAACGGTCATGCGGGGGATGTCTTACCTGATGATACAGATCAATACATACCAGATAGTCCCTGATACCGATACCGATAACAGATAACCAGTCAGCCCGATGTAGTCATCCAGACTCCTGACCTTCTTCTCCCCCTCTCCCACTCCCCCTCCTTCTTCCCTCTCTCTCTTCTTCTTCTCTGGACTACTTCTCTTGTCTACTTCGTCTATCCATCTTCACCTCTTAATGTACTAGTTCAAATCATCATCCCCACTTGTTGTTCTCTTGTAACTCTACTATACTAGCCGTATCTCGCCTCTGACGCTTGTTGTATCTCGGACATCGAAGCAGTGCTTCTCGGCCTGTCCAGACCTCCCGAGACCTCAGATCTACATCCTTCGCGTATCTTCAGAGTGCCTTTCACTCCAGGTACGCGACGCCACTGCGCTTGTTCCCGGGTGCTTTTGATAAGCCCTCGACAATCAACGGTTCTTCGTGTCGGTGGAAGCCTCGACACCGGTTATCTTTCACAGGTAGATCGTACGTCGCGTTTGACTCATCACATCTCCGTACCCCTTACCAGTGTCTCGAGGCTCTTGCTAACAGAGGTTGGTGGCGTTCCATAGTGCTCGCGGACTCGCTCCGATAGCATCATCTACCGTATCCCCTGCCTCGGTCGACCACGTCACCGGAGCCCTCGTCCTCCGTTCTCAGACCGATCCCGGGTCGTGGGAGCGGTCTTCCCCCTCGACATCTCATTGCCTCCCCGGAGGCAATCCCACCCATTTGTATGCCCCCGGTAGCCTCAGACGATCTTCTCAACCTGCAAAACCGGTCTCAAGCCGACCCGAGCCCGCTCCCCGAGGATCTGATTACGGTGAACCCGGAGAATGACCTGGGTGGGAGAAGCAAAAAGAAGGGGAAGAGCGGCAAAGGGAAAAGTAAAGCCGCCAAGGCGGCTGCAAAGCCCCCTCCGGACGACCTGTATGTGTCTGAACCCCGTTCACGGGAGGCTCAAGTGGCTGATCGTGGACCCATTTCCATCCACAGGATCGCAGCCTCGCCCCCGCTGCTGGAGCCGTCGTCATGTCCAGACCCCCCCTTACACCCCCCTGCAAACAATCATCATATAAACCAAATCTCCTCCCCAGTGCTTGATGCACTAGAATCGATGAGGGACACCCCCGATAACGATCTTACCTATCGTACGGATAAGTGGGCCAGGGCCATCCCCGTGGGCAAAAGCCCCCCGAACGATGCCGTGGACGGTGAGATGCCCAGCGGCTCCCCACTTGGCTTCCTCTCAACGGCGGACAAGGCAGGCTTCAGCAATCCGTCGTCGGCATCGCCCCCTGCCCGGACGAGGCCCCTCAGTTACGCGTCAGGCTACTCCAGCAACAACGACTTCTCTCGGCAGCAGTCGGTGGATCGCCCCAAAAGCTACTACTCTCTAAGCAATCCCGTCTCCACCCAGATGCCACCTCCGCCCCACCTACCGCAGCCGCACTTCTATCGGGCCCCGGAGATTGATCTCCCCATGTTCTCCGGGCAAGGCCGCGCCATGTCCGACGGTTACTCATTCTGTGCCTTTGACACCATCCCCAGTCCGTCGGCCAAACCGTCGCGGATGGGGGGCAATGTTCTCCTCGTCGGGTCCGACGGCGTCCTCGAGGTTCTCGCCATCGAGGACCGCAAGTCCCGCGGCGTGGGCAAGCTGAGCGGCCTCAATGGTCGGGTGGTGGATGCGAAAGTCCTACCGGGCGGCTCGTCGGATGATCCAGGGGTTCCACCGCGGCCGCATGTCGTCGTGATCATTCACGGGCCCTCGGGCCCCCCAGATGACGAAAGCCACGCCTCCTCCGCGGCGTCGGAGACACACGAGATCCCTGCCGCTGGCCGACAGGCAGATCACCCCCGCGATGAACCCAAATTTTACCAAACCCGGGTGGAAGTCTATTCGCTCCGGACAGGGGACCATGTCGCCACGCTGTTCACGACCAAGCCCACTCCGTGTCTGGATAATCTTCCTGGGCTGCCCGCGTTTGTGCCCCCACCATCAGGCAATCTGAAGCTCCTTGCGGGCGAGAGCCACGTCATCTTAGCATCGGGCGTCAGTGGGGAGGTCTACATCTACGCAGCGCATAGCTACCGGTGCCTGGGGAAGACGTGGACCAGCATCCAGCCCAAGGAAGCGCGGCGGTACTCGACGTCCTCCAGCTCCACTGACCCGGACGGATCGCGCACCGACTCGCCCAACGGTCCCGCCAACTTCGATGGCGCGATTCTTGCGCTGAAGGGCCGATGGTTGTCGGTGGTCCCACCGTCGGCGTCGGCCTATCGTCCATCCATCCGCGGGGTGGTCCCCCCGGCTCGTCTGCAGGGGAAAGTCTACGGGATCGAGACGCATAGCCCTCCGACAAAGCCAACCGTCAACTGTGACGCGGATGTCGGGGACGGTGAGAGCCTGTTCGACAAGCTGGCCCGGGGCGTCACGCAGGAGTTTGTCCGCGGCGCGCGGTGGGTCGGCGACCAGTCGCTGCAGGCCTGGAACAATTACTGGAACAAGGAGCAGCAGGCTGGACCCCCGGCGGCGCGGCGCTCCCCGCACATGCCCGACCTTCCCCAGCCCGGCTACGGTCTGTTCCCACCCACCCATGCCCAGGAGACCCCGACCGTGGCCGAGCCGGACCTGGTATCCATTGTGGACCTGAAACGGCTCGAGGATACCGGGGACGCCCGGAACGCACTGCTCAATCCCCTAGCGACCTTCCCGGTCCCGAACGGATGCAGTTTCCTATCGTTCTCCCCCAACGGGCTGATGCTCCTCACGGCCAGCAAGAAGGGGGATGTCCAATACGTCTGGGACCTTCTGCAGGTCAAGATCTGTCGCGCAGGCGCCTTTTTGACCGACGACGCCCCGCCACCCGGCCCCAATGTGCGCCAGATCGCGCGGTATCCCCGGCTGACCACGTCGCAGATCGTGGACGTGATCTGGTACCCGCCGTCCGGGGAACGGCTGGCGGTGATTACCCGGAAGGGGACGGTCCACGTCTTCGATCTGCCGCGGAGTGCCTTCCAGTGGCCCCCGTTCCGTCGGGCTCGCCCACCGCCCAGCAAAACCCCCGTCCCCGACCCGGCCACCGACGAACTGGCGGACCGCGCCGCCGGCAAAAACGCGCTGTCTGCGGCGATCAAACTGGTCGGGGGCAAGACGCAACCCATCCTGGCCGCCGTCCGCGGTCGGACGCCGTCGGTCGGGGCGGCTTTACCCGCCGTCGGGGGGTTTTCGTCCGCCGCCGGAGTCCGCGGCGGGAAGGTCGTGGCGGCCGGTCTCAGCAAATCCATGGGGGCCGCCTCGGGGACCGTCAACACCCTGCGGCACGTGGGCGAAAACCGCCTGCACCTAGCGGGGCTGAGTCGCGATCCGTCCCCGGGTCGCGTGGTCTGGATCAACCACCGCGGGCTGCCCTTCTTAGGCTTGGTGGACTATGGGTTCTTCCGGCTGTATCGGGTGCGGCGGTCCTTGTCTCCCCAGAAGCCCCGGCACCTCCAATCAGTGATCGGCAGCAAGGAGATCGAGTACCGTCTGCCGCCCACGCTGCAGAGTACGTGCGGCCCCCTGTCGATTCGGACCTTTCCTCCGGGGCCCGTCGCCTGCGCTCCGTTGGCTTTGCCGTCGGCGAATTCCCGGCCGTCGCCGGCGAGCAAGTCGAAGTGCCAGCCCCTCTCCCAGGCGGAGATTGAGACCAACGCGCCGTATCAGCCGTTCCACACCGATCAGCGCGTGAGCCTCTACATCTACACCGAGACGGCCGAGACAGACGAGCCTCTGGTCCCCACGGGGCAGTGGGTCTTTGGCGACGATATGGCGACGTCCAAGCTGCACGTGCGACCCTTCAGCTCCGGTGGCGACGAGGAGGCGGACGACGAGGGCGACGTGATGCACGGGCAGCGCCCCGGCTTGGGCAGCGGGATGGAGAACCACATCCGTCTGGGCAATAGCACCGGCCACGGCGAAGAGGTGGTCATCACCACGCGCCGGAAGAAGAAGCGCTTCCCCTCGACGACGTCGGGCGCGGACGAAGGGTTCTTCGAAGACGACTGCGACGTGGTAGACTGGCCCGAGAACCGTGTATAACCTCGGTCTTTATTTCGGCGGGGTGTGATTGACCTGATTTATTGATTGGGATTTGGGACCATAATCAGACTTAGACAGTATACGGGGTTTGGCGTTCTGAATTGGGTGACTGATGTACACTGATATTGGATATTGGATATTGGATATTGAAACTCGTCCTGACGGATTGGTTGACTGATCGATCGATTGATGATGAAATTGTGTGGGCTGAGTCCACCTTACCTTCGTTTTGCGCTGGCGTGCTTGGTTCATCTATCTGTCACACAACCATACCCTAGTTAAATCTCATAGAATTTTGAGACTATCCGGTCGTGATCGTTCGTAGATTGTAGACTGGAATTCACGGTGGATATTATGAATTCTCCACATGCTTGAACTACCGCATTTTGAACTAGATGAATCCACTCGCTTGATCCATCCATCTTTGCGAGGCCACATTCTTGAATACCTGGTCTGGTCAACTGGTTGTGATTTTCTATTGAACCTGGGTCTTGGTTGGATAGTGAGTGATACACGATATATATACTGGAATCCATCAACAGTGATCAGACCAACAAACATCCAAAAAGACCAACAAGTGGTTTGAAACATACTATGTTAGCTAATAGCTCTTATACTACATATATGACCATACCACTTAAACCACCAGTTTCGCATAATCATAGAAACACTGCATGGTATTGACACATATGATGGACATACTACCCAGTTTCGATTGACATTAATTAATATAGTATGCAGGACATATACCGGACACCCCCAGCAGTATAATATACAAACGGTCCTGTGGTCTAGTGGTCATGACGTCGGATTCTGATTCCGTAAGCCCCGGTTCAATTCCGGGCAGGACCTCTTCTTTTTCTTTTTTGGTTTTTTCTGCCCATTCTCCTGTGACGGTGGATGGAGTTGCCTATTCATTTTCTTTTATTTTGGTTTCTTTTGTATGGTGGGTCGGTTATGATTGTCGGTGAGGTTCATGTTGTTAAGTGTATGAATAAATGTTTGATTCGCGCATATAGTTAGTACCTGCGAAGTAGTTTATAGTAATAATGCCCTGTCTACTCCCGTGTCTGGAGAGAAGATTCATTCGAACCTCATGTGAGACATGTTTTTCTTTCCTGATAGCTACAGTATCCGAACCCTTGCATACTATATGTGGTTCTCTTCCAACAACAAGACCACCATGTCATAGTACAGTCTGCACGTACACTTCTTTGCTGCACGGCATGCTATGCTATGCCACCTAGAGAAGCCTGCGACACGTATAGTAGACCCTGTGCTTCTTGTGACAGACATAAATTTCCATGTATACCATGGGGTAGCCCGTACCTGCTCAGCTGCGGCCCTTCTTTGTCATGTGAAGTGATCCAGGTGGGTAGGCAGGTATATTCAGACTCTCCGCAGCTGGTGGGAGGCACGAGGATACAATGCAGGACATATATTTAGGAGGGTTCATCACTTAGAAAGCATCACAAGCCATGATACCAACACAAACAGAGTATATTAGTATCCACAAGTAGAGCCATGACAACAATATTCAAATAGATACAGCCCAAGGAGCCCCGCGATGAAGGGACCCCGCCCTAGCACCGTTCATTAACCCGAAAGTAACACAAAGAAAAAATACGAGCAGACTAGAATGCAACAACCAAAAGAAGTAGAAGAAAAGAAAAAAAAAATCAAAAAAGAAAAAGAAGAGGTCCTGCCCGGAATTGAACCGGGGCTTACGGAATCAGAATCCGACGTCATGACCACTAGACCACAGGACCGTTTGTTGATTGGGCAGATAGTTTCTGGTACTATCAGCGGATGTGTCTGCCTATTATCTCCTGCCCTAAATCGGGCTGTTTACCCGTATCTGGGTTTGATTGGGGTCGATTTTCAGAGTGATACTGGTAGATTCAACTAGATGTGTTGACTGAATTACATTCACTATTTCGAGGCAGTGACTGGATCTTCAGCTTTTCTCTCTCCTTCTATGGAAAATCATCTTGTTTGCAGATTAGTGGTAATACCAATGCTTTGGTTCTTGACGATATGTCTGGTTTTGCCTCTAGATATATAGTGCTATCAATCGTTGGATGTCTTACCTAGGCATCTACCTCAGGGACGGTAGCTGGAAAAAATAGTAACATCTAATTGCAAGCCATGAAAAATGTAGTCAATAAATTACCGCTAGACTCAAGTAGACTTCTCTTATAGATAGCCCAATACCTACCTGAGTTAATCCGTCTCATCCATCTCACGATTATCTAGCCCCCACTCGTAAAAGATAGACGTATATTTGCTCCCGAAGTAGAAATCCTTCGCACTCTCTTCTGAAACAAAGTAGCAATTATCGAAGTCGATCAAATAGCTAGACTGCGTCTTAGCCCAGGACATTGCCATCATTGACTGACAAGGGAAGGAGAGCAAACCATTTCCCCTTTTCGCTATCCCAGATTATATTCCGAAAGCCGGGGTCTCCGTGGTGGATGCCACAGCGGATGAGGTCTCTGCAATAACGATCAATCAATATTAACTCAATACCAAAACAATCTCGCGGTATGATGATTGGGAAGAAGGAATGACTTACAAAAAAGCCTCCTTGAAAGCCCCTCGTACCCGATCTCGTTCTCCGCGCTCAAATGCCCAAAAGTCACAGATATCAGTCCCCGACAGCCTCTCCATAAATATAAAAGTGATACACCCGTTAGGAACCCACAGGTTTTCTGTCTGCGTGCCACAACACCAGTATATCAGACGCGCTGTGGAAGCACAGTTCTTCTCATATAACTGGTCCAGAGCACAACATTCGGTTACAGCCATGGGGGAGCGTCTTGGATCTGCTTCTATTGCGCGAGTGGCGGGATCGGGGTGGACGAGCCTATCTGCTGACATTCTAGATAGTTAGATTGGAATGCATGGTATCAAGGGGCTGAGAAAGCTAGGCTCCAACACGGGAAACGTAGGTAAGTACGTACTGAGCGCGAATTTTGAGAACAGCTTCGTGGCCAGTATCGGGAGTGACCTGCACACAGTCGTAAATTTGGCGAATCTCGTGATAAGGACTGTCGCGATCGTATGCAGCTTGGGCTATTCTCTTTCCTAGTTTCCATCTGTCGCCGTTAGGTAGGTCGATTGTTTCGTCTTCGAGGTGGAGGTCGAATGGGCTGCGGCGTTTGGTCATTTTTTACTATGAGGTGTTGCGAGGGAGTTATGTAGAGCATGTAGAGAGGAATGACTAGTAATGCTTGTCTTTGTCTTGTTGTTGCCTGAAGAAATATGACTGTTGGTGGAGTACATGTTATGTAGACGCGCCAAGATCTCGGGCCCTCCGCAGAATGGGAACAGATGTCCAACATTGAATTAATCCTAATATCCACGATGTGATCTAAACTCTGTTTTGAACTATCCTGCTTGGTATTTATCTACATACCTCCATCCTACCCATCTGCCTGGGGTAATTAGGTATGTAGGCGGCGCCAAATGAACAGATGAAATAGATGTGTACCTCAGCGCACCGACCGAGACCTGCAGCTCAGTGCATGTCATATCATATCGAGGACTGCATTGGCAGATGGTCGGATTGGCACATGGTTGCGTGATCGGTCGGCTGTCCGGAGTGTTATATCTGGGGTCTTATTATGCGGGGTGATCGGCGGTGGTCTGTGTTGGAGTGGAGGTCCGTTGATCTGCTGTCAATCATGAATTTTTTTTTGGATATATTAGGTATTGTATTTTGGTTGATTTATTTATTTTGTATCGATGGATGGTAGACAATTACGAAAATACAAGACAATGCAAGACAATGCGACTAGGATTATTAGAACAGGCTATTGATATCAGGATAAAACACCGTATTGAACGCAGATTATGCTCTCCTCATTCTTCCATCTCTTCATACTGCGGGGAAATATTCATGGTCTGACCAATCCCTTACAGAGCCCAGGCAGCCAGAGCGAAGCCAACCAGACCGGCAGCGGACGCGCCGACCGTGAGCTGACCGGCGGCGGCCGCATTGGGAGTCTCGGAGGCAGAGGGGGCGGAGCTGGACTTGGAGCCCGACTTGGAGCCTGTATTTGGTTAGTGAGCATATGAAAGAGGGGGGAATGAAGAAAAAAAACATACTGTCGTCAGAGTCTTTGTCAGAGTCCTTGTCAGAGTCTTTGTCGTCCGACGAGCTGCCATCGGTAGCGGTGGCATCGGCGTCCTTGGCGCTCGTGGCGGTGCTACCGCTGGAACCAGTAGCGCTGGCAGGGAAGAAGTGGCTGCTGTAGCACTTGGACTGGCAAGCGGCGTACTTGTCGGTATCCTGGGGGGAGCCGGAGCCCTGGGGACAGGCGGCGACGCAGCTGGTGGTGTCGTTGGCCTGGGAGTCGCTGGGGCAGGGGACCTTGTAGCAGGCGGCCATGCAGCAGACCTCCTTCTGGTCGCCTATAAAATGTTATGAATAATCTCCTTGATTGTAAGAGAACGAAGAGATAACTCACACTTAGCAGCGCACTTGGCCTCGGGGGTGAGGGTGGCAGTGGGAGCAGCGGCCTCCGAGCCGGTGGAGGACTGGGCGACGGCCACAGCGACCAGAGAAGCGAGAACAAGGCTGAGCTTCATGTTGAAGGTTTGAAGAGACTGGAGATAATATTACTATTAAGGGTAGATTAGAGGAAGTAGATGAAAACGGAGGACTTCAAACGAGTGAAGAGGAAAGAGTCAAACGAAAGACGGATGGAGAGGAAGAGAGAAGAGAAGAGAGAGAGAGAGAGAAAGAAAAAGCGAGAGAAAGGAGAAGAGTTTGGTATAAATAACCATCACAAACCGGAGTGACAGCGCGGTGGCCAACGGGGTTAGTCGCAGCGCCTCTTCATTAGCGGGGTTTCACTTCAGCCTGGCAGCAAATGGGCCGATTGATTGAAATAATCGATCATTCTCATGAGATATATCTTTGTTCTTATATGTTTATTTATCTATATGGATATTTCTAAGATTGGAGATAGATAGATATACATATATATATCTTCATATACATATATATACATCTACTCTGCACTGAATATCAAAACATAGAAAGACCAAAGAGAGAAGTCTGGGGACAACAAACATGACTAACCCGATTCAGACGCCCTATTAATATCTTCAATCTTGCAGTCTCATCTCCACCTCAAACTCTGCATTTCCATCTTTCGTACTAGTGCTGTATGGTCTGGTATCACTTTCTCTCTGTCTCTCTCTTCATCCATGGTCTCACTCTGTACGATTGGACTAGACTCGACTGGGTCGACTGGTCATTCCTTGCTTGTCACCTCTAGCTGCAGCAATCCGGTGCATTCAAGCCAACCCTAGACTTGGCTCGGACCTATTTGCTCCATCTCTCTCTACCTGGACTCGGACGATCAGTGTTTACCTACTTATCTAGTACATCTAGTACTATTTGGACTATCGAGCTATCTACTATCTACGATCTACCATCATTGATAGGCCAAACATCCTCTCCACTCGGCTTCGCTACCCGTGCCGATCTCTCGCTTCCTGTCTGTCTCCACTACCCATCCCAACCCCAACAACCCCAATGACTCGCCAAGTCGTGTCCCCGATCCACTCGTGGAGAAATCCTGCAGTCATGGCAGACCTGGCAACGGGATCACAGTGTCTTTGACCAACGATACAACGCTCGAAAAGATCGTCTAGCCCCAACATGTCACAACAGTCACAACAGTCGCAACACCCCAACCCCCCCTTGCGATTCGCCGACGTGAGTCCTGTTCTATCGCCCCTCTAACTATCGCCATCTCGCGGACGTGACTAAGAAATGATCCGAGGTGGCCGTCACCTTCACGGCAGACCAATTCCAAGGCATCTACCGCGGCAAGAGATACCATGATCCCGACTTTGCACAGGTCTTGCAGCGCGCCCGAGACTATGGCTGCGAGCGCGTCATGTTGACCACCATGACCCTCGCTGGCGCCCACGCCAATCTGGAAGTCGCCAGGGAGTTCTCCGACATGTGTACAGTGACCCTCGGTGTGCACCCCTACCACGCGGGCGAGATCTACGCTGTCGACGGAAAGGCACACCTGCAAGAGCTGCGGGAGCTAGGTGTCGCTCTCCTCGCCGAAGGTCCGTTGTCGCCGCTGGTGGCGTTTGGCGAGATCGGTCTCGACTACGACTATCTCAACCGCGCCGACAAAGACACCCAGCAGCGCGCATTTCGCGACCAGCTCGACCTCGCCGTCGAGCTGCAGTTGCCCCTCTTCCTGCACGTGCGCGAGTCCTGCGCCGACTTTGTCGACATCATCACCCCCTACCTGCCCCGGCTGCCGCGCGGCGGGCTCGTCCACTCCTTTGCCGGGACCGCAGACGAGATGCACCAGCTCGTCGACCTCGGGCTGGAGATCAGTGTCAACGGGGTGTGTTTCCGCACCGACGCGCAGCTCGACATGGTGCGCCAGATCCCGCTCGACAAGCTCCATCTTGAGACCGACGCCCCGTGGTGTGAGGTTCTGGCTACCGATGAGAAGATTGCACCCTACTTGGCGGATGCGCGACCGCAGCCGCCGTCGCGCAAGCACAACAAGTTCCTCCCGGGCCAGATGGTCAAGACCCGGAATGAAAGCTGTACTATTGAGCGTGTGGCCCTGGTGGTTGCGGGCTTGAAGGGAGTGGCCGTCGAAGAGGTGGCGCAGGCTGCCTGGAATAACAGCGTGCGTCTGTTTGGGCTGCACGTGTAGCCCATCGTGGCTTGTATAAAGCATCTCTACATGTTGATAGATCCTAGACTAGAATTAGAATTGAGCAGTGATGTCTGCATATGTATTACACTCACTCATTGGAATTACAAGGATAATGTATTCTAATGATTATTAGTTAGTTGATTGAAGTCTATTAGGGAACAATGCTGTAGTGTAGTGACATCCTCTCTTTATCAATCCAATGCAAACACCCCAAACATCACATGACACCGCGATACCGCGACGCGCCTACTGCAATGAAGTCACCACAACTTCCAGAAACACCACAACCAGCGAGGTCGCCATGTCCGACTATGACGATTATTTCGACGACGGTGGCATGGAAAATTCCCTAGATGACCTCGCCCGAATTCCCCCAGCCGACGAAGTCGATCAATCCTCCCCGCGACCGACAAAACGCCGCCGCCTACACCGCGGCAAACCCACCCCAGCAAATCGCGACAGCGACAGTCTAGAGTCAGCCTCGGACTCCTTCGTAGACTACGATACAGATCCCTGCGAAGATGACATCCCCTCCCCAACCCAGTCGTCGCGCTACTTCGATGATCCGACCCCCCCGCCGCGCTCCAGAGTGAAGGCCTTCGTGCCGAAGCGCAGCGTGCCCCAGGAGGATATATTCGTTACTCAGTTGACGCAGCCGTCCTCGCCTCCGGAGCTGATTCGGGGCCCGCGATGGAAGAAACCTGATCCGAGACCCCCTGTGATGAATACCGTTCCGGCTGTACATCGTGGGGATGTGGGGGGGAGAGCGCCTGCGCCTGCGCCCGCGCCCGCCGGCGCGCAGGCTGCGGATGATGACGATGACGATGATATGGACGCTGCTATCGCTGCGTCGCTCGCGTCGTTTGAAGAAGAGAACTCCCACGGTGGCTTGTTCGTAACCCCCGAAGCTCCCGAGCCGGCTCGCGCCGCGCCTGCTGTGCAGGAAGGTAAGGCGGAGAGCGCGTCGTTCGATGACCTCCTCGACGATATCCCCGATGATGCGTTTGACTCGGATCTCGAGTCGTCGCCGCCGCCACTGGAAGATCCACGTGGAGGATCACGGCCTGTGGCACGGCCTGCGCAGCCGACGCCGATACAGTCCGTTAACCGGCCGCTGGGTGTGCGCCAGACATCGCTGTTTGAGATGGCCTCACAGAATCGAACGGTTCGACCGCCGCCGGTGGGGGAACAGGTGTTTGTTCCTCCGGAGAAGACAGAGCCTCCAACGCAGCACAAGCTGGACCCGGACGCACTAGATGCATGGCTCTACCCGACGAATCTGGGCAAGACCAGAGACTATCAGTTTAATATCGCGCAGAAGGGACTGTTCCACAATCTGCTGGTGGCGCTTCCAACGGGTCTGGGAAAGACGTTCATTGCAGCGACGATCATGTTGAACTGGTTCCGATGGACCAAGGACGCGCAGATTATTTTCGTCGCCCCTACAAAGCCCCTTGTGTCGCAGCAGGTCTCCGCCTGCTTTGGCATTGCCGGCATTCCACGCTCGCAGACAACCATGCTGACAGGGGAAGCGGCGCCGGGCATTCGGGCCGAGGAGTGGAAGGCGAAGCGGGTATTCTTCATGACACCGCAAACGCTCATTAACGACCTCAAGTCGGGGATCGCCGACCCCAAGCGCATCGTCTTGCTGGTGGTTGACGAAGCGCACCGCGCAACCGGCGGGTACGCGTACGTGGAAGTAGTCAAATTCCTCCGACGATACAACCAGAGTTTCCGCGTCCTGGCTCTGACAGCAACGCCGGGGTCGACGGTCGAATCCGTGCAGGCTGTCATCGACGGACTGGATATCTCGAGAGTGGAGATCCGCACCGAGCACTCGCTCGACATCCGCGAGTACGTCCACGCCAAGCACACAGACGTCGAGACTTTCAAGAACTCCGAGGAAATGGTCTTGTGCATGGACCTCCTGTCCAAGGCGTTGCAGCCGCTCGTTGATCAGCTGCGGAACCTGAACGCTTACTGGGGCCGGGACCCCATGGCGCTGACTGCGTACGGTCTGACCAAAGCCCGTCAACAGTGGATGCTCTCCGATGCGGGCCGGAACGCACACTGGGGGCTGAAGAACAAGCTCAACGCGATCTTTACTGTCTTGGCGAGCGTGGCCCACGGCATTGATCTCCTCAAGTACCACGGCATCACGCCGTTTTACCGCCATCTGCAACACTTCCAGTCCAATACCGAGGGGCAGAAGGGCGGCAAGTACCAGCGGGAGATTGTGAAGGACGAGCACTTCAAGAAGCTCATGAACCACGTCCAACCGTGGGTCAAGGACCCAGAGTTCATCGGCCACCCGAAGCTAGAGCATCTCAAACAGGTAGTGCTGAACCACTTCCTGGACGCCGGCGAAGGCGCCGAGGGTCAAAACAACGCCCACTCGTCCACGCGCGTTATGATCTTCGTCCACTTCCGCGACAGCGCCGAGGAAGTAACGCGGGTGCTGAAGCGGTACGAGCCGATGATCCGACCTCACGTCTTCGTCGGCCAAAGCACAGCCAAGGGCTCCGAAGGCATGGGCCAAAAGACCCAACTGGACATCGTGCAGAAGTTCAAAAAAGGCACCTACAATACCATCGTCGCCACCTCCATTGGCGAAGAGGGCCTCGACATCGGCGAGATCGACCTCATCGTCTGCTACGACTCGTCGGCTTCGCCTATCCGCATGCTGCAGCGCATGGGTCGTACGGGCCGCAAGCGCGCAGGCAACATCCTCCTCCTCCTCATGCAGGGCAAGGAGGAAGAGTCTTACATCAAGGCCAAGGATAACTACGAGAAAATGCAGGAGATGATCGCCAGCGGCTCCCGCTTCACCTTCCACGACGATAAGTCCCCGCGGATCCTCCCCGCCGGCGTACGCCCTGTGTCCAGCAAACAAGCCATCGACATTCCCGACGAAAACGCCGACCAGGGCTTGCCCGAGCCGCGGAGACGAGCCCGCGCGCCCAAGAAACCCCCTAAGAAATTCCACATGCCCGACAACGTCGAAACGGGCTTCACCACCGTAACTTCATTCCTCACAGGCGGCGACCGCCAACCTCAACCCAACAGCAAGAAAAAGACAACCCCCGCAAAAAAGACACCCAGGAAAACCCGCACCCCTACCCCAGAACCAGTGGCCGTCCCACCCCTAGAAGACGTCCTCCTGACAGACACCCAGCAACGGGACCTCGAACGCCGCTACTGCAACGTAGTCGGCACCAGCCCGCAATTCATCCGCTACCCGCGAAGCGACGCCTTCCCCCGCCATCAGCTACAGCCGCGGCCTACGAACGCCGTCAGACATGGCTCGTTGACGCAGCGGATGATTGGTGCCCTGCAGAAGATGGACCGGGTGGGATCTGATTGCGAGGGTAGATATAGGGAGGTTTTGGCGCGCGAGTCGAGCAGACGGTCAGGCGATTCGGTGCTTGATCCGCCGTCTCCGGCTCGCCGTGTTGCGAAGCGAAATCGGTCTGAGCAGTCTGGGACAAAGGATGGGGATGAGGGTGAGGAGGATGAGTTGATATCGCCCGAGCAGTTGCTGTCTTCGTTTTTTGGACCTTGACATTGGACTAGAATCCCGACGAGTTTATCGATGGATGGTTTGGATTGGTGTTTGGAACTATATTATTGATATGGATAGGTTCTGGCTGGTGTTGGCGCAGGCGCCGCACTGGCTAGACTGGACTGTTTTGATGACGACGTGATGAGTGATTTCGGTATAGGCTTGGGTAGAGAGGATGTATAAGTTTTTGAATACGAATACCTGACCCTATAATTTCACAACTGATTTACTGTAATATAATATGACAGGAACCGGTTTATATACCTGATATAGTATAATAGAATAGTATATGACTAGTGGCTACAGAGTAGAGTTAAAAGAATTGAATTAAATTAGAAAAATCCTGGCTTGGTATTAACACCAGCGCTGTACTGACTAGATGAATTTGTTTTGATAAAAAAATAATAAGTAATCTTAGTATGGTTTGGTAGAGATGAAGTGTAAGTTTTTCAAAATGAATATTTGACTCTATATATCACTCACAACTGGTCTACTGTAACAAAGACATGCTAACAAAAACCGATCCATACACCTGACACAGCGCAATAGAACAGTATACAAACAGCAACAGAAACAGCAATGGCAACACCAACCGGCAAAAAAGACAAACAAAGAAAGGAATAGAAAACAAAAGAGAGCGAGAGAGAAAGAGAAACTAAGCCTCCTCCTCCCCACCATCCGCCTCCGCCTTCAATCCCTGCGCCCAAGAAATCACCTCCCCAGCCGCCTTACCCTTCACATCAGCGACCCGAATCACCGCCGGCTGCGTCACAAACGGCATCTTCTTATCATCACCATCATCCTCGTCGCCGACCACCTCCGTCCGGAACCGAGTATGGGTCTCGTTGTCCTTGTTCCACAGCGCGAAGCTCACCGCGCCTGCCTCTTCGTACGCGACCTTCAGCTCCTCAAACCGCGCCTCTTCCTTGTCTTTCTTGGCTGGCTTGAGCAGGTGGCGCAGCGGGGACGAGTCGTTGCACAGCGGCGACAGTCGCTCCATGGCGGATTCCCAGAGGTTGGCGCTCGCGGCGGCGGCGCCGGCTTTTGAGATGGCGTATGGGGCGAGGGCTTTGCGCATGATGTGGGCGTATAATTCATCTTTTATTTGTTAGCTAGGCTATCTCTTGTCTTCTATTTTCTTTCCTATCGTGGTAGAAAAGAGATGGTAGATGGGGAAACTCACTCTCCAAACGTGTCTTCTCCCATGTGACCCTTCTCCCCTCAAGGATCGTCCCCTCCGCCAGAGCCAGTGGATTCTGCACCACATTCTTGAACACGTCTTTCGCCAGCACGACCACCGCCAGCGCCTGGGGCAGCTTCTCCACTGACCCCGGGGGCAGGCTGTCCACGAGCGCCTTCCAGCCGTCATCGGCCTTGGTGCAGTACTCGCCTAGCGCGCGGAGGAGGGCATCGCGGGCGTCCAGAGGAAACTCTTTGTCGCCGGGGAGGGACTCCACGGCGTGGTCGCGCGCCCAGTTGTCGAGCTCGGTTTGGATGGTCGCCAGGTGGGCTTGCAGCTTTTTGTCGGCGGCGGAGACTTTGGTGGTTGCGCGGGTCTTGTGGGCCTTGGATTTGGGGGCTTTGGGGCCTGCGGTGCGTTGTTTCTGGATGGGTTGTTGGTTAGATACAATACCTACTACTTAGCTATGGGGGAGGTCTTACTTTGGCTGCGCTGTCTGAGGCGCTGTCGTTGTCGGACTTGACCTTGCGTTTGGGAGGCATGATGCTGGTTGGATTGTAGGGATTGGGAAGTAATATGCTTGTGAGAAGGTTTGTGTAGAATGAAGAAGTGTACAGTCTTGTAGGCTGGTTGAATGTTCTGATCAGAAGGATATCGAGCAGTCTGTTAGGGCTTTATATATCTGTTCTTGCGATGTCCTTCCATATGTCCATGTTCAACTATGACTTTCCCCTCTTCCCCCAGAGATCCGTCTGCTCAACCTTACGCTTTGTCTTTCGAAATTGCATGGCAAGTGGCTTAGATCTGTCGGTTAGTACGTCCTGAGAAGGCTTTCTTTGTGGTTCTTTGAGTCGTTCTTTTCGAGTTCTTTTCGCCCTTTGACTTTCTTTATTCGATGGATCGGGCGTTGGACGTAACCAAGAACAGAGAGTCCTCAGAAAACAGAGAGAAGAAGAAGATGCCGAGAATACTATGCTTCAACTGAGAATACTACTCCGTTGTCGACTCCTTTGTTGTTTATTTTGAGAACCCCGGTAGACCTCGTCCGTTTGATCTCTTCCACCGTGGATTTCTTTTTCTTTCTGTAGTTTCTGTGACTTCTTTCATTTCATTCAAGCCATGACATGAACTGTATCACCCTGTCAATCAACTCAGATCTGGATCAAAGAGGTTGGACGTTGTTGGAAGTAACGGGGTAAAAATAGATGTGACGCTGATATCTCTCGGACGGACCCACCTGAAACGGAGTCAACAACACTAACCAACGACTCTACTCCCCTCCATCCTGAACCACTCATTCCACCGACAATCAGCATCCACCACAATCCTCCGTCCTTGTCCTCCCATTCCTTCATTCTCACTCTGAAACCATGGCAGACTCCCAATTCGACAGCGCCCTGTGAGTCTCCCTCCCCTCCCTCTTTCCCTCCTATCTCCCCTCCTATTCCTACCCCACACTGACACCCCAAAGCGACCTCCTCCGCCGTCTCAACCCCCGCGACACAAAACAGCACCTCAACGCCATCACCTCCATCGTCCCCGATCTAGCCGAAGACCTCCTCTCCTCCGTCGACCAGCCCCTCGAGATCCGCCGCTGCCCCAAATCCTCCCGCGATTACCTCCTTTGCGACTACAACCGCGACGGAGACAGCTACCGCTCCCCCTGGAGCAACGAGTTCGACCCCCCGCTCGACGACGGCACCGTGCCCAGTGAGCGCGTGCGCAAGCTGGAAATTGCGGCGAACGAGGCTTTTGATGTCTACCGTGAGCTGTACTATGAGGGGGGTGTTGGGAGTGTGTACTTTTGGGATTTGGATGATGGGTTTGCGGGGGTGATTTTGTTGAAGAAGGGTATGATTCTCTACTTTCTTTTCGTCCATCCCCCTCTGGGTTAGTGATCGAAATTGAAAGAAAGAAAGCTAATTTATTAGGTGTCACCCCCGGCGGCAAGAGCTCCGGCGAATGGGACAGTATCCACGTCTTTGAAGCGACCGATCGCGCCCGCATGTCCCACTACAAGCTGACCAGCACGGTCATCCTCCACCTCGCCAACGAGACCGAGGCCCTGGGCGAGATGGATCTCAGCGGGAATATGACCCGTCAGGTGGAGGTTGATCTGCCCGTCGAGTCGGATGCCAGCCATGTCGCGAACGTGGGTCGCTTGGTTGAGGATATGGAGCTGAAGATGAGGAACTTGCTGCGTATGTTTTGTTCTTGGTTTGGTCAGTTTTGGAAGGAGATGCTGATATAATTTACAGAGGAGGTCTACTTTGGCAAGGCCAAGGATGTCGTTGGGGAGTTGCGGAGTACGTATCCCCTTTTCTCTCTTTCTTTCTTTCCTTTGTTCGTGCTAACGAGATAGGCGTCTCTTCCCTCTCCGAATCCAGCAAGGAGCGCGCAAACCACGCTGAGATGATCCGGTCGATGCACGGGTAGTAGTTTACTTTGATTGTATGTAGATGAGCTGAGGTCCTGGTGATCCGCAGTTCGAGCGTGCCACTGGACTAATAATGGATTGCTCTCAATAATATGGGTATCATAACGCTGCCATTCCAACTGTATCGCCGTTCCTTATTCCCCAAGGGAGTAACACACAACTTCTCTTCCCTCCCAATGTTCCCTTCAAAACCAGTAGTTCATCAATCCACCTCCATCTTGCCTTGTCCCCCCTCCTGCCTCCCCTCTCTCTCCCCCGGACCCATCTGCTCCACAAACTCCCTCGCAGCCGCCCACAACTCCGCCTCCTTATCCTTCCCAACCGTATCCTTCCGACTATTCAACCAACTAATATCCAACGGATTGGCCGCACCAGCAGCCACCCCCGCACCCCCGCCGCACCGCCCGCCACCCCACCCACATCCGACAACTCCGGCGGCAATATGGCGGCCTCCTCCAGCGCGTAAGCCTGCCGTCGCAACCGGACATCAATGGAGGACAGCAGCGCGAAGTACTGCGCGGTGGCTTCTTTGAAGCGCGCCTTGTGGGCCTCGAGGGAGCGGTCGGCGGCGTCGCCGGATCGTGCGTTCGTGAGGGCTTGGATGGCGAGGCCGGCCGAGTGAATCAATTGGGCTACATCCTGAGGGTGGTGATATATGCTTTAGTGGGGGGCTGTATGTTTTTGGTTTGGTTTATGTGAAGCTGGGTTGGTTGCGCTGCTTGCTTCTTACCTTGTCTACCTCGTTTAGTTGTCGGATGCGATCTGCGGATGTGAAGACTTGATCGGGTTGTTTTGCGGGCTTGGGGTCGGCCATTGTGTCTGTTCAATTCCACAGAGGAGGGTGGTCCAATGCAGTAGAGGAGAGAGTATGATGTCTGTCGGATGAGCTCCAAATGAACCAGAGAGGCAGATCACGTGCTGTACCTGGGGAACCACACTAGTCTACTTTCAGACTAGTGTGGTTGATTGATGACATAATCTGCACTAACCCTATCCAGCCTAGCCAATATCAAACCCCAAAGCCGCAAAACTCCCCGTTTACATCAATGCGTACATCATTCTCCCCATCCAACTTCGCCGGTCGTTCATCTCGCTCTCATCTATCCTCTGGCAGCTGCAAGAGAGCGCGACCACCCCACCATGTCTGCGCCAGGCGGGGCCCCCAGCCCTGCTCCCCGAAGTGGTAGTCTCGGGCCCGGTGGAGGTATGCCTTCCCAGCAGCCCATGGGCGGTCCGTCCACCCCCGTCGGCGCGCCCACCCCGGGCCCTCCGCCGCCGCCCAGCGGTGCCATGTCGCAGCAGAATCTGAATCAGATTGTAGGTTTTATTATTCATTGATTTTTGTTGTGCGATTAGATGGACGTCGGGGTGTTTTATGTTGGGCTGGGATTTGTTGGAGAGCTTGATTGCGCAATTGCCTTTGTTGTTTGCTTGGCGTTGTCCTTGCTGTGATTGCGCTCGTGCCTTTTATTCATGTTTAGTTCGCAGAAGTCGCGCTTGGATTACTGACATGACTAGGTCATCGACTACCTGGCCAAGAAAGGCTACAGTCGTACGGAGGCCATGCTGCGCATGGAGTCCGCAAACCAAGAGATTGATGGCCGTCCTCTCCCCGCCCTGGGTGAAGACGCCCGACCTAAATACCGACAAGGATTCGGTGGGTTGCTCTACCCAGACTATCTAATTGACCGTGCTGACCACCTTCAGACCTGATAAAAGTATGGGTGGAAGATAACCTGGATCTGTACAAGGTATGGCCGAATGACGCCGTGCATTTGAACCCTCCCCGCTGACGGCTTCCCACAGCCGGAGCTCAGAAGGGCCCTTTGGCCTCTGTTTGTCTACTCCTTTCTGAACATGGTGACCTCGTTCTATCCCCAAGAGGCCAAGCACTTCTTCGAGTCCAACAAGAACCTGTTTCTGCCCGAGCACTCGGAAGACGTGCGCACGCTGGAGCCGATCGGTCTGCCCGAACATGTCCAGCACAACTCCACCGCCAAGCTGTACCGCAACAACAAGTACCGCTTGGTACTCAGCAACCCGGCGTTTGCCAACCTCATGCAGTTCCTGGAGAGCAAGCAAAAAGAGGGTGGCTCCGTCATGTCCGCCATTCTGAGCAGCTTCTGCACGATCATCACCCGCGAGCGCGCCGTCGATGACCGCTTCAGCTTCGCTGCCATGCTGGGCCAAGCCGGCGCCGGTCACACGTTCCCCACCGAAGATGAAGGCATCCCGGGCCACCACCCGGGATCGGCCTACACCGGTGACAATCCGGCCATGGCGGGCACCCTGCCTCGACTTCGCTTGGGCAGACTCCCCATGGAACAGACGCTCGAAGGGGACGTCAGGGGCGAACTCGCGGACGAAGACGCTAAGAACCCGCCGGCGGCGGGCCAGAAGACCCTCATCCAGGAGCTGGACCACATGATCAAGAAGGAGGACGAAGACGAAGCGCCGACGCGGGCGGAAATCCCCTACCCGCCGTCTACTGCTCGCGATGTGGCCATGGAGGTCCAGAAGGTCAAGGAGAACCGTGACCGGTTCCAAATCGAGGGTCGGTCGGGCGGCGTCGGTCCGGGCGTCAGTGTCTGCATGTTCACTTTCCACAACACTTATGATGGGTACGTTCTTTCTTTCTTTTTTTTTCTTTCTAGAGAAACAAGGCTAAACCCCACCAGAGTCAACTGTATAGATTTCTCCGACGATAATATGCTCGTCGCAGCTGGCATGCAAGAGTCATATATCCGCGTCTGGAGCATGGACGGAAAGAAGATCCCAACGACATACGAAAACGTAGACGACGGTTCCGCATCGAACTCCCGGCGTCTCATCGGCCACTCAGGCCCGGTCTACGCCGTAGCATTCGCCCCCTCCATCACCCGCACAGAGAACGCAGTCGCGCCGACAAACACGCGCTGGCTGCTCTCATCCTCGTCCGACAAGACCATCCGACTATGGTCGCTCGACCTCTGGCAATGCATGGTCGTCTACAAAGGCCACGACCAGCCCGTCTGGGACCTACAATGGGGGCCCTACGGACACTACTTCGTGTCCGGCGGACACGACCGCACGGCCCGCCTATGGGTAACAGACCACATCCGCCAGCAGCGCATCTTCGTCGGCCACGACCAAGACGTCGACTGCGTCGCCTTCCACCCCAACTCAGCCTACGTCTTCACCGGCAGCTCCGACCACACCGTGCGCATGTGGGCCGTCACAACGGGCAACGCGGTCCGCATGTTCACCGGCCACACGGGCAACATCACGGCCCTAGCCTGCAGCCGCAACGGCAAACTGCTCGCCTCCGCCGACGACCACGGCTCCATCTTCGTGTGGGACCTCGCCCCAGGCCGCCTCGTCAAGCGCATGCGCGGCCACGGCAAGGGCGGCATCTGGTCGCTGAGCTGGAGCGTCGAGTCGACCGTGCTCGTCTCCGGCGGCGCTGACTCCACCGTGCGCGTGTGGGACGTGACCGGGCCGACACCCGACGCGGGCCAGGGCCGCGTTGTAGGCGAGGCAGGCGGCACAGCCACCAAGATCGATGGCGGTGCTGCGCCGTCTGGGGCCGCGCAGTCGTCGAGCGCTGTGGGACCTGGCATGGGCAAGAAGAAGGGCAAGGATGTCGTCGTCACGCCGGATCAGATTAGCGCTTTTCCGACGAAGAAGAGCCCCGTTTATAAGGTGAAGTTTACTAATATGAATTTGATCATTGCGGGAGGTGCGTATCTTCCTTGAGCGATGATTATTTCTTATATTCTTCTTCTTCTGCTCTGTCTTCCTCCCCATTTCTCTTCTGAATATGGACTTGAGATACCATCTCCCACATCCGAGCAATGGGAAGACAAAGGAACAACAAACCAAATCGTGTATTTCACAATACTAGCAACTATCTAGCTAGATAGATAGATACAGGCGTCGGGGGTAGGCTACTAGGCTAGGTTAGCCAGGACGGGTGTTTCTTTTAATTCTATTCTTATTTATTTCATTTTACTTTTTCGATCTGGCTAGTACAATCCCAAAAGCACACGCAGATTCATTCATTTATTCATTTACATCTATTCCTGGTCCGTATATAACCTGTATACTGTGCAACTAAGACTTCTTCAGCGACCCCGTCCGGTCCCCTTTTTGCGCAGCCAGCACGCCGGCCCCAGCCCCAGCCCCAGCCCCAGCCGCAGTCCCCGATCCAGACCGCATCGCAGCAGAAGCCTGCATATCAGCCACCTTGGGCGGCAGCACCAGGGCACTGCGATCATTGCGCTTGTAAAAGTCGACGAGGATCTGCGCTGTTTTGCTCGGCTGGTCCTCCTGGATGAAGTGGCCTGCTTCGGGGAAGACTTGGAGTTGGTATTTTCCTGTAGCGTCTCGTTAGTACGTCTTTGACTGAAAGACAGGAAGAAATAAGGGAAGGGAAGAAAAGACAAACCCTGCATCTGACCAATCATCAACTCCTTATCCAACCGGTCTGTCCCAGCCAACAGCAACAACTTGCCTCCCCTGGCTTCGAGAAACTTGCGACTGAGGCCTACGAACCAGTCTTCCCAGAAGGGCTTGGTAGCTGCTAGGTTGGTGCGCCAGACCCAGGGCTTTTGCGGGTCGGAGGGGGAGGACTCTTCGTCGAGGAGGGAGGGCACGGAGACGCGCGCGGAGGCCTTGTTGCGAATTGTGCGGGAGCGGGTGCTGATTTGTTTGCGATTAGCGGGCGTGGATAGAAAGAGGTGTTCTGTGGAGAGGATGCATTGCATACTGCCAGTCTATGCCTGATGCGACGGATGGGAAACGTGAGGGTCGTGTGGAGAGGTACTGTTCCATGCTTTGGAGGGCGTCTAATGCGGAGCCTGTATTTAACCGTGATTTGTTAGTGTGTGTAGATCATATAGTATAGACCAATGCTCGCTACACGAGTGAGCCAGGAGGAGAAAGTGCATACCCTCCACAACATCCAGCACTGCATACGCCAACAACTTAGCCCCCAGCTCGCCGCTCCGCGCAACGTCCGTGATGACCGCGCCCCCGAGGCTGTGGCCCACGAGGACCATATCCGGTGGCTTCTCCCAGTGCATGCGCGCGTGTGTCTCGCGGATGACGAAGACGAGGTCTTGGGAGAGCGTCTCCAGACGGAGATCCATGTTGTCGCCTTCCGCTTGTTCTTCTTCCCCATTTGTACCTGCTGTTTGGCCGTGCGCGCGGGCGTCGACGGAGAGGATGCCGGCGTTGGGGAGGATGTGGCGGATCTCGTCGGCGCAAGTCGCGAAGGAGAGACCCGACGAGCCTGCGCCGTGGTGCATGACGAAGAGCGGCGCGGAGGCGGCGGAGGGAGGCGTTAGATAGACATGGTGCGTGATGTGGGTGGCGGGGTTGGGGAGGAAGAGCTCCTGGGTGAAGAAGTCGGTCCAGGGGAGGGTGGATTGGGTTGTCCTATATCAATTAGTCTTCTAATATTACTTTTTGAAGAAAGAAGAAAGAGAACGGACCTGTCTGGCCGGGAAAATAGCTGGCGGCTGGGAGAGGGAACCACGGTGTTGGAGGACGAGACGGACGAGGACTCATGCTCCTCGTCGTCCTCCCGCGGCGGGTCCATGACAGGGACGGGTGGATCCGCGGGGAGTTGAGCGAGCTTGGCTTTGGCAAAGGAACGGAGAAGGTCACTCATGGGGAAGGGAGCAAGCAATATAGAATGTGTGGGCTGATCTGGCGATGTTGAAGTTTCCCCGAAGCCCAAGACGATGCGGGGGATTGTGTTATCTTATCGGTGTTGCTTATCTAATTATACAGATTATGCAGGGCATAATTATCGGCCTCAGGTATATAGACTCGTGACGTCACACATCACGGCCTTCGTCTTTTCTCCTCATCCACGTCCAACGTCCAACGTCCAACAATCCAATTCTATCGATATCGACCATGGACGGAGTGAAACAGAAGATTACCAAACCGCAGGCTAGCGTCAATCTTGTTCCGCTTACCTGTTTGAAGAATGCTAAATAAGCTTCATCGATTGAGTTATTGGCTCCCCCATGACCAATGACCTCATCACCACACCGATAGTCAGTTCCACGGCAATCGTGTTGTGTATGAGACTGTGTCACTTATTCTCCCATCATGACATCACCGCTGCTCATCAGGATCACCATGTCGACAGCCTCTTATCCTCCATCCTAGGCCCAACCACCGTCCATCGCCGTAACCATCGCATCCCATCGACATGTCGTCTCTCTGGCCGAAGAACCGCTCCCCATCGCGTGGGGGCAGTCGCAACCACAATAGAAATGGAAATGGAACTGGCGATAGTAATGATCAAGAGTCTGGACGACCGTCTGTATCTCGCGATCCCGACGAGCGCACTCGATTGTTACCGCATGGTCAACCTGGTTATCTGAGCCCGGACGATCCAGCCGTATGTCTTCCAACAGAATCTAACGAAATATCCCAAATTCCTGACAAAAGAGAAACGACAGGTCTCCCCATACAACCTCTGGTCTATCCGCGCCCTGCGCAGCATCACCGTCATCCTCTTCGCCGTGACCTTCATCTGGTGGACATTCCTCCTCGTCTCACTCTTCGTAACACCACCCGGCATGCACACCCGCGGATCAGGCTTCTTCGCCTTCGGCTTCACGACGCTCACGCTGGCGGGCCTCTCCATGAACCTTCTCCTCTTCGCCATCCCCTCCCTCCCAATGACAATCTGGGGCTCCATCCTCGCAGGCCTGCTCACAATCGACTGGATCATCATCCTGTCCGTGCCGCGCCTCCGCGTCGAAGAAGGCTGGGTCGGCATCGCCTCCGCCATCTGGGCAATGGTGCTCGCCCTCTTCTATGTCCTGCGCACCCGCTCCGTCGCCTGGGGCAAGCGCGAGGAAGAAGAGCGTCTCACCGGCCGCGAGGAGACCCGCCGTCCGCTCCGCGAATGGGTCGCCGTCTTCGGCGAGACCGTCACCATGGCTGTTCTTGTCCTCGTCGCGCTCCTCATCACCGCGACTCTCATCCTGCGCGCCCGTGACGCCTCCCTCGCGCCACCCGGAAAACGCTACTACGTTAACGGAGACACTTACCAAGTGCACCTCGCCTGCGTCGGCCCTCCACCCCCTTCCACGTCCGCCACCAACGAAACCCTCCCCACCGTCCTCCTCGAAGCAGGCGAAGGCCCCGTCGAAGACTCCCTGCAGCCCTTCCTAGACGACATGCGCCAAGCAGGCCACATCGCGCGCTACTGCTACTGGGACCGACCCGGCCTAGGATGGTCCGAGAACGCCCCATCACCGTACAGCGCAGGCATGGTAGCGGACGCACTCTCCGAGGCTCTCGCGCTAGCATCCACCACAGACAAGGACGCCGACCCCCGCGCCGAGGGACCCTGGGTGCTCGTCTCCGCCGGAGTCGGCAGCATCTACAGCCGCATCTTCGCCAGCAGACACCTCCTCCAGGTCCAGGGTCTGCTCCTGATCGACCCGCTGCACGAGCAGTACCTCAATAGTCGGATCGGGGCCCCAGGCCGAGGCTTCCTCCTCTGGCTGCGGGGCATCCTATCCCCGCTGGGTGTGGACAGACTAGCGGGTGCGATCTTCAAGGGCCGCACGCGCGAAGACCGCGTCTTCGGCCGCTCTGCGTACCAGGGTGGGAGGGCGATTCGCGCCAGACTGCAGGAGAACCTCGTGGCGCGGTCGCTGACGGCGTCGGAGATTCAGACGGCGCGGCATGTCCAGATGGCGGATACGCCGCTTGTGGTTGTTAGCTCCGGCGTGGAGGTCGATCGGAGTGAGCGCTGGGGGAAGGCGCAGGAGGAGTTGACGCGGGTGACGAGCAATTTGAAGCATTGGGATACGGTTGAGGGGGCGCCGCATGAGGTGTGGAGGGATGTGAAGGGACGGCAGGTTTTGGGGGAGAGGTTGCGGGCGTTGGTGAGGGGTGGGGGGGAGGATGTCTGATTGCTTTCCTGGTTGGTTATGTCGACGGGAGGTGTTGTGAGAACATATGTAGTGGATTCTTTGTTGAAGGGTGGAGGTGATAGGTTTGTATATTTGCCTTATGTCTTGATTTGTGAAAGGCCAGATTGAGATAAGCGAGGACTTGAACTGAACATGTCGTCTGTACATTACCCAATGAAGAGTATATGCCATCCATTCCAAAATGTCAAATGTTGATACCTAGGGTCCGATGCATCCTGGTTCATAGTATATCCTATTCCGATTGAAGATGCATTGAGGCAATGTCCGCTCTGACACTTAGATCAACCGGATCCATGCACTAGCTTATTTATTTATCCTAGGTAGAAAGCCCATCATAACCATCGTCATCCAGCCAACCATTCCATCATCAAACTCGGAGCTCGATTCGAGTGGGCGCTAGCGAGGAATAAGGATATCGAGAAAGATCGGGTCGAGTCGGATATTTACCGGGTCGGGGCACAGATACATTTCCCTCGCTATCTTTCCATCTTTCCCTTGACTAAACTTCCATCTCCGCCAACGACCCGAATCGGATAAACGGCGAGGCGATGCACCAGTCAAATCATTCTAGACTAGCTCCCTTGAACCGCTTAGCAAGTTGTTCACTGTCCGACCGGGGAGATTCTGCCCGGGCAGTGGCCAGGCGGCGTTTGCCCGGTGGGACCACTAGGGAGGGAGATGCGTCCCAGCGGCGCTTGGGGGGGCGCTCACCACTTTCCTGAAGAATTGTCACCAGCGTCGCCCATCCGGGGGTGTTGATCAGCTGCATTCCATCCACCGGCCGCTTCGACGTTGCCACGCGGGCCAGCAGCGCTTCCTCGTCCTGGAATGTGTCAATCGACTTCCATATAGGTGGGGAGGGAAGTAAGAACGGGGGGGGGGGGATGCTACCTTGTTGAATGTCGAGAGGGAGTGCAGGAAGCATAGAAGGTGAAAGTCGGACACCGCGCGGATCGCTTGGTCCGGATCCCCGTGGGACACCAGCTTCTGGGCCACATGGCGCAGCTCCTGGCTCTCGCCGATGACCTCGCGGTTTTCGATGGGGAACTTGCTGTCGGTGAAGAGGGGTGCCGTGGCCGCTCCCGTGGGGAACCCGTGCGTTAACGTTACCAGCAAAAACTCGACGGGGAAACTCGGCTTGGCGTTCTGTTGGGCACTGACGCCGTACTCGTTGATCTTGCGGTAGAAGACCTCGGGGATATAGCGAGACCGATTCTCCGGGTCGTCCTCCTCCGACTGCACCAGCATGACCGACGGCTCGGCGGATGGTTCGACAATGTCGGCCCGCACCATCTCCACGGCGCTCACCGAGGCCTGGTAAGAGCTGACGGAAATGGCGCCGGCGTCGTCGCCGCTGAGGACGCACGTCACGAAGTTGGACCCAAACCGACCCGTGCGGCTCCACTTGGTGGCTTTGGGATGCTGCGCCTGCAGCCGCGCGGCGAAGGCGATCTCCAGCGACGACAGATAGTACGAATCAATGTGGCGCTTGCAGACGACGGAGCCGTCGCCTTGACCGGCGTCCAGCAGGTCCGTGAAGATGACGCCGACCTTCTCCAGGCCGCAGAGGCGCGCAACCTCGTCCACCTCTTTCTCGTTGGCCCACTCGTGCAGCGTGACGCCGTCGAGCTCGTTCATCTGCGGCGGCTCGTAGATCGCCTGAACGACGGCCTTGACGCCGAGCGGGACCTCCGTGTACTCCTCGTACGTGCCGTATAAGAAGCCCAGGCGCTGGGCCCCGGACTTCCGCCAGAAGTCCAGCAGCGAGTTGATGAGGTCGGGGGAAGAGAACTCGACGTGGTCGACGGTGCGAAACTCCTGCGGCTGCAGACTGATGGCGCTGGGCTGACACTTGCTGCAGATTCCTTCGGGCCATTGGGGATGGCCCGATGGGCAGTCGCGTGCGACCCGGTAGAACGGCTCGCTGAGCGGGGGGATGAAGGACTGCTTCAATTCGGATTTGTTGGTGGCGGCGTTGATCTTGCGCATGTACGAGTGGAAGGACAGGTGTTTGATCTTTTTCTCCGCGAGATATTTCGGGTCGTAGGGTTCCAGCGGCATGCAATAGTCACACATTCCCTTGGGCCCGTGCTTGCACATCTTGGAGTCCAGCTTTCGTGGAATCTTACCATCCTTGCTGTCCAACCTGTTGTCCAGTGGCGACTGTTGCACGACCTCCCACGGATTCTTCCCCGAGACGGCGGGGGTCTCTTTCTGTGGCACGGGGGCGCCGTCTAGGCGCCGGGACGTGTCATTGCTGACGGTGTGGCCGTTGGCGGTGCCATCCTGGGGTCCTTTTTCGGTGTATCCAATAAAAAGTTTGTCGCCGTGCCTGCGTTGAAAGGTGTCAGCGAATCCCGCACCGACCGGGAACTGCGGGTCTCCGATGACCGGCTAACCTTAGACCGACTTGTTCGATGGCAACGCCATCGAGAGTATTCAGAAACCGTTCCTCGCCACCAGTACCGATCGGTCGGTTGGACAGGCAGACCGATGATGGATCCACCTCGGAGGGAAGATGCTCCACGACCTAGGAGTGCGAAGAAGTCAGCGCGCTGTGATCTCCGCCCAAAGACCAGTGAGGGGTTTCGTTCACCTTCTCGTGGAGGGTGGGGAAAAGGTCCTTGGGGCTAACGGTGAGCCGGAACTGGCCATTTCGGCTTTCGAATCGGAGGATAATAGGGCGTTCCGTCATGGTGTCGAGATGCAGTTGGTGATGGGACGGCGAGGAGGGCGACGTAGGAGGGGAAACCGATGGCTCACGGCAATGGTGGAATGGGAGGATTAATCATTCAATCGTCAAGAGGGTTGCAGGTAATCAGTCAAACGGGACCATGGCGTTCGAGAGAAAGACAGATAGGGTAGGGGAATGAAAGAGAAGAAGAGTTGGTGGAAGGGAAAGACAGTAAGCTGAAGAGGGAAGAAAGAGAAGCTGAAGAAAGCGGAGGTTTGAAAGGAGCTCAAGGCTTATCGTCATCGGTATGGTGGTTACCATTGTTACCGTATGATATTGGGGGGGTATGACGTATTTGGAGTAATCTGGTTACCCGCCATACTTACCTTCGGACTACGGAGTACTCACTATAGAGGTTTATAGAGTAGGGGAAATAGCAGCCTCATTCTTACATATACAAACTACATGATAATTATAGTTCAAAGTGTCATGATTAGAAGGCTGTCTTCTACTTTAAACTTGAATAATTCAATTCGTGTGGTAGATTGCCTCGTGTTATGTCTCTCGTCCACAGTGATCAGTTTGACCATATACTGTAGCCCTAAACACGAAGAACTAACCACGGCACATCTAGCTGGTCAAATCTCCCAACCCGATAAACCGGACACATAAGCCTTCATGAAAGGTAAAGACCGTGCTGGATCATTTGACCTCTGCCGAGTCTCCGAAATATCGGTCATCTTGTTTGACATATAAGATACTTGCTCCGGTAGGGCTTGGTAGGACGCGCGGAGAAAAGATTTTATAGTATGCTATGAGAGCAATAATCAATTCCAAATCTCGGCATTTCTCTGGAGCCTCACCCTGTATCGTCCGAGATTTTGATTTATATACGTCTGATGCGTCCCTGCAAGGGAGATCACACCAAGAGCTAGAAAGGATCACGATGAGATTAAACTACGGAGTAGTATTGCGGACCTATCCTGACTTGCCATGGCTCTCGAAAAAGCAACGCACAACTTTTCCCCTTTGGAACGGACAAGGCTCTTCTTATATCCAAGGAATGTCGATCTGCAGGTATCAAAACAATCCGACAAGGATAAGGTCGTTTTATCTCCGAGTCCCAAAGGCAGCCCAGTACACTTGATCAGTCTCCCATCACTACTCCCACAATATCATAGAGACCGATAATTTAAGTATATGCATTCATTAATTATTCAAGAGGATCTAGATGTATACCCATCATGACCACACCGGGTATAAAATATAAGAGAGTCTGACAGCGCGTTGCCATAATCAGAGGATGGTGCACTTCTTGGGCAATCCACACGGACCCCCCTCCTCGCTCTTCGCCGCACGGCTCGCCTGCTGCTCTCCGCTCGGGCGGCTATTCTTCTGCGGGGGTTGTTGTTGTTGTTTTTGCTGGTTTTGTTGTGTTTGCGAGGGCTGGGATGAGGCGGCCGTGGCAGTGTTGCTATCATGTAGTCACGCGTGGTTGACACGAGCAACGTGCTCGTAGAAGGCCTTGCCTTGGCTCTCGGCGAGCTCGAGCTCCAGGGGAGTGGGCTGGCGCGAACCGTCGGGGCCCTGCATGTCTCAGTCAGATCTGACATCCTAACCAGGTAAAAGATAAGAGTAAAGAAGAGGAGATACATACGGCAAAAGTACCCGCACCCCAAGCACTGCCACCGTGGACCTCATTCAAGTTGGCCAGCAGAGGGAAGACAGTCTTGTATCCAAGCGGCACATAGATGAAGCCGTGGTGGGCCAGGGTCGACATAGCCGCCAGACAAGTGGACTCCTGACCACCGCCCTGGGTACCGGTCGAGACGAACAGACCGGCGTACTTACCCCAGTAGCCGCCCGAGGCCCAGATGCCACCGGTGCGGTCCCAGAAGGCCTTCCACTGGGCGGGGAAGTTACCGTAGCGGGTGGGGATGCCGAAGAGCACGGCGTCGTAGTCCTTGACGGTGTCGACTGTGGCGACGGGGTGGCTGGCCTTTGCGGGAGCGTGCATTTTGGTCAGGGCGTCCTCTGGGAGGGTCTCGGCGATTTGGTAGATGTCGGCTGTGCCACCCACGGCTTCGATGCCTTTCTTTTCGGCTTCGGCCAGCTTGACGATGTGGCCGTACATCGAGTACTGGATGGGATGGGTTGGTTAGTTTCTTCTCCCCCAGGATATTGAGTTTAGATGAGGGGAGGTATACATAGATGATAGCGATCTTGGGAGCCATTGTGACGGATTCGATTGATTGAATTGAATTGAAAAGAAGAGCTGAGGAGAGAGTCAATGCAGAGAGAAGATGCAGATAGAATATTGGATACTGCCAAGTGATGAGGGGAGGTAGGGAAGTTATATAGAAAGGCAGAACCCCTCCACTGGAGCTCAGCGTCCCACTTCTCCATCGTTACCAAGCCGAGTGTCAGCATCCTGTAATCGACTGAAAGTGGGGCTTTTCTGATGTAACTCCAATCATGTCGCGTTTCTCCCACTTAGTCGACTCTGACCGATCGTTGACAAATGAACAAGATCGGCAGTATGAACCTGTTTCTCTCTCTCTTTTGATGAACAAGGGTGGTGCATATTATTAACGATCAATAATAGATTATGAATACCAGTCTAGATCCAACTGATCATCGCGTTCTTTTATTTGAGTCTCTGTTCTAGTATATTCCCCATGATGGAGTTCTAAGCTACCAAGCTGTTTGCAGAGATCGTGATGTCATCTGTCGATCCACTTAGTGGCACCACCAAAATCTAGAAAACTAAATACAACCGAATTCCAGATGAAAATGTTTCCGCTTGGTACATTTCAGGATAAACCATTGGTTATTGCGGATATGGTATGCAGCATACCGAATTGTACCATGTTCATATAGATAACAACAACAAGAATAATAGATCATAATACATGGGTCAAGCTACCACGGGGTATCGAGGGATGGAAACCAATCTCCGAAAAAAAAGCCCAAAAAGAAAGCACAAAACAAGAAAAACCCAGCTCTAAACTATCCCCGTCCGCGCCCCCGATACCGTCCCCGCATGAATCCCCCACCGCGCCCACGCTCGCTGCGCCATTCGCGTTCCCGCTCCTTCTCCTTCTCCTGCTCCTCCCGGATCAACACCCGCTCCTGTTCCCGTTCCTCCTCCGTCTTCTCCACGCGCATCGACGGCGGCGGCAGGTTCTCCGACCACCGCGCATGTGCCGACTGGCACGCCTTGCCATCGGGACAGAACCCGGCCAAGTAGAAGGGACATAACCGTCGGCGGACGTGGCGTTTGGCGCACAGCGGTCCCAGCGGGCAGAACCCCCGATCGTAGTGCTCACAGGGCGGCAGACGCGCCTCCTCGCGCACGTGCTGGTACAGGCAGTCGTCGCCATTGGGACAGTAGCCGGACCGCGAGAAGGACTGGCACTCGGGCATGCGCCGCAGGTTGTATTCGTGGAGATACTCGCACTTCAGCCCCTTCTTGCAGAGCCCCTTGAGGAAATGTTTGCACACCAGCGACCCGTGCGTGGTCGACGGGGCCAGCCCCGATGCCGTGGTCGTGGAGGTAGTGACGCGTGACGGCGTCGGGTGGCGATCTGGGCAGGCGGGTCCTAGCGGACAGTGGCCTTCGCTGTAGGCCTTGCACACCGGCACGTCGCTGGCCAACCCGAAGCCAAAACTCTTGCGTAGGAACGGGGCGAAGGAGAGCTCGTCATAGTTGGGATCACGCGTCCGGTCGGTGGAGAGGATTTGCGCCGCCGTATGGTGCACGTCGGTCGTCATGATGGGCGTCGGAGGGAGGAGATGTGGTGATGATGAGGTGTGAAGCCTGGTGTGACCAACGGATAGGTTGCGTTGAGGACAACAGATAGGAGGTAATCCGTTGTTTAACTGGAAATCCTGGTTGATATCAATACCTCCGCCGGATTGAACACCCGGTTATTGAATGTCGCGGGCGAAACGGGGAGATGTTGGAGTTGGAGATGGAGCAAGACGAAGAAACGTGAACTTATCGACAATATTGACGAAAATGGAAGGCGGTGGCAATTTACCCACACCTCACCCAGCTCCCTCGAGTCCACGTGACTCGCTAATCACTATATAGTTCTACACCCAAAGATCATCGTGCAACAAAAATATATATAATCATTTGGCTTCTTTAAACAACCACCACACCTGCAAATTTCTAATAAACCATATGAGATTTTTAGTAATGATGGACTAAAGGACTACGAGTGTGGTAAATTTAATTTTGAAGCTAATACCTAGTATACTAGCCCTTCGCGATCAGAATTGCTTGTACACGCCGCGGCATAGACTCCACTAACCAGTCAAACTTGCCCTATTTCCTCCCACGCTTGCTCAATTATGGTTCTAAAATGAGGACTAAAATCCGCGTTGATTTTTCCATATGACTATATATTAGGACCAATCTCATAGATGCGTTGTTTAAGCATGGCCCGCGCGTGTTTAATGGGGTTGGAATCCGGTGAGTATGGTGGCCAGTCTACACGAAATGCCGTGATCATGAAACCATTCTTAGTTAACCAACTAATAAACAACTGGCTACAATATACTCTTAGCCGCTGCGCCAAAACGCTGATCAGCGTTTGGTGCTGAGCCCAACCCGACTGATATCTCCAATAATCAAAAGACATCGTGCCACTTTTGCGCTCTGTGCGTAATCATATGACATCTTATATTGCGACATCTACCAAATCATGGCAGATAGCGTAATTAAGCATGACATGTATACTATATATGTCATCAGTTGCTAAAATAGAGTACGAGTTTCAGTACTCAATAGTAATATTGATCAAAATATTAGAGTACAGAATAGGACATTGTGATATCGACAGCCTTTGCATTCGCACAGCAGTACAGGGAAACACAGTCAACCATAACCCAAAAAAACCCATACCAAGACTTTCTGGGCATGGCGCGCTTATCTAGCACTAATGATCCATGTCTAGTTAGACGATATATTCCGAGGATATTCAGTGATATGGATAGTTGACTAACCTCGCAATATCCGGTGCCGGGAATAGGCCCGCGGGAAAAGTCACAGCAGTTGCGCTGTTTAAGACCAGTCATTAATTGTATTGCCTCAAAAACTGTGTGAATGGAGACATAAACTTACATCTGTGCAGGCATCGCCAGCCCAGCAAAGTCCCTGGGTTTGGAAATTGCTGAGAGTTTCACCTGCGGACTGCCCTTGAAGGTTGGTGTCGGCGCTAGGAGCCGCCGCCAGGATGGAGGCAAAGAAAGAGGTGAAAACGACGAGAGATTTGAACTGCATTTTGGATGGTAATGTCTGATGCTATGGGAAGCTCGGGGAAAGTTGGAGCCTGAGAATATTGAGAATATTGAGAGAGACGGATGGTTGATTGATGAGATACTATTCACCTGGGGTAGTAGCCTCTTTTTATACCTGATGTCTATGGGGTCAACTCTGAGAAGTGATATATTAGGGCTCGATTATTTCGAGCTCTTCAACTCATTCCATTCCTTTGCTGTTCTAAGTCTTTATTCATCCTTGATATACTAAGGAATGTCTGGACCGGGCGACATCCCGACATTCCATTCCCAGATCACACAGCTTGTTGAGGATAAGAATGATATCTTTATGTTTTGGCTTTGCTATCCGCTGTGTCAAGCAATGAAAGATTTGCATGTTAGGGTTTGTATAGAATATCTAGGTTCTCTCTCTATCCCCCATGCGCTTACTACCTTATTAAAGGCACCTATGATTCTACTATCCGATCCCATGTTGTTCCAATAAATTCGAGTCTCCTTCTTGTCGGGAATGTGAGATAGCAACTCCTCTTTAGTAATGAATATAATGTGCCCGAAAATCTTTCTCTATATACGGTATAGTCTAATGGAGTACCCATGGACAATGGTTCAGGTGTATAGAATGAACATACCATCCCTTCTATCACTGGAAGTTTTCCAAGTATTCACCTGCCTGGGAGCTGGAAGAGATGGTCGGCATAGGAGGGAAAGTGTGCATCTTGCTCATTGCGATTTGCATGACCGTGCTCATTATAACGCCCTCCGTGCTAGTCGCGGATGAGGGTTGAGAGACCAGCTTGATAGCCTCACTTTAGTGCGTGTGTCATTCCTTTTTTAAAGTATCGGCTGTACAAACAGGTTTAAATTCCGGAGAATGGAGGGGGAGACGTAGAGGAAGAGAGAGAAATGTGCACTGTATTGGTATGCTGTGGCTGGCTGTGACATCATGAATGGCTTTTATAACCATCTATCTGTCCTCGTATTTGGACCCGGGGGATGATGATCAGCACGCGAAGTCTCGAACTTGATGAATGATCATTGAACAGTAAGGAGTGGAGTCTAGCAACACCATACTTGAACCGTTGAATGAAAGAATCCTGCAGTTACAGTTGGGCATATCAGGTTAAGTTCCATACCAAACGCTGGCCAGCGTTTTGGCGTAGGGGGTAAGAGATTCTCCATTCGAGGAGTACATGATCGCTGAATAGGGAAGTTTTCTCAGCTGCGGCCGGAATTCCTGGACTTCATGGTTTCCATGAGAGTAAAGAAAATCAAGACACTGTGGATGATCTCTATTATTTGGCTCATTTGCCTATATATCTTAGTTCCAATAAAAGATGCAGCTAGACAGGCTAGATGACTGGTAAGAGAAAGCTTATAGTAGGGCTACTGTTTTCTGTAACATCAATATTTGCGAGGAATGACTGCATGAGAGAAATACCAGCCTATCCCATCGAGAGAACTATAACCAGACCAACTGGGCCCCTCCCATGGATTGACTGGGGTCAGTAAAAGGGATAAAATATGGGAGATCGGCATACCGCCTGCCTTGATACCCTAAAGGCGAAGTATGATAGCCCCCAGGGCTCCCCCTGAGTTAAGAAATGTGAGTGAGTGAGGGCCACAACGGACTAGAACTTTAGTACAGTCCCAGTACATACCTCGAAATTGCTGGGGACTCACTTGAATCCTCCCCAGCTTAATTCCAAGAGCCGGAATGCTGTCAGTACTGGAAATGACATCGTGTTTCGGGGCCGAAGTTGCGGTCGAAGCAAACACCGGTAGTTATTGAATGTTGATCATTTGGCACAACAGACGCAAAGTAAAACAAGGACTAGCAATTGTTCGGCCGAAGACATGAAATTAATTGAATGTGGAATGCGCCTTTTCAGAGTGCCTCTCGCATTGGCGTACGGCCATATATGGACTGGCGTAGGCACCGAACGATCTTGTAGCTAGATATGATTTGCTATCGTAATAGGCCGTATATTGTTGGGTATATCAGTCAGGTTAAGCCCTATACCGAACGTTGGCCAACGTTTTGGCGTAGCGGCCTTGAGATATATGCAATAGAGAATATTGGAAGAGAAATAGTAGAACCGGCACCCAACTTACAGATTCAATCAATGGCATTCTACGAAAGTGATATATTCTTCAATTCAAATATCCCGTTGTGAAATCCGCTACTCTTTTCGGTCCAAGCGACCTCTCAGATTACCATCATCCAAGAAACTACCCCACATAGCCGCTTCGAAGAGGCGATTCACCTGCCAGGCATGGTGGCTCGCATGAGCGAGTGACCAGGCCAAATCATCCACTAATCCATGCGCATACATCACTGCCATAGTGATTCTCAATTCTTCCGCAATCTCGTCTTCTTCGACCTCGGACACCACTCCTGCCGTGACGTATTGCAGAAGGCGGCCGGAGAGAAGCCACCAACATTCATCGAATATATCCTGCTCACTGCTGGATTTGGCGCGTTGCTGTACTTGATCGCATCGTTCAAGGCCGTTGCAAGCAGTAGCCAAATGCCTACTGAACCCTGTGGTGCGGAAATCCACATCGAACGCCTCTTCAAGGTCCGCTTCCCTTTGGCCTCCCGCAGTCCGTCTGACTTTCGAAAAGCCAAGCAATGCGCGTCGCAGGAATCCGTGCCTATTATTCACAATATGCCAGGTAAATAATATGGAAACCATCCGGACTCCTGAGTCTGACCACCGCTCAGTATACATCCGCCCGCACGAGTGCGCATACGCATCATACACCCGTTGCAACGCTTCCTCGGTGACAATTCCAGTGTCTGTCACATCTGCAGTACCCAAGACACTGTTGGCTAGCTCGGAATTGTAGAGGTCGGATCCTACGTCGACGATATCGGTTTGCGGGTTGCTGAAGACAAAATCATGCATCAGTGCCGCTGGATCGAATCCCCGGGCTGCTGCCTCCCCTGCGGGTCGTGTGCTCCAATCAGCATGTTGACCATGCCGATGCCAAAAAGCGTATTATTCGTCAACAAGGGCGCCGGCCAGTTCTCAATGTGCAGGGTTTCAATCACTTTTGCTGATGTCATTGTTAAACCGTTTCCTTTGCTTGGGAGAATACGCCCGAGCTTGTGTTGATCTTCGCGCGCGCCATCTTTCCAGATCTTCACTCAGGGTTAGGTCCACAATGGCTTTCTTTGTTTCGGCTGGGTTCTCGAGGGTCTCGAAGGCTCGCATGAGAATGTTAATGCCTTCTTTTATTAGGCGCTCGAAATTTTGGACGTCTCCGTCACCGATCAGCTTGTGGAGCTCTGAATAGCCAGTCACTGTGGCACGCATCGTACACCAATAGGGCTCATCTATCTGGTCCGACAATCGAGTCCTTCCCTTGATGTCTTGGTTTATCAAAGACTTAGGGGAGATCGACAGCTCCCTTGCTTCCTCACACTGGGGTACACTACCAGCGATAATTGCCATAACTAATTACTAATGATTCAAGGCTTCAAAGGATATCAAAACCAGCAGAAGCAAAAGCAGGCGTGATCGTCAATTGCGAGACACCAGAGCGCTTTTCGCCCCGATATCTCCCTCTCTTTATAGTTCCTTCGAGAGCACTTCCCTAGCATATATCTCTTTGACTTAATAGGCTCACTAACACACGATTATTCACTGAACTTGCCACAGCAAGGTTTGTTTCCCCCAATATGGGTGGTCGATGCAGATACGAGCAAAACTTACTCAGTTATCCCATCCGAGTAATCTTCACATGAACCATCTTTTTCATGGGATCTTATCAGATTTTAGACACGAGATGCTCCTCCGAGCCAGTGCTTGGTTATACCTGTTTTCTCACGTGTAGGGTGGGTTGCATCACCGTACTCGAAGACAGACGAAGTCTTGATATTGCCTGGCGTAAACCGTCCTCTTTATAATAGATACATAGTAGATAGGTAGGTGTTAGGTGTTAAACTAGAAGATCCTTCCGTAAGCGCAGCCGGTGACACAATTTCCAGCCGTAGGGTTGCATCATCGATGTATGTCCTAACTAGACCTGAGCCTTCTTAAGGCTGTGTTCGTATAGTCTCCGGTATACACCGGAGAACATACGGATATACTTATCTTGTGCGCTTATATTAGATTATAGTATGCAATTAGTTTACTTATGAAGTAGATTGGAGCTCGTTGAAAGGTCAGATCGTCGGGGATTTCGGTTATGGTGGGTTGTTGGATGTTATGGGATGTGCGGGGGTGGATGCCCCGGGTTATACTAGGTCATGCTATGGAAAGATGGGATGGTTTGTCCATTGTAGATGGAAGTAGATTCCGCTGGTGTCTCTGTCTATGATGAACTGGAGATACGGCGTCTACGACATCCTTATTCAGCAATGGACGAGTTACCTCGACATCTCGCTACAGACTACTGACAATGGTGATATCTGGGTTGTAACCAGAGAGACCTCTCACTCTACACGTCCATGATCGAACAACACATGCAGCGGAGGATAGTCAATCTCACTGGCGCAGTTGGAAGTGTGCCACGAACCAGGGGGCCTGTCAGCCTACCGTCAGCGGAATACGGGCCCTCTAATTACTGAGCAAGTGAGGACCGAAGCTCCATTCGCCGCATCGTGACTTGGGTAGTTTTGACTATCTGTCTGCCCACGATGCCCTTCCGCGGTAGGCAACTGCTTCCGATAAAGATCACATGGCCTAGAATTCTAGGCTAGGATCCCCATTCCCTGTCACCGTACTTACTTCCCGCGGTGTGTCTCGAGGACCAGACGGATACCCTGCATTAGGGAGTGACCCCGAGCGAGCGACGACAACAACCAGTCAAAGTGGCGGCGTCGAGACTCGCAGTCTGTCATGCGGGGGAAAAGGAAAATCCCTTAGTCACTCGGACTAGGCGGCGCTTGCATTCTCTCCGTCCCCACATCTGCTGGTAGGGGCAAAAAGCAACTTCCAGGCTAGAGGCGAGTGCGAAAAAGCAAAACGACACCAAGAGGAAAGACGGGGAGAATAAATAGAGCATCGCCTCCCAACAGATCGTCCGGTCTAGGTAGAAACCAGCACTAGTCCCTGACCTTGAGTGAAGATTTTTTCCCCCTCATCGTCTGGCCATCCTCCTCTCCGCTTCTTTTGCGCGGTCAAACCTCCCGACAACCATGGCTGTTACTGGAGATCCACCCACGGAGCCTGGGTTTGGGTGTGAAAAGGAATGAACGAGGTTGGTGCGACCAATTACCGCCAGAGCTTTTCTCACCGAGGTCTGGCATGAACTTAAGCCAGCATGATCCTGTCCGTCGAGAGGCTGCCAGGGCATCCAATAATAGCATCTTCGTGATCTGGGGGATCCGATCTGGGGGGCAAAGTCCGTCGTCACTGTGCGATTCGGGCCGCAACCAGCTGGTCACAATGACAAGCGATGGTTCCCCGTATCGAGGATCCGATTCAACCAGCTGGGATCCATCAGATGAAGTCCGTCCAACCGTCAATCACTCACGTCGTCAATCGCTTTGTCGAGAGGCAACCTCGTAGTTATCGGGAGGCGGGGGAGTCCGACGTATCATATGAGAGTAAACTGGGCGTAGATTATGATTGACGGACCGAGCTGCACGGTGAATTCGAGGGAGGTCATGTCATTCTGCTTTTGGGCGAGCTGATCGGGTTGCCTTTCATTTATTTTATTGTTTACTTATTAATTTATTCAATCTTTGGGTCCACCCAGCTCTTTGTTTGTGACTTGGGCCGTTGTCCACAAGATGTGTGTAGGATTGGAATCCATGGGGCGTTCTCGATGGGATTACCCCACAGTCCAATGGGTCTGGAATGAATATATGAAAAAGATATAAATCAATAACCACCGAGGGGGAACAAGAACTATGACGGAGAACGGAGGGAAAGAAGAGAGAGAGAGAAAGAGAAAGCTGGAGAAGAAGGAACCCCACACGTGACAGTGAGCTGATTGGGGCAGTTGCGCTTCATCCATTCATCTCCATCTTCATCTTCATCTTGTCTTCGTCTTCTTTCTTCTGCTTCGTCCAGACTTTTCTTTGACTTCTCTTTTTATTTTTGTATTTATTTGCCTTCCTGACAATCTCCCATTTTCTTGGTCACTTCTATACCTCAACCCTTCCTCGCAGAATCCCCATGTTCTCCGGCTCCCTCTTTCCCCACTGGCGCCGCAAGGCCGCCGAACGCTCTAGCAGCAGCTCATACGAGGTCCCCTTCTTCCTCAACGCCGCTTACTATCCCAATTGGCGGATCTATCGCAAGCAACCGCCGTCATCCCTCCGCCTGGGCTTTATTTCTCACATTTTCTACGCGTTTGCCTGGTACTAAACATACTCACATTGCATACCGATACGTATATACATCCCCACGGGGGATCCGGTCGGGTCACTGGTTAACCAACTCCTTTTTCTTCTCTCTAGGGTCAAAGAAGACGGAACGGTCTATGTATTCTACCCCGTGGTGCATGTGGGATACAGTCAAGCTGACTCTGCCAGTTGAGCGATGAGTGGGCCGACACACAGATGCCGGTAGACGGCACCCAGGGCTGCCTCCGGGCGTTCGCGCAGATGAAGCAGCAGTACTCGAAGATGAAGATCATCCTCTCCGTCGGAGGCGGCGGGAAGGGGAGCGAGAACTTCGCCGGCGTGGCTCGGAGCCAATCCCGCGTCGAGACATTCGTGCGCACCGCCCGCGCCTTGGTCGACCAGTTCGGACTCGACGGCATCGACAGTGGGTTTCCTGCTCTCCTTGGTTGAGATCCACAATGGTGAACAGTCGGTATTGACTCCACGCTTTAGTTGACTGGGAGCACCCCTCGGATCCGCAGCAGGGTCAGGATTACGTTCGACTGTTGGCGCGACTTCGGGAGGGGTTGCCGACGCCGCGGTATGTATTGGCGACGTGTCTGCCAGCGGGCCAGTGGGCTCTCCGCAACATCGATCTCGGCAAGGCGTCGCTGTACGTCGATCTACTGAACATCATGGCGTACGATTTCGCTGGTCCCTGGGCCAATGAGACGGGCCATCAGGCCCAGCTGTATGGGCGCTCCAACGGCGCCATCTCGTGTCAGTCATCTGTCAACTACGTGCTGCACCAAGGGGTCGATCCGAAGAAGCTCCTGCTGGGGGTGCCCGCGTACGGGCGGTCGTTCTTGGGGAGCAGCAATACCGGACAACGGTACGCGGGGTGCGGTGGAGAGGACGGCGTCTTCGACTACAGCGACCTACCGCGACCGGGGGCCAAAGAGCACCACGACGACAAGGCGGGTGCGGCCTGGTGTTCTGGGGGGGATGGTGGGTTTGTGACGTACGACACGCCGCGGACGGTGCAAGCCAAGGCCAAGTTTGTCACCAAGACGAAGCTGGGGGGATTGTTTTATTGGCATATCGGCGGGGATGCACGGGGTTCGCGGAGTTTGATTGAGACGGGATATAATTCATTGCATGATCTTTGAATGGGGAGCCTTTCAACCAGACGAAAAAAGGGAAGGAAAAAATAAGAGAGAAAGAGAGAAAGAGAGAAAGAGAGAAAGCGAGAAAGCGAGAAAGCGAGAAAGCGAGAAAGAAAGAAAGAAAGAAAGAAAGAAAACAAAAAAGCAGAATGAAGAATCAAAATGGGCGGCTTCTTGATTTATGGCAGCAATATTCATGACGAAAGGATCAGGGGGAGGGACCGGGGGGAACAGCGATTGCTTTAAATAACTAGTACAGAGTACAGAGTACCCCCGGACAGTCTATAAGTATACACAGTACTATTGTTAGTTTGGTTTAGTCTATTTCATCCTTATTTATCATTTCTCAGTTCTTATTTACTATTTGTTGCTCATTTTCAACTGATAAGACGATGAAAAGCAATTTGCCTGTTTGCAGCGTCCTGTATGTACCTCGATTAGTTCGGTACTGACTAGCGGTGTGATAAGCATCACTTTTAACTTGGTATATTCCTTCTAGATAAACTAGACTTACTGATATCTAGGTGGGTACGGAGTACAATAGTACTATAGTATAAATAATTCTCCAAACTAGATAGATATTATATAGGAGGTATACTCAGATCAATCTTAGAATTGAACAGGTAGGTGGCTGGATACCCAGGTTAGGTACATCAAACAGATCATCAATGTTTGTAACTAGACAAAGCTACCATATCGATCACGTTTCTCTTTCTGCTGGAGCACGCCATAGGAGTCGGACTTACTGTAGTACTTTACTTTACTTTACTTTACTTTGACTACTTTATCTTACCTTACCGTGGGTACCTCTGGGATCTATGTATACTTGTATACACTACTGACAGGCTAGCGATAACGACAAACAAGGATTCGATAGCATCATTTTTGCCCGGGGAATGGCTTTTTTTATTTTGTGGATAGACTAGATACCTAGAACAATTTGTTGATCTACTCAATTGACAAGAGGGAGGATAAAAGAGAGAGAAAACCATCAAGCATCTGTGTCATTACATTATGTCGATCTCGCGTAACTACATTTGGTCTCTTTGCCTTTCCCTTCAGAAATGAATAAAAGGGGGGAAAGGGTCCCGATCAATATAGATGAAAGAAGAGGCCAGAGAAAGTAAACAGTTCTGTAGGCTAGACCTGGGATAGGGAATCGAGAGAGAGAGAGAAAAAAAAAACATGAAGAAGGACATTAAAAATCAAAGAAAAGAAGAAAATGAGTTAATGAAAACAAAACAGGATATGATATCAACGACATGATTTACTCAATCAATCAATCTAGCAAAGTTCAAAGAAAAAAGACGAAGAAAGGAAGAAGAAGAAGAAGACAGATCAATCACTTCCCTTCAGAATCTCGCCCACATCCAAATCCACCTGCAACTTATTCGCCGCCAGCGCAGCCGCGAAATAAGGCAGATCCTGGCCGTTGTAGGTCGTCGAGTTGCCCGTGATGTCGACGGGGATGATGTTGTTCTTGTACTTGGGGAGCAGCTTGGTGACGGCCATCAGGTCCGTATTGGCGGACATGTCGAGGGTGTTGTCGCCGGGCTTGAGGACGAGTTCGTTGAGGAAGGATTGGCCGATGGGTTTGCCGTCGACGGTGAGGTCGAGGGTTACGTTGCCCTGGACATTATTGTTAGAATTGTTGTTGTTATTGTTGGTTTGGGAAAGATGGGGTGGCATACCATGGTGATTGTCATGACGGATGGGTTGGGAATGAAAACTTCGCCCTTGAGGTTGGAGCCGTTGGGGCCCTTGGCGAGGTGCATCTTGCTGAGTTTGAAGCCCTCGAGCTTGTTCAGGCCTGTGATGGTCAGTCATACTGATCTTGATAGTGACAGAGTGGTAGTGGACCCACCCTTCATGGTGACGGTCTTGTTGTAAGTCACGTCGATAGTCGGCAGAGCCCCCTGCTTCAGGTTGGGCACGCCATAAACATTGAGCTTAACCTCCTTCTCGAGCATCACCGCCTTGGAGAAGTCCTTGAAGGCATCCACGCTGGCCAGGTCCAAGCGCTGATCGATGTCCATCTTCGTGCCATCATTGGCCTTGATCTCCGGCACGCGGACCGTCGCGAACGCGGCGGACCCGAGCAGCGACACTGCGGCATCGAAGGCGAAGATCGTCGGGTGGAAGATGCTGTCTGTGCCGATCACCTGGGTCTGTTTCAAGGTGAAGGCGTCCGTCGCAGGCTCCGTGATGGCCATCGCGGTGATCTTCAGAGTGGACTCGTTGATATCATCCTGCGCGATGTTCGGATATCCGACGTACACACTGCCTCAGACAAGGCATTATTAGTTTCTGCCCGGATTCGCAATTCAATTCAACCAGGGGAACATACACAGGAAGAGCGATCACCAGGACGACCGCGATGAAGATGATAACGTGGACCCACCACCAGCGCTTAAAGTGAGCGGCCACTCGCCGCCCAAGCGAGGGCCTCGACGACACATCGCTCACGCCCACCGCAGTGACCCCAGCTTTAGACATGTTGGGATCGATGCGAGTGGTGAAGGGTGAGGTGGACTGGTACTGGAATCAAGTAAACTGTGAGGGTCAGTGTGACGTAACACAGGAGAGAACTTTGTTACTCAAGCGACCAATATGAGGACGAGAAACAAAAGCCACCAGAACGGGGGGAGGAGAGCGGGGATTGCTGGGCAGTTGCTGGGCATTTGAGAGACGAACCGATGGTTGAGGGCGAAGAGGCTGATTTCAGCTCTGGATGTCCTGTCTGGGAAGGGTTAGTGACGGTTTCATTGACGACTGAGAAGGCCCATTTGAGATTAATGGTGAGAGAACGCTGACCTCTGAGGGGAGGGTTCTGCCAAACGGTTGAATGAGAGTGACCGTGAGATGAGGAAACTATCTAGCTATAAGAGAGAAACGAACGAAACGATAGTATCCCAAGTTTACCGAAAGCAACAGACCGTCCACGTCCCTTTCAAACAGAATCCAAAGCAAAGAGAACCGGAAATGGGACCCGCCAGACCATTGCAGGTCCCCAGGGCAATATATCTACTCCGGACAATCTTAAAAGAGGGCCAGACAGACCATCACATGTCTCCACCAGACAGTTCAAAGTGGTTTAGTTACTCGAGTCCAGCACCGCGGACCTTCTTTTAGTGTACGAAACTCGTGCAGAAGACACCTTCCACGCTGGCCGGGGTCGGGAGCTAGCTACACTGGAAGGCCCAACGCTCCAAAAAAAAGGGGGCAACGAAGGGACATTACTTAGTTAGTGGCATGGGCAATCTGTCAATCTCTGCAGACCTCGGCGGAGGATCACCATTTCCCGCGACATGGTTCTGAACCGGTTGATATCTGTTTCAAACAAACAAACCCTCGAGATATTTTCGGAACTTGTTGGAACCTAGGGATGATAAACCGAGGCAGGTGCCGTTTGTCAGACCGAAAAAGAAAAAGACAAGAAAGTCAAAAGAGAGGGCCACGGTGCATGTCAAGGAAGGTCAGATGGCAAAAACGACCAGTATCGGCGTCGAGAGCGATTGGTGGACCTGGGCAGAACTTTTCTCTCTTCCCTGTACTCTTACACCGGGCAGGCGATGCAACCCAACCTAGCGCGGGGCGGGGGGGGGGGGGGGGTGCGTGCCTCGCCTATTTCCCCAAATTTCCCCATGGGCGATCGGAGACTTGGCGGGAGCCAGGATCTCATTGGGCTCAAACTGAGACTAGCAAGCATCCAGATATCCCGAATGGGACTGGCGGGGCCAAGCCCAACGCGCCCCCCCGGGACACGAGAGGCGAATACGGAGAGACGGTGGCTGACCACCGGCCTGCTCATTGGTGTCACCCTTCGCAGGGAGATTGTGACTTTTGATTCGAACTTGGCCCATGGTCAGCGTTGGCGTCTGACTGTCTTGGCCCCCGGTCCCAGGGGAGGGCACCAATAGGCTCGATGGCCCCCGCCAATTTTTACTCCGGGGTTCTTTTTGCTCGCATTGTTTCGACCCCTGTTAGCGAGGGAGTCAGTCCTCATGTCATTTGTGGATGGTCCGAGATCGATCGACACGAGCAAATCAAACTGGGGGGGGGGGGGGGGGGGGGGGGGGAGAAGGGGGTGAGACAAAACATGTGGAAGGCTTACGGAGTCTTAAAGATCCCGGGGAATGGAGAAGGATGGAGGAATGGAAGGATTGACGAGAAGGGAAAGAGACCAATTTGGCTTGGCTGAGGTCAGGTGTTGCGCACGGGATCTGCCACTGTCACGGGACTGTCTGACATTTATGACTTGAGTTTGAACAGCGCTTCGACATGCATGATCACTCCAGACTTTGTCTCGCGAGGTGTTCGACAGAGAATGCACTCCATACTCCACGTCGATCTGCTCCACTACTGGAACGGGGGGGGATCCTCTCTGCCCTGTCGATCACCACCATCACACTTGACGGCGTCACAGCAGGTCCTGTTCGACAATACCCCCCGCTACAACTACTCCAGGGACTCCTATGAATACTGGTAAATAGCAAACTATCAATCAATTGCTGAAAGACATGCGACTATATATGATCATGAGTATCATCAGGTGTGATCTCTCCAACACAAATCAAGGAGCAAAGGAAGCGAATGATTCACAAGAAAAGAAATATGTGGAAGAAGAGGTAAGCAAAGAAAGGTTCAAGAAACAGGGAATCAACGAAGGAGAATGAGGTAGATCAAAGGAAAAAAAGGTAAAAAGAAAGATCACACAGTGATTAGAAATTATGGGGTATCCAAGAAACGAAGTATGGTGCCCACATAGAGCCGGTGGAAAAAGCAATCATATGCAAGTTCCGCTCAGTCAACAAGAAAACCTGCAGACCCAACAGAGAAGGGAAAGATGAAGCAATGGGAGATAAGGAGGGAAAGAATGGAACTGCCACGAGTCATGACCCGGGATCTGGTAAGACGGGTGGATTTGGTAGATGCGAAAGAAAAGGGAGAAGAAGAAAGAGAAAAGAAGAGAAGAGCAATGGAAATAAGAATGGGAGAGGAGAAAACAAGAAAAAAACAACGATGGAGAGATCAGGCTTCCGCGGTGGTCGACTTCTTGCGTTGGAACAGACTGCGGGTGCGAGACTTGTTGCGCAGCTGTTGTTTCTTGTCGGGCGTGCCGTTCGCTCGGCCGCGGCCGCGCGACGACGACGCATTCGCTTCCTCATCGGACATGTATTTCTCCTTGTAGATCCTAGAAAAAGTAATAATATGGTTAGTACAGGGCGAAAACAATCCAGGACATATCCCCACATACCAGCTATTTCCAACCATGCTGAGTCCCTTGGCCTCCGCCGCCCGGTAGAGGCGCGCGGCTTTCTTCAGGTCCTTCTTGCAGCCCACCCCCTCGGCGTAGCAGTAGCCCGCCTCCGCCAGCGCGTCGCCATCACCCCACTGGCCGGCAATCTCAAAGCAGCGGAGCGCAAGCACCTTGTCCTGCTCAATGCCCCACCCGTTCAGGTGGCTCACCCCCAGCTCGTAGACGCTCAGGGCGAACTGGGCTCGGTACGTCTTCTGCAGCTCGCGCGTCTTGGCGGGGACCGACGTGTTGGCCTCGTCCATCAACTCTGGACCGACCGAGCCCACCGCCTTGCGTAGCCACTGCACCCCCTCGCGCTGGTTGGGGCGCATGCCCCACCCGTGTCGGCAGGCGAGCGCGTAGAGCAGCATCCCGGTCGGGTGGTTCTGCTTAGCCGCGATGCGCAGGTGGTAGGTGGATTCCTTCAGCGAGCCCTTCTCGTGGCATTCAATCCCCTTGGACACATGGTCATCGGCCGTGACGACCGACGATGCCGTCGCGGAGGACCGGGCGGTCTGGGGGCGCACGGTCGACGCGGAATCTGCCGAGGACGTCGCGTCGGTCCGGTCCTCGGGGATTGAGGTCTCCGGCGCAGACGGTCCGCCGGGCGCCGACTGGGGGGTGGTCGCCTCCGGCGAGGGCGGGGCCCGAGCGGAGGGCGAGACGGCGGGCTCCGGCGTCAACAGACGGCGCTCGTGCGCGGCGGGTTCGTGGAGCGAGCGGGCCTTGAGCGACGAGGCCGACTGCCGCGACGGCGGGGGCGACGGGGAGCGCGCCGAGCGGGGCCGTCCCGTGGGACTCAGCAGCTGCTCCGTGCCCTCAAACAGCGGTTCCTGCCACTCGAAGTGCGGCGTCTGCAGTCCGGAGAAGACGATCGAATCCCGGGACGTCATGCGGCCGCGCGGGAGCGAGTACTTGGCGTAGATGTAGGAGGCCGAGGTGCCTGAGAGCGGCTCCTCGCCGGGGCGGCGCTGGGACTGGTCCAACGTGGGCACGAGGATCGGGGTGGGTTTGTGGTCGCGGTGCATTGACGTGCGGGCATGGGGGGTGGGGGGTTCGGGGCCCCCATCTGCGGGGCGGAGAGGCTGGTGCTGGACCGGCTGAGGGGGCGCGAGAAGTTAAAGGAGGGGCGGGTGAGGTGGTTGCCGTTGTTGGAGGTCTCCGAGTTGATGGATGGGGAGCGCGGGCGCGACGACCGGTTCATCGAGGACATGGGCGATTGGGGCATCGACATGACACTGCCGGAGGAGAGCTTGCGCGGTTTGGAGAAGGTCGAGCCGGCGTTCGAGCTGCTGTAGTCGTCGTCGGAGCTCTCGGGCTGCGGGCCCCGCGAGCCGGTGGACGGCCGCGAGAAGGGCGAGATCGGCGGGGCCAAGTTGTGGCGCGCAACGTTGAGTCGCGAGGCGGAATCGGAGGAGGAGGTGCGAGGTGGGCCGGTCAACGAGACGCCTGGAGGCGCGGGGGCATAGAAGCGACGGGGGTCCCCGGGTGGTCGGAGATGGACATGTCCTCCTCCGGGGAGTCGGCGCGGAGTATGTCAAAGGGGTTATGGGCGAGGTGGTAATTCCCCGATTCCACCCGGGGGGTCGCACTATCATCGCGGGGATCGCCCTGTTCATTTGCCAAGTGCGAGACTGCGCTGAGACGGGGGTGTTCGGACTGCGGGCGAAACTGCGGTTCCTCCACCTCGACGTTGGTGGTGTGCGTATGTTGGCGGGAAAGGCTGCGGGGGGCGCCTCGCGACAATTCCCCCGAGGACGGGGATCGGAAGTAACCCGGTCGCGGTTGGGACAGAGAGCGGGCGACGCTGGCCGGAGGTAGACGACTCAAGCGGCGGTCCCGTTGGGCGGACTCTTCGAGCTGGCGAGCCAGCAGCCGACCCTGGGCGGCGAAAGCGTCCAGGGGCGAGAGAGCGGGGGGGATTTCTCCATCGTAGTGTTCGATGCGCGGCGACGGGGCGCCGCTGCGGAAGGTCTCGTGGGATTGCGAGCGTTGCTCCCCCAGCTGCGGCCGGAGATTGATGATCGCACCGGGATGGGTTCGATCAACCATGGTCAGGAAGTCTAAAAGTAAGAATATAAAGAATAAAGATGAAAATCGAAACGGTCCAGAGCAAAGTGATCACAGGTCGGTCGGGTTCCACCAAATCATTTATATACGTTTCGAGGCGAGATTGAGAGAGGTGTCCGGAGGAGATTTATCAGGAGGGGGCCAATCTGACGGGGGCGGATTCTCCGGTGGGTTGGGGGTGGTAAGCCCCGGTGATACGGCCCGCTAAGGTGATGGAAAAGGGCGGAATACGAGAAGGAATGACAGCCCAAGAGAAGGTGAGAAGGGTAGGGGGAGAGAGAGAGGAAGAGAGAGAGAGAGAGAGAGAGAGAGAGAGAGAGAAGGAGGGAGAGAGGAAAGGTAGGTAGAGTTCAACGGGGTACACGTGAAGAGACCAGCGTGGATAGAGCGGAGGGTCAAGGAGCGACGGGGGTGGGAGGAGAGGGTGAGAATGGAAGGATTGGACGGGATGGATGGGATGAGTGGAGGGAAAGGGATTAGATCAGGAAATCAATCTCAAGCCCAGGGGAGACAGGAAGAACAGGCATCGTGAAGATGATGGAGGAAGAAGAGAGAGAGAGAGAGAAAAGAACAAAGCGGGAAAGGATGAAAGAAAGTGAGAGAGAAAAAAGCGCCCACGGTGGTTGTTGTTGTTTCGCCCTGACGATCACCCACTCCAACGAGGGTCCGTCTCCACGGGGTATTCTCTGTTACCATATTGTAATCTATCCACCTGATTCTTTTGTTCACTTGATATATTAGTATCTACCTTATTGTTCTATCGATACTATATTGCTACTCGGTATATTATCAGAGTAGAGAATAATACCTGACATGTTGAGCGGGGTGCAGCAGCAGCAGCAGCAGCAGCCACTGCAAGGGACGGGCCGTTTCAGGGGAAGAGAGACATCGTTTGATTGGTATGTTACGTACCGTACATTACATGATCTATACCTCATATACCTCCCGACGCTATATGGAAAGTACAATTCTCCGATTTATTGATTGCCTCAAAGTCAGTCCCTGCGATCAATTCCGGAACAGGCAGAGAGTGGACCATCCGCATGAATTCTGTCCAGAAATAGATCATTCATCGGGGGAGGAATGTTGTAGGCTGACCGGGTGAGAATTCTAGAAAGAGGAATGGAATCTTGGCCGGGATGAGACCCATGGTTGCAGAACGTCTGGAGTGGGGTCTCCTCTGGTCTATATATATGCTGCCATTGGGATCCATGGTTGTGGACATTGGAAATCACCATGTTGATTGTTATCATACCACTCTGTGTGTATTAATCTATTTGTTTATTTTATCATTCTTCTTCTTCTTCTTTTCTTGCGCTCTGCAATGGAGTACTTGAAGAGGAAAATTACCATCAATACGAGATTTACACATAGTGTGCCCCGTAAATCAGGCATCGTTGGGGTTAATTGCGATTCTCTCCACCTTTACTGAGAAGAGTTAATCCTCTTTCAACCTCACTCCACTTTCTCTCTCCCTCGATGGTTGAAGAATGTTCATCCATCTCTCTCTTGTAGCCGATAGGACCAGTTTCAATGGCAGGAGATCATCCCCACCTTGATATAATAACGGTACCGTTAACTGACATGGACGTTGGAGTCGGTGTACCATCTCTTCGACTATCTCTATCAACCGCCTCCTATCGACCATCTAGTATCTACTGCTGCCCCTCAATGGCGGTAGGTCTTAAGGGGTGAATCCATTGTGGGTCAGACTCACACTAATCTATTTTTTCCTTCTTCCTTCTCTCTTTCTGATATCGCTCCTATCCAGAGTTAGGTCTGTACTCTCAAGTCCCGTTAAGCTTATTCGAGTTACATCGTACAATCCGACCGGTCCAATCGCAGCGGAATCCCATCCCGCGATCTACTTACTATTTTTCCACTATATATATATTATTTATACTCCATCCTAAAATTACCCAACACACCCCAACTCCCATTGTAAGGCTGATGTAAAACCCAATCCCTTGGCATCCTAGCATCAACACGGCATCAATGGTGTGATTCCCCACCTGATGACACCACTCGTTCTTCCTGTCCTTGGCAGGCTGATCGTTGTCGGACAGACTATTCACTACCGAGTTGATCCTGATCTCGGTCGCGTCCATCAATCAGGTTGAAAGATGGATATCGTGGAGGTCCGCAACGTCATTTGTCTTCGGGGATGTGAAACTTGGGTTTGCTTCAGCTTTCTCCTGATCTACTTACATCACTGCCTGGGTAGGGCTTCGTTCTCGTGGAGGCTACCGTCTATGGTCAGTGCATACTAGAGATATACTTCGATGATTTTCTTTTTCTATCGGACGACTGTGGTTTTAGATTATGTTGTAGGTATATCCTTTTTGCTTGTCCTCCTTATATTATATCATTTATATATTCCATATTGTGGTGTCCTCTAAGTAATCGGCCGGGATGTCTCCGACATATATACCGTTAGTGACGTCGAGTCGCATATTCAACCCCGCCTTTCATACCCCATACCCCAGTCATCCCCATCACACATGCATTTTATAGTGAATACCGACATTAACAATCGACAACCACTATGATGATAATCTACTTGCTGTTGAACCCCACATTAAGTATCCCACCTCACTTTTCCTCGTGTTATCTAGGCTCTGTTTCTGCTCTCCTGCTACGTCTGCGTTTCCTGTCCCTGTTTGATTAGAGTTTCACTGTTGGAATCATTGGTGGGGTTGGATAAGAGGTGGTTGGATCAAGTATGTCAGCCTAGGAGATCTGGTCATGGATTCGATTATTTTTCGGTCCCGTTAAGCCAACGATTATGAGAGAAGAGTACATGCTTGCGCCACAATACCAAACCTTACCAATGCCGTCAAAATTCCACCCCCAAATAAAATGATAGAAATAAGAATGATAGAGAGGAGAGAATGAGAGAATGAGAGAACGAGAGAGAAAGGAAATAGGGAAGACAAAATTATACCTTCTCCCAATTCGTCTCGCTACTGCTCCCGCTGGGGCTGTCCCCCGGCGTGCGCTGTCCCGATCGCATCCCCAGCATCCATCCCACCAGTCCAGCCGGCACCCACTCACCAATAATGCTGTAAGTCCGCGCCCCTCGCCCGACAAACATCACCGGGCTTTTGGACACCTTGCGCCCGAAGATGTCCCGCGATGCCGGCTCCAGCGCGTCCATCACGGCGTAGTGCAGACTGCGTGCTGGAGATCCCCGCACGGTGCTCGGTCCCGCCGAAGCCACGGGCCGCTGCTCGATGCTGGATAGGTACTGCGGCCCGTACAGCGACCGCTGCTGCGCGCTCCATGCCAGAACCTCTGTGCCGGTGATGTGGCCCTGCGCGTTCCGGTACGGCGCGCCTAGGTCGATGTTCCCGAGCTTCAACTCGACCACGTCGATTTTGCCGTGTTGCAGGAGACTGAGCTCTCGTCGCAGTGATGTGGCAAACCCGGATAGTGCGCGGGTGGTGGTGACTTCGGGGCCTGTGAACGGGGCTGAGAGCGACGAGGAGATCGAGGGGTAGACGAGGACGATGGTGCTGTTGGTGTTGCGGACGGTGAGGAGTGGCAGGAAGAGTTGAGTGGTCAGAATGGGTGACAGCAGTCGCGCGTTAACGGTGTCGGCCCAGGAAGAAGGTGGGATCGTAGCCACGGGTCCGGTGCTGTAGTTGGGCGATGGCACGAGGATGAGCCCACTCAGCTGGCAGGTATGTGGCGGCACACCGGCCATCGGACTCTGGGGTTGGGTGATCAACGAATGGATCTCATTCAGACACGGGTGGATATCCGAGGGAGAAGACGTAATCTGTATGTATGAGTCAGTGTCTTTATTGTCCACTCCAAGGGAGTGCGGTCCGGCTTACCGTCGTAAGATCCAGCCAGAGGCTGCGAATATCCCCTCGATTCTCCGCCTGGACCAGACGCTCCTCATCTGCAGACGCCACGGTAATGTAGACGATGTATCCCCGACGTTCCAAATCCGAAGCGATGGCTCTGGTCATCGGCTCATGAGGTGACCCGGCGACAACTGTCTTCCGTTAGACTCTAGATCTCTCGGTTTCACGCAAACCGTCCAACTGCGGGCAACATACCAACTATCTCCTTCCGAGCGCCATTCCCAGCCCTGCGCGCCCTCCTTCGCCGACCGCCCAGCTTTTTATTTCCATAGTACAGCACGCAGCTAGTTCCCACAAAGGCGAGGATGGCAGCGCTCCACGCTCGGTTCCGGTGGACCCAGTCCTGCGCCCGTGTGACCAAGGAGCGTGAAGAATGCAAGTCCGGGGTGCGTTTAGGTATAGGTCGCACTGAAGAAGGTAGCCATGACTGATTGGAAAGCAGATCTCGAATTGTCGTGGCGGCGTGGTCGACCTGCCGGTCGATAGAATCTGCTACTTGCGTGGAGTACCGCCTTACGTCATGGGGTATCGTGGCAAGCTAGGGAAGATAGCAATAGATTAGAGTCGGTTTTGAAAGAAGAAACTGATCTCGAGTAATACTCACGTAGTCAAAGAAGAACTGATCGTCACTCGTCATTTTGAAAGGGGATGAAGACGGACTGAAGCTTTTGAAGACCAGGCAGAGAGGTGATGCCGTGAAGAAATCCACCGATGTTAGCAACGATACGGGCAAGTCACATGAGTCCCACTCGGACCCACCATGTGCAAGCTACATATCACGTGACTATACCACTTCCTAGAAAAAGCCATCACGACATCCTCCTATACAGATGGGAACTGATATGTGCTAGTTATCTTCAACTTCACTCTAGGCGCGCTGACAAACGATAAAACGACAAGTCTGATGAGTGAGTTACGAGTGGAGAACGTGCACTCGCCATAGGGCCGATGATCTCGGACCCTCGGTCATCTATCGGTCTAGACGACTATGCGTTGGATTATTCTAGAGACTAGTATATGAGTTGTCTACCGCAGATAGATTCAATCATCAGGAACAAATGCCTGGAATCGAGTGTATGCTCCCCATGCAAGTGTACAAATCCTCAGGCA